TGTTAGAGATTGTACCTTTAGAAATATGAGTACCATCCTCCAAAAGTATCTTCTGATTTGTCTGTATGACATTGCAAGTTTGGGAAGTTTGAATCATCAAGTCCTGTTCAGAGGTCAACATGTTGGGCAAAGAAAAATATTTGAACATTCTTTGTTGACTTCAAAATTCAAATCATTGTAGAATGTCATATATATAGTAGGAACTGGAAGTGCATGCAATTTTTCCACTAATAAAGCTGCAAACACATGCAAAAATAACTAAAAACCCCTCTGCATGTTTATAAATTTTTTTACTTTGCTATAATAAATTCCATATTTTAATTATTAATAAAAGACATTTTCATTCTTAAATATAAATATATCTAATTCTGTATCTGTAGTTGTCTTAATAGTCATGATATTAAAACATTATTATTATTATCATCATCATCATCATCACAGCAAAGAGACAGTAAAGATATCAGATGAATACTACAAAAGATCTGAACTCAAGTTAGATTTTCAGACATTTTCATATCATTTGATCCAGACCTGTTATAGCTCATCCTTCATCATCCAATAATCCCACCATTGTAGGCCTGACCAAACCAATGATGGATATGGAAACAGATCACTCTAGTGTCCACAAATTAAAAAAAAAAAAAAACTAAAAATAATTACAGATGAGTCATTATGATAAACTATTAAGATCTTTAAAATTAATTTGTTCAATTTATAAATTTAACAATATTTTGTATAATTCTAAAGTAATTAAATTCAAAATACTAAAACATATTTTACTGATAAACAATTAATTCAGCTTTTGCTTTGAATATTCAATATTTTTTAAACATTTCAAAAAGTTGTGTTATAAAATTCTTTAAACTGCATATACTTAAATATTTTATTAATAAATTTCAAATATATTTAAAAGTGAATATGTTTTTTCTTTAAAAAAATTGTTTAAATACCTTTTCTTTCAACAATGGAGTCAATTTATTATAATATATTTCTGATGGTCGCAATATGGATGGAGTAACAATATTGTTCCCAGAGGAAGAAGTCTATGAAATAAAATTTTGTTTTATTAAACATTCATTAATATTAATTATGAGTTATTATGTAAAGAACTTTCTTTTAAAAAATTTTTCTATAATAATATAAATTATATTTTGTTATACAAAATTTATCATACTTAAATCTTTCATAATCTCTACATTCTATTTTATTATTTTGTTGTTATTATATAAATAGTTTTCATGCCAACAATTTAAAACTGTCTGAAAAGCTAGGATTCTGCAAATTAGAATTTGTTTTAAGTACTTGGTTCACTGAAAATATCAGGCAGGAATTCACTCAAAAGTATGGGGTGCAGCCATGAAAGATACTACATCTTTGGAGGTCAACCATGGGATCAAAAGCAAAGTCTCATTTTGTTATGGCAACCTGGTTTGTATTGGGAGTGTTTCAGCATATACAAATAAATTGAAAGCATACAAGAGTATACATTGATTTAAAAAAAACAGAATATTCAGACATATAATTTTGTAAAGTAAATGTTCAACAATGTTAATGTTAAAATGTTCAACAATCTTGCATTTTTAACACTCTGGTCCCATGGATTATCAATAACTTTTATACTGTATTTTAAACTAAAGTCCAAATAGACAATTAAGAAATCTTTTATACATAAAAATAGATAGTGTAAAAAGCTTACTATTAGAGATTTTTATAATGAAAATCTACTACTATAAAATAAGAAATTTTATAAATTATTTACCTGATTCTTTAAAGCTTGGGCAGTAACTTCTCTCTGTTGCCAACGTTTATATAAACCGAATAGCGGTGTGGCACCATCCACCCACTGAATCAATCCCGAACGTGGTCCCAATGGCGTTACAGAATAATGACGAGCTTGGTAAACAATTTTCCCCTGTCTAATAGTATTTAAATAAATCTTTATTTTATAATGCATCAAACAGAATTAAAAACAAATAAATTAATTAATTATTTATAAAAACATCATTCAGTGATATTTTTAAACTAGGATATGACAAAACTATAAATAAATAAATAAAGCCTTAATTACTCCCTTCAATTTAACTTAAAAATGTCTGAAAAATTTAATACATAAAGTACACAACAAAATGCAATTCCATACTATTTAACTAATATGGAATAACATTTTTGTTATGTGTTGTTGTTATTATTAAAAAATTGCATAATTATTCGATTTGAAAGCTTTTTATAATTTTATTTTCATATTTCAAATTTAACTATAAAAATTTATAGATGAAATTGAAAAAATTAGATAATTTTAAATAGTTATATATATATATATATGCATCACCTTTAATATATGTAACTTGAGTTTTTTTTTACACAGCTAACCATCAATTTCTTTTTTTACACTTTCAATTTNTATTCTTATTTTATCTCTCTCTTTTCTTACAAAATAAAATTTAAATTTTTGTCTATACAATATTTAATTTCTATATCGGAAAATAAAGATATGCAGTTGTAGATTTAAAAAATAACATTTCATTTTGAAGCCAAAACAAGTGTTTCCTCATATTTATACAGTCGAATTCCCATTATTATGTTATCAGTTTATGCAAAATCTGCATTAATGCAAAGTAGATTTGTGGTCCTGGAAGAAGGATATGCAATTCAAAGTTAACATTTTTGGTTAATACAAAATACAGGAAATTTCTGCTAACTCACATACTTTTTTGAAAAACTGTATAGTAATTTAAGATTTCTTAACAGAAAAATTGTAATTAATGAGTAATTATAAAAGTGAAATTATAATTAACGAGTGCTTTCGGTATATGTAATACTACGCATTATATTACCACAATGAATAAGTTACTGAACTCCGTACGTAGCATTTATTGTAGTCATGAAACATTTTGAGCTCAATTCCAATAAATTCAGCAGTAAAACCTACCGAAGCTTGGTAAAACTTCTGTATAGAGCTGATCATAATAAAATACTCTACTGTACATCCATCATCTCTTTTCCAAGTCATTAGACAAAAACACCCACTAACTTGGACTTTCAGAAATTATGACAACCTTCACCCCATATTAATTCAAGTTAGCAGGGTTTACCATATTAATTAATATGTAATACAAAGTGTTCATGGTCCTGGATCATGAAACTCCACAACATTTACATTACATTGTTTAATAAAAAGCAGGCACTGCTTTCAGCTTCCCCAAAGCCAAAGTAGCAATGCATAATCAATGAGTGCATTTTTTTACTAACATTTGCCATAACACTTATGCTGATTTTATTGTTGTCACTGGCAACAGAGGTCTTGACACCACCAATGATGTTCACTCCAACTCAAAAAAAATTACACTTTCTATAAGGCTGAACACTTAGTTAAGACAGAAGCATATGCATTGGACACTGGATGTTAATAAAATTAGAAGAGTTTCAACTAAAAATCTTTGGTTTTATGAAATATTCTTATTTTTAATTATTTTAATAATAAAAATAACAAAACTCACTGAATTGCAATATTTCATACTGTAATTAGGTTGTAATTTTAAAATTAGAAACAAACCATTCAAGAAATAATTTATTTGAATTTCAATGGAAACCACTAAAATTCAAACAAATAAGTTATTTCTAAATTTGCAAAGTTTTATGCATATCCATCTCCCAGATTCAATTTGATGGATAGGTCAGTCTGTTACATCCAATAGTTTTAATTGTCATTCTACTAACTCTAATATCAAAAAATAAACATTGATTTTTTTCTTTGGGCTACTGTATTTCAATGAAGTGTATGTTTGGAGCAACACACATTTATTTATTTATTTTTAAAGAAAAATGTAATAAAAAAACTGGAAGAAAATTTGGCTTTCACCATTCAGTAGTATAACTTTGATTTTTTTTGTAAAAATTGTTTAATATAAACCTTATTAACACAAAGTTCCAATTTTTAAGTCCCTTCAAATTTGTATTAATTCCTTTGTAAAATATTTAGATTATAATATCATAGGAGTTAGTTTTAAATTAAGATTTATATATACAGTAATACCCCGACTTATGCGAACCCAGAGTTACGCCATTTTCAAATCTCGTCGATTCGTCTTTTGTTTGAGCGCCTTGATTACTCACTCCCCACACACTATTGTTCAGCTTACATGTTCAAATGTGTCGAGCAGAATCCACACATAGCTACAATTTATTTTGTGTTATTTATTTCTGTGTTTGTTATATCTACGGAGACTCGAGAGACTCTACTATGTCATCCAAACGAAGTAGAACTAATTCTTCTGCATCAAACAAGAAAAGAAAAACTTTATCTTTGGAATGTAAAGTTAACATTGGGTATGTTCGTAAAGTCGAACGAGTTAAACGAGAATGACGTCATCGTTATTCCTATTTCGTTAGACTTTTCGAACGATTCGTTACTAACGCGTTTAACTCGTTTGACTTTACGAACGTACCCATTATTAAAGACTTCGATACAAAAATGAAAATTTGTGAATTGGCAAAGAAGTTTGATCTACCGGAATTGTCGGTCAGAACAATTATAAAAGGCAAAGAAAAAATTCTCGAAGCTGTGAAAAATGCTCAATCTTTAAATTCAAGCATCATTCGTAAATGTCACAGTATTATCGTTGAGATGGAAACAATGTTAAAATTATGGCGTAATAATCAAGTAAATGTGAAAAATTGTAAAATAATATAAACCTAATTTGTTATACATATGTATTATCTAAGATTTTATTAAACATTTTTCTCTAAATTATTGTTTTCTTTAGTCTCCGGCCCCAATTAAAAATTATTTGTATGTATTTATATGTGAAATTATACCCCGACTTAAGCGAATTCGATTTACGCAGTTACCACTCGGTTCCACCTATCGCGTAAGTTTGGGGTATTACTGTATATATATATATAAACTGAAAAATAAAATTTTTTATACAATATATATACAGTATATATATTGTATAAAAATTTTATTTTTCAGTTAAGGTTTTAAAATATATTATGCATACCTTTTTGGAAGGGAATACAAAGAGTGGGCTGAATTTGTCTGAGCTTCTTCCAACAATGCTCTTTGTTGACATATCTCAGGAAGCTGAGTTTCAGTACTTTGTAATTCAATTTGAGCTTTGTGCCAGTCTTGCAAATGAGATTTCAACTTAGGTAGTGAAGCCACTAATTCTTCCCTAATTTCATTAATTAGAGAAATTAAATTAATAAATAAAATTATAAAACATAAAATACTTATTTATTTATCTTAATTAAACTTAAATTTATATAGCTTTGAAAATCTGTTAATGCATCTGCTAAATGTTATCATTTTTGTTTAATTGATAGAGTAACTTTCTTAAAGAGTATCGTAATAATAACTGCCTAAAGGATATTGTAACATAACTAATTTTCACAAGAGTACAACTGTTTATTGCTAATACATCATATAAATCGTAATAAAATTTTGCTATTATGTAAGAATAACCTTTGCATGTATACAATTTTCATCAATTTTTCAAAATCTCAAGTGAAAATACAGTCAAGATGTTAATAAAATATCAAAAATTATCTCACACATTTTGAGAATTGATAATTTACTCAAATGAATTATTTAAGAATTTTATTACATTTTGATGATAAATTTTTTTTAATCTATTCAGTAAACCATCTATCATTAGGACTTGTCTATAATAAACTTATAACCAGATTTGCAACACACATTTCATTAGATATAAATATTGATCATCATATTTTATAATATAGAGAGATATGCTGATTTATGTAGCTACAGGATGTCCAAAAAGTTACCTTGCAGAAAGAAACTTGAACAATATTAAAGCTATATGTATGGTATTTGTATTTGAAAAGTTTTAAGATAACTATTTGGTATCAGTTCACCATACAGTATTGCATACAACTTATATATATGGTATTGTGTACAAGATCCATAACTTTAATATCATTACAAATTTCTCACTTTTTGAACACCCTGTAGATCACAAATATAGCTGACATGGCATGCATGTTTAAAAAATTAATACTTATTTTTAAAAAAATAATTGCACTTAATTAATATATATTACCTATTTTTTAACCAGTCATGCTTCATTTCGGCTACTCGAATGGATAACATAGAATATGCAACTTCATGTTCCATGTCTTGCTTTGTTTGTCCTGATTCATTAATTCTGCCTTGTCTACCTCCATAAACTGCACCAGTATAACCTCCCTCATTGCCAGGAGTCCAGTCAACAAGTGGATCATACACAAAAGCTTCTAATAATGTCAATAATGTTTCTCTGCCTTTTCTCAAGACTTTTAAAACATGTTCACAGGATACTCTAAAAATACCCTGAAAATTAAAATTAATTCAAATTAGTATGACTTAAACTGTAACAAAAATCTTATTAAATAAAATCATAACACTTTTATTTAACAGAAATTAGTTTAAAGTTGTAGAGGAATAGATTTAAGAGTAAACATATTTTCAATGTTTACAGTAGTTTGTTTTTATTATCTAACTGAATCCTAGAAAACTAATTAAGTAAGTCATCATATTTTCTATAGTTTAATGCTATAAATTAAAATAATGTTCTTGAAAATACTTAGAGAACTAAGTATTAATTTTCCAAATATATATATATATATATAATTCAATTAGTGAGAAAATGAACAAAAGTAAAAATAAATGTATAATTATTTACTTCAATTCCAGTAACACCCAATGCAGTTTCAATATTTGGAGTCATTCTGAATGGAACTTTTTCTGGAACACGAAGATTCTTTCCTTTTTCAAAGCAAACATTATAGTCAATATGCACCACCTAAACAAATACAAATACTTTAAAATATTAAAGTAACAAATTAGAAACAGAAATATAATTTAAAATGAGAACAAACCTCTCCGGAACAGAGATCAACTAAAACATTATCGAGATGACGATCGCCCAAGCCTATTATGTAGCCGATCATTGACATGACAGCCGTTGAATGGTTGTAAGTTTGTGTAATTTCCCACCACTCTAAAGCAGTACTGCAGCAACACCATAATTCTCTAAAAATTATTAAGGAATAATTTCGTTAATAATTAAAATATTAAAAATTAAAAAGTGAAATAAACAGAATTAGTTCATACTTTGCTAAAAGATCTTTTGGTGTTTCATTCATCAATTCTTGAAGAACCTGAAGTAGAATTGTTAGTGGCCATTCTTTTCTTGCCTCCAAATTTGTGATACCCTGAAGAAAATTTGGGAAATTTCAATTCTCTCTTTTAAATTTTAATTGCTTTATTATAGAAATAAATAGACTAAAAAAATATCCTTTAGTAACATCAATAAATCATCAAAAATAAAAACTATGATAAATGTACTGATTGCTGTGATCAGGACTGAATTTATGAAGTTTGTGTGTATGTCTGTCTTACTTTTATGTAATTGATGTAAGAAATTATATAAAATTAAGATTCATTAATTTTCAAAATTCTAGTATTATGTGGCATTGGCTTTTCACTACTTTTAAATTATTATATTATATTCATATCTGTACTTAAAATGAGGAGGAGACATTTCTTTATAATCATCTTTGTTGAATGTGTTCCAATTTTATTTCTTATGGATTTTCATTTGATATATAAATACAGAGGATGCTTTAGCTATTTTTGAACATGTTTATTACAAGAGAAGTCAATGTAACACACAATTATTCAAGTTTTTATTTGCTCAACATATCCTTCCTTACTTCTGTAAATTGCTCGACAACACTGTTTCCATAAATTGAACACCTTTCTGACCATTTTTACGTCAATCTTGGACTACTCCTGTTTCTAAACTTTCCAAACACCAGCTAACATTGCTTTTCAGTTAAACAGCTTCTGTTTTAAGGGAAATGGCATAACAACCATTCATAGGTATGTTCTACTTGTTGATAACTAATTTCAATTTTCTGATGGAGGTTCTCAAGATATTGTTTGGTCTATCAACAATGTGCGAGCTTGCTTGTTGTGATGCAGAAACACTTTATATATCTCAGTGGGATACACAGGTGGCAGATGCTCTTCAAACAATAGTTTCAAAATATGTTCAACATAGTATTGTCCAGATATTTTCATTTTTGAGGGCATTCTGATAAGCAAAAGTGGACTTCTTCATGACAAACAGCCTACTAGCATAAAACCTTGAGGATAGTTCTCTCTGCATTGCCATACCCAATTTTCTCTGTGTTTTATGTAGCAAATTTTGCAGGTACCATTATAATCACCCAAAGTCACAGAAATTCACTTCTTCCACCTGCCAAATGCCTTTCATATAACTTTCTTGTGTTGAACTTGTAATTATTTTTTTTCAGAATCTGATAGCTTATGAACATCAGTCTTTACCAGCATTTCCATGTCCATTCTCTGTGAATGACGCAATTGGACAACAGTGACACTTGACACATTTTTTCAATTCTGTTTAGGTTGGATTTGATGCAGTGATGGAATTCTTTACTTTCCTCACAATCTTCTTTATTCTAGGTGTGACTGGTCTTTGTTTCTTTGGAAAAGGCTGATTTTCTTTGTGCGATTCCTAGGTGTTTCCAATATTGTTTAAAATGTTAGAGATTGTACCTTTAGAAATATGAGTACCATCCTCCAAAAGTATCTTCTGATTTGTCTGTATGACATTGCAAGTTTGGGAAGTTTGAATCATCAAGTCCTGTTCAGAGGTCAACATGTTGGGCAAAGAAAAATATTTGAACATTCTTTGTTGACTTCAAAATTCAAATCATTGTAGAATGTCATATATATAGTAGGAACTGGAAGTGCATGCAATTTTTCCACTAATAAAGCTGCAAACACATGCAAAAATAACTAAAAACCCCTCTGCATGTTTATAAATTTTTTTACTTTGCTATAATAAATTCCATATTTTAATTATTAATAAAAGACATTTTCATTCTTAAATATAAATATATCTAATTCTGTATCTGTAGTTGTCTTAATAGTCATGATATTAAAACATTATTATTATTATCATCATCATCATCATCACAGCAAAGAGACAGTAAAGATATCAGATGAATACTACAAAAGATCTGAACTCAAGTTAGATTTTCAGACATTTTCATATCATTTGATCCAGACCTGTTATAGCTCATCCTTCATCATCCAATAATCCCACCATTGTAGGCCTGACCAAACCAATGATGGATATGGAAACAGATCACTCTAGTGTCCACAAATTAAAAAAAAAAAAAAACTAAAAATAATTACAGATGAGTCATTATGATAAACTATTAAGATCTTTAAAATTAATTTGTTCAATTTATAAATTTAACAATATTTTGTATAATTCTAAAGTAATTAAATTCAAAATACTAAAACATATTTTACTGATAAACAATTAATTCAGCTTTTGCTTTGAATATTCAATATTTTTTAAACATTTCAAAAAGTTGTGTTATAAAATTCTTTAAACTGCATATACTTAAATATTTTATTAATAAATTTCAAATATATTTAAAAGTGAATATGTTTTTTCTTTAAAAAAATTGTTTAAATACCTTTTCTTTCAACAATGGAGTCAATTTATTATAATATATTTCTGATGGTCGCAATATGGATGGAGTAACAATATTGTTCCCAGAGGAAGAAGTCTATGAAATAAAATTTTGTTTTATTAAACATTCATTAATATTAATTATGAGTTATTATGTAAAGAACTTTCTTTTAAAAAATTTTTCTATAATAATATAAATTATATTTTGTTATACAAAATTTATCATACTTAAATCTTTCATAATCTCTACATTCTATTTTATTATTTTGTTGTTATTATATAAATAGTTTTCATGCCAACAATTTAAAACTGTCTGAAAAGCTAGGATTCTGCAAATTAGAATTTGTTTTAAGTACTTGGTTCACTGAAAATATCAGGCAGGAATTCACTCAAAAGTATGGGGTGCAGCCATGAAAGATACTACATCTTTGGAGGTCAACCATGGGATCAAAAGCAATGTCTCATTTTGTTATGGCAACCTGGTTTGTATTGGGAGTGTTTCAGCATATACAAATAAATTGAAAGCATACAAGAGTATACATTGATTTAAAAAAAACAGAATATTCAGACATATAATTTTGTAAAGTAAATGTTCAACAATGTTAATGTTAAAATGTTCAACAATCTTGCATTTTTAACACTCTGGTCCCATGGATTATCAATAACTTTTATACTGTATTTTAAACTAAAGTCCAAATAGACAATTAAGAAATCTTTTATACATAAAAATAGATAGTGTAAAAAGCTTACTATTAGAGATTTTTATAATGAAAATCTACTACTATAAAATAAGAAATTTTATAAATTATTTACCTGATTCTTTAAAGCTTGGGCAGTAACTTCTCTCTGTTGCCAACGTTTATATAAACCGAATAGCGGTGTGGCACCATCCACCCACTGAATCAATCCCGAACGTGGTCCCAATGGCGTTACAGAATAATGACGAGCTTGGTAAACAATTTTCCCCTGTCTAATAGTATTTAAATAAATCTTTATTTTATAATGCATCAAACAGAATTAAAAACAAATAAATTAATTAATTATTTATAAAAACATCATTCAGTGATATTTTTAAACTAGGATATGACAAAACTATAAATAAATAAATAAAGCCTTAATTACTCCCTTCAATTTAACTTAAAAATGTCTGAAAAATTTAATACATAAAGTACACAACAAAATGCAATTCCATACTATTTAACTAATATGGAATAACATTTTTGTTATGTGTTGTTGTTATTATTAAAAAATTGCATAATTATTCGATTTGAAAGCTTTTTATAATTTTATTTTCATATTTCAAATTTAACTATAAAAATTTATAGATGAAATTGAAAAAATTAGATAATTTTAAATAGTTATATATATATATATATGCATCACCTTTAATATATGTAACTTGAGTTTTTTTTTACACAGCTAACCATCAATTTCTTTTTTTACACTTTCAATTTGTTATTAATTTCAATTAATTATGTATTTCTCCCCAAGTTAATGCTAAATAATTTACACTTATATTTGATTTGTTAATTTACATAACATATTTATAGCATTTCTTATGTTATATTATCTGTTTGTTTTTATAATTTGTTCTTTATTTTATTTTATTTTAGCTTTTCTGATGATTGTCTCTGAACATCAAAGGTTTCGGTACAATACCAAATGAATAAGAATAAACTGATATTTTTTGTTGTACCATGTAAACATAAATCATTTAATAACATTTAATTAGAAATGTGTATAAGAGTAAAAAGTAGATAACATACTTTTACTGCATATTATCATGATGAAAATGAAAATCAAACAACTGTCAATGCATTATCATAAAATAATCTTAAAAATTATTTTATGTAAATATAATATTTAATTTTAATACTAATAATTTTGAATTACCTTTTGTTCTTCATAAACATATTATTCACAATTGATAAAAATTGCATGATCCTTTCATCCAAATGTAAATCTTCTAATCCCTTAAACAAATATGTGTATCTGAAAATAAATACAATATACTATTATATTTTTCTAATAATTAATTATGATTAAATCTGAAGACAGTCACATAAATGATTAAATATTTGAATGAATGACCCTATTTTTCCTACATCAGATACACCAGTACTAATGACAAATGCCTTATGATCTAGTTGATTAACTGTTTTAATATCTCAGCATTTATAGTAAATTAATGAAAATTTTCTTTTCTATATGTCTTAACACGATGTTTGACATTAAAACAATATTATCTATTTCAGTGAAGTATTAATCTGATATTCAATATTTTCTAATTGCTTTAAGACAGTAATAAGCAATCTCTCCTGAATGGGAGCAGTCCAAGTGAACTTTATAGGCTTCGGAAGGCTGCATGCATTTTTTTCTTATGGAGTTTCAGGCTTTAAGCTTGCAGAGTATGACATATTTGATAACCTCTGGCACACTTGGTATCAAAATAATACAGCCAATTTGCATTAATAAGAATTGATAAGGAAACAGTAGTTAGTTTGCTTTATCAAAAATTTGTATTAATGATTTTCAGGGTCAAGATTGTATGTACAATTCATGGAGTTAAAAGAATTAATAGGCAATTGAAATCTCTAAACTATAATATTTTAAATTAATTTACTAAATAAAGCTAAATAAAATAAAATTTACAAAAAGAAATTAATGATCTAAATAATTTTCAAATCAAACAAAATGAGGACTGTATTTTCCATTTAACCTGTCCTATGTTGTTCCTGAAAATATTCGTGTTGACCTCATTGACCTGCATGGGCAATCCTGAATATTTTTGTGTTTACATCGGAACGTTTTTGATACTAGATGTTGCTATGCATCACAATTTTTATATTAAAACGAACTTTTAAAATATAATTTTTTTTGTTTCTATATTATTCAATATATTTATTTTGTTTGTGAAACATAAAAAAATAATTTTTTACAATACAGTAAACACAATTTATTTTTAAAATAATAATGTATAAATCGACGAAAATTCAACATGGTGTCACAGGCAACAAATAAAAATTTCAACATCAAATAAGTTAAGTGTGATGCAGTATAGCAGAGTGGTTAAACAAAACAAAGCTAAAAGAAATCTATGATTTTTTTTATGTTCATTGTTTGAAAAAATATGAAATATATAATTTTTTTACAATAGCAATTGTCTTCTTTAGATATTCATCCACATCTCCTTGAAACTGTAGATATGGTGTATGGTGGCTACTACATCTTTGAAAGAAGGCTTAGACAACCAAACATCACTGTCAATCACACTTTCAGTTAAAAAATCATCACTTTCATTAAACAACATCTTGACCAGTCCTGACACTATTGCACAGAGTGTGACATCAGTTTGAGATACATTAAAGGCAATAAGTATGAACATAGCCAAAAAAGTAGTTAAGGAGACAACTCCTTTTTTTGGCACCAAAAGACTAAAAAAGAAGCTAAATTTGGCACAAAGTAGCCAAACTATCATCACTGTATGCAGTCCCCTCCCTATATGCAAACTAGAACATACTTGTGTGAGAAGCCAAGGGCATAAAATTTTGTCCTATGTCACTTACTGACACACAATCATTAGATTGGCTCACTTAATTTTTCAGAGGGCTTTAAATAATATGTTAAAGATCTAGATGGTAAGGTCTAGATCATGTCAGGATGTTGACACCAGTTAATCAGTTTTCTTACACGCAAATTAACACGCGTTCTCAGAGTTTCGAGTATGAGGAACCAGACCATATAAATAACAACAACACAAAGCCCGAATAGTATATATACTAAATTGCCAAACGATCGCCTAAATATCGGGCTATTATATGGCTACTTAAATGATTAGAATAAAGCAATTTGTCATAAGAGGTAGGCATTAGGCGCCATCTCTATATATATATATATATGCATCACCTTTAATATATGTAACTTGAGTTTTTTTTTACACAGCTAACCATCAATTTCTTTTTTTACACTTTCAATTTGTTATTAATTTCAATTAATTATGTATTTCTCCCCAAGTTAATGCTAAATAATTTACACTTATATTTGATTTGTTAATTTACATAACATATTTATAGCATTTCTTATGTTATATTATCTGTTTGTTTTTATAATTTGTTCTTTATTTTATTTTATTTTAGCTTTTCTGATGATTGTCTCTGAACATCAAAGGTTTCGGTACAATACCAAATGAATAAGAATAAACTGATATTTTTTGTTGTACCATGTAAACATAAATCATTTAATAACATTTAATTAGAAATGTGTATAAGAGTAAAAAGTAGATAACATACTTTTACTGCATATTATCATGATGAAAATGAAAATCAAACAACTGTCAATGCATTATCATAAAATAATCTTAAAAATTATTTTATGTAAATATAATATTTAATTTTAATACTAATAATTTTGAATTACCTTTTGTTCTTCATAAACATATTATTCACAATTGATAAAAATTGCATGATCCTTTCATCCAAATGTAAATCTTCTAATCCCTTAAACAAATATGTGTATCTGAAAATAAATACAATATACTATTATATTTTTCTAATAATTAATTATGATTAAATCTGAAGACAGTCACATAAATGATTAAATATTTGAATGAATGACCCTATTTTTCCTACATCAGATACACCAGTACTAATGACAAATGCCTTATGATCTAGTTGATTAACTGTTTTAATATCTCAGCATTTATAGTAAATTAATGAAAATTTTCTTTTCTATATGTCTTAACACGATGTTTGACATTAAAACAATATTATCTATTTCAGTGAAGTATTAATCTGATATTCAATATTTTCTAATTGCTTTAAGACAGTAATAAGCAATCTCTCCTGAATGGGAGCAGTCCAAGTGAACTTTATAGGCTTCGGAAGGCTGCATGCATTTTTTTCTTATGGAGTTTCAGGCTTTAAGCTTGCAGAGTATGACATATTTGATAACCTCTGGCACACTTGGTATCAAAATAATACAGCCAATTTGCATTAATAAGAATTGATAAGGAAACAGTAGTTAGTTTGCTTTATCAAAAATTTGTATTAATGATTTTCAGGGTCAAGATTGTACAATTCATGGAGTTAAAAGAATTAATAGGCAATTGAAATCTCTAAACTATAATATTTTCAATTAATTTACTAAATAAAGCTAAATAAAATAAAATTTACAAAAAGAAATTAATGATCTAAATAATTTTCAAATCAAACAAAATGAGGACTGTATTTTCCATTTAACCTGTCCTATGTTGTTCCTGAAAATATTCGTGTTGACCTCATTGACCTGCATGGGCAATCCTGAATATTTTTGTGTTTACATCGGAACGTTTTTGATACTAGATGTTGCTATGCATCACAATTTTTATATTAAAACGAACTTTTAAAATATAATTTTTTTTGTTTCTATATTATTCAATATATTTATTTTGTTTGTGAAACATAAAAAAATAATTTTTTACAATACAGTAAACACAATTTATTTTTAAAATAATAATGTATAAATCGACGAAAATTCAACATGGTGTCACAGGCAACAAATAAAAATTTCAACATCAAATAAGTTAAGTGTGATGCAGTATAGCAGAGTGGTTAAACAAAACAAAGCTAAAAGAAATCTATGATTTTTTTTATGTTCATTGTTTGAAAAAATATGAAATATATAATTTTTTTACAATAGCAATTGTCTTCTTTAGATATTCATCCACATCTCCTTGAAACTGTAGATATGGTGTATGGTGGCTACTACATCTTTGAAAGAAGGCTTAGACAACCAAACATCACTGTCAATCACACTTTCAGTTAAAAAATCATCACTTTCATTAAACAACATCTTGACCAGTCCTGACACTATTGCACAGAGTGTGACATCAGTTTGAGATACATTAAAGGCAATAAGTATGAACATAGCCAAAAAAGTAGTTAAGGAGACAACTCCTTTTTTTGGCACCAAAAGACTAAAAAAGAAGCTAAATTTGGCACAAAGTAGCCAAACTATCATCACTGTATGCAGTCCCCTCCCTATATGCAAACTAGAACATACTTGTGTGAGAAGCCAAGGGCATAAAATTTTGTCCTATGTCACTTACTGACACACAATCATTAGATTGGCTCACTTAATTTTTCAGAGGGCTTTAAATAATATGTTAAAGATCTAGATGGTAAGGTCTAGATCATGTCAGGATGTTGACACCAGTTAATCAGTTTTCTTACACGCAAATTAACACGCGTTCTCAGAGTTTCGAGTATGAGGAACCAGACCATATAAATAACAACAACACAAAGCCCGAATAGTATATATACTAAATTGCCAAACGATCGCCTAAATATCGGGCTATTATATGGCTACTTAAATGATTAGAATAAAGCAATTTGTCATAAGAGGTAGGCATTAGGCGCCATCTCGTAAGCAAATTAATAATTAAAATTAAATAAATAAATAAGTAAATTAAATTTAGAACCTTCTGGAATAAAAGAACTGGCCCGGGACGGGGCTTAAACCCGCAACCTCCGCTTGCAGGTTTAAGCCCCGGGTGGCGTAACTGGTAGTGCACCGCACGGTGCGCTACCAGTTACGCCACCCGGACCCCGAGCAAGCCTTCGCTTCCAGAGGTATATTAGATTAGATGTAACCTTACTTGCTTAAATACATCACTGACTGGGGACGACTTCATCGCCCATGACCCTCAATGGCACTCAGCCAGCTAACGTAACATCCGGCGAGGTATAAAATTATTTGGATATTATTTTTTTTAAATATTGTGAAAATAAGATAGGTTGATACAGAAACTATTTATCACACATGTACTGTATATGAGCTTCAAAAAAATAAATAAAATAAATTTTATCAAACGATGAAATCAGTTGATTAACTGAATCATGTACAATATTTTATACCCCTAAGGAAAATACTGTAGGTCTACAGTACAATAAATTCTGTTTTCTCCACAGTTCAATTTTGCTGCTAATTGCCATTGTGATAAACCATTTTCACTTTCTCTGATAACTTTAACATAATCTTCTAACCACAGCACTTCACTTTTCTTTTGTTTTTCAGACATTTTTGAACAAACTGAAATGAATTTCCTTTGTAGCTAGACTAATTCATAAACACCTGCACCTATTTCAAGGGTGGAGAAGTGCCTAAGATGAGTTTGAACAAGAGTTTAGACTAATTCACTATATTAGGTGGGGGAAACATTGAGATGGGTTCGAACAATAATTTATACCAGATATATTTGAGGAAGTGGTCACTTATTACAGTTGTTTATGTTGTTTTCGACCAAAAATCGATGTTTGCAGTCACATTACACAGTTGGTCATTTAATACAGGTAACTTATACAAAGACTATGTATAAACTATTTCTTGCCAGAAATTTTTGCCCGTTTTGACAGGTGCCCATAGAATGCAGGTGGTCGCCCAAGCAGTTTTAATGTATACTGTACATACATACATACATACATACATACATACATACATATACAAAATAATATAACATGATTATGAATACATGAAACATATTAACTCTTTAAACGCTAAACTTTTCTTGTTTCTATGCACCTGGAGACGAAATTGCTTTTACCTCTCAGACTATGAGAGAAATATGTATATAAAATAGTCAAACAACCTTCCCTTTTGCTGATTTTGTCTTGAATGGATTAAGGCAACTTTGGCTGGTCTTGTGTTTAAAATCACTTAAAAATAAAATTATTCCAATTTGATTCTTTCTGAATAAAGTTATTTTTTGAGAGATTAAATATTACTGTGATGGATATCTGATACTGATTATAAAAATTTGCCAATCAAGCATTTAAATAAACATAAAACAATATCAAGATAAAATATAGTACTTCATTTTCTCCCCACAGTAAAGCTAGTTATGATAACTTCATAATTAATATTTTACAGAATAACAGTTGAAATATTAAGACGCATAATCTAAATTTATGTATAAACTTTTTCTTATTATCCTTTGTATATAGGGTATTAAAATACATGACAGAATTCATTGTATTTTTATAATAATTTCTAAAAATCAGGAATGCTGTTGATTTGGAATATATATATAAATTATTAATATGTTTAATGGGAGACAGGAAAAACTACTAATAAAATTTTAATTTCAAAGCTAGAGATTTTTCAAATTTAAAATAAATATCAAGAAGGAAAATAGCCATAAATTTAACACTCATTACACTTAAATTTTTCATTTACATTCTAAAAATATTTTTGTTTAGTTTTAATTATACTTACTTATTCCCATCAGAACCAATAAATGCAAGTTTCTTAGGCTTTGTTTTAGTAGGCAAAATTGAGACATTATTATGGACAGATTCTATTGTAATCACTTGTACAGATTTAATGTTTGTCCCTGGCATTGGTATACGAGTACATTTAAGAGAAGACAAAACTGGACTAATTTGTTCCATCAATAGATGAGATCTAGTCTGTTGCTGCATTCTTTGTTGTAACATTTGATGTAACTGCAAATTGATAAAACTGTTATTATATTTTTAAATATTAAAATTATAATATTAAATTTAAAAATGAAATTGAACCTCAAAATCAAAAGAATCTGAAAATAAGAATATTGATTTTTGAATCACTAATTATGCATTTCACGCTTTTTTAAAATGCTATAATATGACAATTATAATAATACAGTAGAACTTGTTTATCCAAAAGCCGATCAACAGAAACGTCAGTTAACCAAAAGTGTTCCAGTCGGACTGTATCGTGCTGAATCTAACCTTTTTGATACTAGATAAATTTCCAAAATATAATTTTTTTGTTTTTATATTTTTCAATATATTTAAAGAAATAATTTTTAACAATACAATAGCCACAATTATTATTTTAAAAAATTTACATTAGGCTTAACATCAATGAAAATTCAATGTGAAGCAACATGCAATGGAGAAAAATTTATACATGGGATAGGTTAATATATTTTTTGTACATAATCAGTTATCCAAAAAATAAGTTATCCGAACAACCCCAGTCCCCAATTGATTCGGATAAATGGTGCTCTATTGTAATAATAAACTAAACCAGGGATATTCTTTAATTTTTAATAATGATAATAAAATTTAGAAAATGAATTATTGTTTAATATGAAATATTTACATATTTTGTAAAGATTATCTGCTTAAGAGCCAATTATACTGTTTGAACACAATAATGAACTCTGGTATCCAGAATTTTTATTTTGAAAATTTCTTTTAAATTCGATTGGCAAATAATCAAGTATATCAATAACACAGTAGAAATCTGTTTATTTGGAATTGCAATCAATGGGAATATCCGAACATTAAAATTATACTAAAAGACATTTTTATGATCCATAATTTAATAAATTAATTTATTTTATGATCCATAATAAATTAGAAACATAATTTTAAAAAATAAAAATTTTTTAAAATTATGTTTCTACTAGTAGCCCAGGCTGCCCCCTAGGGAACATTCTTGCAGCAGCAGTGTCATTCTGTGGTATAAATAATAAATTCATATCAATGGAAAATTTTTTCCCTATCCCATGGGGGAAATTCCCCTCCCCACAGGGGAGGAGAACCATGTCCTTATAGATTATCTCTGATTTTTTTCCTTCCCTTGAAGAATTTATTTCCCTCCCCTCACGGGAAGGGCATTCTAGCAACAGTGGTGTCATTCTGTGATATAAATAATAAATTCCTATTACAAATTAAAATAATTTATTGTTAATTTAAATAATAGCTAGGGGCACCCCTAGTGGGCATTCTAGCAGCAGCGGTGTCATTCTGTAGTATAAATAATAAATTCATATTACAAATAAAAATCATAATATACTGAATTTCTCATGACATACCCTACTAAACTGCAGTCAAAAACACAAAAAAACTGCATTTTTTGTTATTTTAACATTGTTACGCAAAAAACTGAATTTATTGTTAATTTAAATAATACCTAGGGGCACCCCTAGTGGCCATTCTAGGCATACTGTTACAGATATACGGACACACGATCAATGGCTTATATTTTTAGATTAGTTGAAGAACAATTTATACTACGTTCACATGAGCATTTATATGTCAATGTAAATACAACCGCTACAAAGTGGTTACAAACTGCCAATCCATCCCCTTTCCTTAATTCCTAATGAATGTACCAGTTTGTTAGGAATTGAGAATGCTTGATTTTTGCCAAACTTTGGTTTGTTTGATCTATCAACTTTTCACACCTAGTGTTTCAAACCTTTTTAACTAATTATGTCGTAACTTAGTTTGTATAATGTAGTATGAAGAGGAAAATATCTTAGTTTGGTTAGTGTTTGTTTCATTCATTTGTAGTAGTTCACATAACACTGTAATCTGAGCTTTACATTGTAACATGTTACTTACCCCAGTTTTAGTACACCCAATTATGTCTTCCATTGATGCAAATTTCATTACAATGATAAATTCACAATTAATAATATATACCCATATTAAATTTCAGAAAAAATTTGCACTAAATAAAAGCTTTTCTAAGATATATAAATAGTCTGTATTAATTTTTTATTCCAATCATTGTACTATTTTTAAATTAAGCTAACTACATACCAAAAAAACAACAATAAAATTAATCCAGAACAAGTCATAATTAATAAAAATTGAATAAGTATAATAAGCTTGTGGCAATTGACAAATCAGTTCCTTTAAATAAAAACTTATAAATCCACACATTATAACATTATACAATGACATATGTATTTGCAAGCAATTTTATTTACTTTCTCTATTTTATTTATCATTCATTATTGTCAAAATTGTAATTATTTTATGCTGAAAACAATGAAGAAAACACTCAACTAATAAAATGAACTTAATCATAATGTAAATATTAAGATTCTATACAAAATTATTTAAACAAGAAATTCTCATAATACAGCTAAGATAGAAATTACATTGTCTACAGTCACTATAAATTTTTAAGAAATAACTGCATATTAAAACAAAGAAAACTGTCTGCACCTGTTTATACAGTGTCCAACTTTGTTGTGGACGAGAGGGATCTACAGGATTTTTAAATTTTTGCAGAATATCTTCTATGTGTTTACCAAAAGTATCTTGAAACCATTGCTCATGCGGAGTTTCTGGAGTTTGAGAACTAATAGCCTGCAATTGTTCTAGTACAAACATTGTCTAATAAAAAATAGAAAAATTTTATATTAATCAAATATATAATAATTACAAATTTCATTTTATATTTTAAATATTCTAATAAATATAAATATTTAGTTTTTAATTTACATACTTAATACTACTTACGTAGTTATTGAATTATTTTTAATCAAAAGTCAGTTGTGGCAAACAAATGCCAAACTTATCATAAATGTGCTTCTCAACACGTCAATTGATTCCCAAATTAAAAGCATTTATTTAATATAAATAAATGCTTTTAATTTATTACATTACAACATAAAATTTATTACATTAAATTCTACAACTAAATCACTCACCGGTTTCATAAAAACAGTATGTTTCTCTCTAATGATATTATATTTTTCTGATCTAGTTAATGAAGAATTGCCTTGAACTTTCTTGATTTCATCTTCTAATGTCTGAATACGCCTGAAATTATTTTGAAATTAATAAAGTTTTAATTAAGATAATAATCAGAACTGAACTTAACTTTTTGTAATTTGAGTAGTACAAAGATACAACTGATATTAGAAGATAAAAATATAAATAAAGGAAGAAAGTCAAAAACTTTGCAAGAAATTTTTGAGCAGAAAAGAACCTCAAATAAATGATTGATTCTGCTATGTTTTGTGAGGGTTGTAAAAGCATGTTGAAATTGCGACTAATTATGTAACTCCTAAGTCAGAGAGCTTTGAGGATCAAATCGGATCAAGAGGGCGTGTGGGTGACAGAACCCAGATGGGAAGAAAACTTTCTTACTTATTGTAAAACAAATGCAACGCGATGATAAACGGCAGGGGAGAACATCGACAGAGAGAGAGAGCTTTGTCGAGATGCTCGTGAACAAGTGTCGGGTTGAAACAATCGAGAAAAGGAGGGGTTTAATGACTAAAGGGACATCTGTTAAGCCCGAATGCGTTAGGGAGTAAATGGCCATAAGAACATCTGGTGGACCGTTTAGGTTCAAAGATGTTACAGAAAAGGACCATAACAGAGTAAAGTACAAGTGCGGACTTTAAAAGCTCTGTTATCACCTCTCCAACCTTTTCCTGACCCAGATCGATCTCGGGTTTCGCCTAGAGACAAAAGAACGACCAATCGGGGTACGGGAGAGGGTGAACGGGACCAATCAAAAGGATGATATTTGGGGAAAATCCTATAAAACCCCCAAATCTCAAGGACAAACAGCCAATTCTCCTCCAAACAAGTGCTGAGAAGACTCCAGGACCTCTGTCCACTGGCCAGTCACAAATGCTAAGCCTCTCCGCCTGCTAAAAAGTGTGTCTGTGTGAATCAGAATGTATACCATTGCCCATTTACCAGTATTCTACCTCCAAATCTGCGGACTCTTCTCCTATGAAGCCCTGGAGCCACCACCACCAGCATCACACCTCACCTGACGTCCAACATTCTTAGTTTATTGTTCTTCCATTGTTATGCAAGTTGAACTAGTTGTTAAAATAAACGGTTTCGTGTAAGACACTCGTCATCTTTGTCTCCTGTCGCCACCTCCCACATATGATTTGCTCCTAGGTTTTCCTGACGTGCAATTAACTTATTGCCCCTAAAAGTCAGCAACCTTACAGTTTTGTGTTCTGTAGCTGAAAAGGCTGCAGTTTTTTTGTGATAGTCTTTATTTGTAATATTTTTTTAGCAGAATAAATATTTTAAATTATCCATTAATTGTTATAAATCTCACATGTGAAGGAAAAGATGAAGGTGACCCCAATTTCCTCCTTTTCAATAGTGTTAGATGACAGATGCTACTCTATCCATGTCATGTAGATGCATATAATTCTTAATAGACAAGAGAGAAGGACTAAAGAACGACAAATCATGCTTATCGCAAATTACAACTTCCTCCAGAACAAAATCATGATTGATCAAAACGAAGAATAAAATAAAAGGGAATGACAAAAATCAGAGGCTTAGTGAGGGCCTGAGTGAAGGTGAAAGAAGACTAAAAAAGTGAAGATGAAAGGGAGAGGAAGTGAAGGAAAAGGAGAGAGGAAGAGAAAGCAGAAAGAAGAGACAGAAAAGAAGAAAATCAACACGACATGCAGAAAGGAAGTCAACTCCTAGAAGAGATGACAACTCTTTTCCTGGTATGTTGTGAGTGGTGAGGTTTGGATAATCCCGCTAAGTACCCGTTTTACAAATAGAAATAGGCTAACTCTATAAAACAAATTTTGTACTTATTATTAATTTCAGCTAAATTCTAACGTTATGTTTCATCTTTCTGTAATAAATTTTCTTTTTATTCTTAAATTGGTTTAATTGATTTTGCATTCATCCTCCCGAGGCTCATTCCTGGATTTCAGAGTGACTCTTATCTTCGTAACTTGCCTATCTACCTTTTCTTTCTTTTTTCAAAGATGTGTCCGGTAACACACACCTGGTGGCAGAATACTACTTTAAAATCCCAGAACTCAATTTCTGATAATCCCCAAGCCCCCACATTACTTTGAATATCCTTCATCAGAAATATCAATTTAATTAGGGTTGTGCAACAAGACAGTAAACAGGGAAAATAAAATTATGTTGCCAAAGTCCCAGAGTCCACATATTTGTCCCTCACAGGCTGCAAGTTTCTCACAACTGAAGTAAAGTATTGTGCAAATGATCAATAATTTGTCAAATGTTGACAAAGAAATACAAAAGTAATAAAAAAAATTTAGAATCATTCTGCTTTATCTTACTGTATAAGATAAAAATGATTCCACTTGACTTCTTTCTATACTTAAATAGTTTACTGGGTACTGTACATTCAATGACTACTTTTCCTTTATGTAATAAATACACACACATGGTGGATTTTCTCTGCTCTATCATGAACTATTGCTCCAATCAATTATAAAAAAACAGATTAATTGTAAATATGGAAAGTATCATATGTTCAGTTGCCTGAATAAACACAGTTGGCTAATGGGCTTAGATGCAACACTATAGTTAGCCATGATTCAAACTGAATTGTGTGAAAGGACCTAAGGATACAGCTCAACTAATAACTGTTTCTGAAATGCTTGTAAAAATGTTACATAAATCATCTGATCAATTTTAGATTTATAGAGTTACTGAAAAGTATGTGAAAAATTAATAATTAAAGTTTTTAGCTTCATGTTTTCATTTCATTCTATTACTTATATTTTGTAAAGAAATAGTTATACATACAATAGTGTTATAAAGACATTTCTTTGAAATTTAGCCTATTTTAACTTTCAAGACATCCTTCTTACAATATATACAAATAAACATTTACTTTTTCATGTTTACATTAAAAAGAAACAATTTACCTATTAACTTCTGCATGATGTAATGTCAGGGTGCCAACCCATAACTCATCCCAAAGTAGAGTAATTCTTCTCAGTTCGTGAACAAGATTTTTTACTTCAGCAATTGTGTGAGCATCTTGTCTAGCTAAGGTTTCAACAAGAGCAGTAAAACAATTTTGCATGATGGCAGCTTTTTGCTGTTCTTCTTCAGATTCATCATCTGATATCATTGGTGAAGAAGTGCTTGGTAGATCGGGTGACGGGTGCTCAAGATCAGATATTGCTCCTGTTTCATCAAGATCTTCAGAAAAACAGGAACTAAATATTCCTAAAATATCATATTTTTATGGTAAATACATTCATTCACTTGAAATATCACAAGCAAGATATTTCCATTTGTATTATCATTTTTTAAAAAATTTATTAATTACTTAATATAAATTTTTCACAAATTCAATTTATAACTGTTACAATATTCAATTACACAACAATGCTCATAGTTTTAGATATTCCAAACTATAAGTATACAAGTTTGAATTATTATGTCAAGCAATACTTGATTAAAATGTTTCTTTACCACATTTTTCCCAGATTACTAAAATGATCAGCTCTAAACATTACTCTCAAATTATTTTAATTCTTAAGACTAAGAGTTTTAACAACCAAATATTGTCTTTAGTATATTCAAAATAGGATACAACAGCTGTAATAATTTACAAGCATGTTCATAGTTTTGTGTAAGAAAACACAAAGAAACTGTTGCAACAGGACTATGACACCAGGACCGATATAAACAACAGAAGAGAGATCTACTTTCCTGAAAAATATAAATCAAATAATTATCAATACAATTNTTTTAAAATGCTATAATATGACAATTATAATAATACAGTAGAACTTGTTTATCCAAAAGCCGATCAACAGAAACGTCAGTTAACCAAAAGTGTTCCAGTCGGACTGTATCGTGCTGAATCGAACATTTTTGATACTAGATTAACTTCCAAAATATAATTTTTTTGTTTTTATATTTTTCAATATATTTATTTTGTTTGTGAAACATAAAAAAATAATTTTTTACAATACAGTAAACACGATTTATTTTTAAAATAATAATGTATAAATCGACGAAAATTCAACATGGTGTCACAGGCAACAAATAAAAATTTCAACATCAAATAAGTTAAGTGTGATGCAGTATAGCAGAGTGGTTAAACAAAACAAAGCTAAAAGAAATCTATGATTTTTTTTATGTTCATTGTTTGAAAAAATATGAAATATATAATTTTTTTACAATAGCAATTGTCTTCTTTAGATATTCATCCACATCTCCTTGAAACTGTAGATATGGTGTATGGTGGCTACTACATCTTTGAAAGAAGGCTTAGACAACCAAACATCACTGTCAATCACACTTTCAGTTAAAAAATCATCACTTTCATTAAACAACATCTTGACCAGTCCTGACACTATTGCACAGAGTGTGACATCAGTTTGAGATACATTAAAGGCAATAAGTATGAACATAGCCAAAAAAGTAGTTAAGGAGACAACTCCTTTTTTTGGCACCAAAAGACTAAAAAAGAAGCTAAATTTGGCACAAAGTAGCCAAACTATCATCACTGTATGCAGTCCCCTCCCTATATGCAAACTAGAACATACTTGTGTGAGAAGCCAAGGGCATAAAATTTTGTCCTATGTCACTTACTGACACACAATCATTAGATTGGCTCACTTAATTTTTCAGAGGGCTTTAAATAATATGTTAAAGATCTAGATGGTAAGGTCTAGATCATGTCAGGATGTTGACACCAGTTAATCAGTTTTCTTACACGCAAATTAACACGCGTTCTCAGAGTTTCGAGTATGAGGAACCAGACCATATAAATAACAACAACACAAAGCCCGAATAGTATATATACTAAATTGCCAAACGATCGCCTAAATATCGGGCTATTATATGGCTACTTAAATGATTAGAATAAAGCAATTTGTCATAAGAGGTAGGCATTAGGCGCCATCTCGTAAGCAAATTAATAATTAAAATTAAATAAATAAATAAGTAAATTAAATTTAGAACCTTCTGGAATAAAAGAACTGGCCCGGGACGGGGCTTAAACCCGCAACCTCCGCTTGCAGGTTTAAGCCCCGGGTGGCGTAACTGGTAGTGCACCGCACGGTGCGCTACCAGTTACGCCACCCGGACCCCGAGCAAGCCTTCGCTTCCAGAAGTATATATAATAGATTAGATATAACCTTACTTGGTTAAATACATCACTGACTGGGGGCGACTTCATCGCCCACGACCCTCAATGGCACTCAGCCAGCTAACGTAACACCCGGCGAGGTATATATATATANGCAAAAAATTTTTTTGTATGATTTTCATTTCCATTTGTGTGGAATAGTCATCTAAACTATAATTTTTATCAAGTAACTAACACCTTATTCATTGCCAAGGGAGTTTATTAAAAACTAACGTTTTCAATCTACTCCATAGATCATTTTCAGGTTGAAACACATGAATTTGGAATAACAAAGAATAGAACACCAAATTCAAATTTAAAGTTAGATAAATACTGACAACATAGCAACTAATTAAAATAAAAATTAAAGTGTAAAAATACATAAATGTAAAAATAAATAACACAATTATAAAATACAATTATAAGCCACTATCCATTAACCAATAAAAATCATAAAGGTTCCCATAACACGATTGCAGATATGGCACAAATCATGAGCTACTTGTAAGTTTTTTAACAGCATACTTTCATGCTGAGGGTAGGCCCTCCACATCTCTGGCATTTATGCATTTTTAATCTAGCTTGCTCCTGTATATTTCCATTTTTTCGGCAGTTTTTGCTAAAGTTGGGGAGTGTACTTGTCTGACGATTTCCGCATCCTCCCATCTAACTACAGATCCTTGGCCTGAGCCATCTGGGCCAGTACCACTGCATTAGATCTTTTTCTAATATCATATTTATGCTCTCTGACCCTTACTCCTAGATTTCTCATTGTAACTCCTATGTACTCCTTTTTTATTCCTAACTGCTGGTTCTCGTACATAATCCTATAAACTCCTGCTTTATCTTCCTTCTTAATATCCCCTTTATCATTTCTTAGAATCTTGTACAGATTCAGAGCTTGTTTTAAGATCAACGTTGATCCTTTACTGTCTACAATCTCCTTCATGACAATTCTTATATTTTTGTTGAATGTACATTTTGTGTATTTAGTAGGTCATTGTTTAGAGGCCCTTGTAGTGCCTATCTCAAATTTATTAAAGGGAGTTTATTAAAAACGTTAGTTTTTCATTTATTGAAAACTAACATTTAATAAACTCTCTTGGCAACGAAAAAGTTCATTAAAAACTAACATTTTTAATAAACTCCCTTGGCAATAAATAAGGTGTTAGTTATTTGATTAATTATTTTGCTGAGTACGTTTCTGTTCAATATAATCTTTNATTTTTATGCTGATAAATTTTAATATTATAATTAAATATCTTTGAGTTAATTTATAAATTTTAATTATGCTATTATTTAATTTTATTTCATTAACTAATCTCATTTAATGAAATAATCACAACAAAGTAATTATAGCAACCTGTATGACGACAATTAAATATTTTAATATTTTGTTCACCAATGCCTCCTTAAATATTCATTACTGAATTTCCTTCTATCCTTCATTTATTTATAAACAGTTCAATATTTATGCTTAATATTTAGCATCTTTTAGATATTTTGTTGTTTAACTTAAGCTACATCTATTTACAATTAATCCTTTAGTCAATATAATTTTCTTAATGCAACATTTACTATTTTAGTAAAACAATTTTGTTAATAGCCCTGTGTGTTAATAGAAAAAATCATTTTATATTTGAGACTGTCCATAAATTAATTAAAGAATGTAAGATAATGTTTTTCAAACTTTTTCCTTCACAGTCAACCTAAATTTTAAAGAAACTTTCATGACTCATACCTAAAACTTTCTGGAAATATAAATAAAATCTAAACTTCAACATAGTTTTATAGTTCTTGCTTTTATATCTTTGGTTTATTTAAAAGAATGTATATATGTATAACATTCTTTAAGCAGTTACACATATTTACCTAGTCTATTGATAAATATTTATTTAAAGTTTAAAGTAAACATTCTTCAACTTGTCACTATATTTCTTTGCTTTAGATACCTAATCTAATCCCTATGTAGTAGTAGTTGAAAGGGGGTATGCTAAATAGTTTACTTAAAAAATACAAGACTTCCAATAAATCCAAGAAGTCTCTATTAATTACAATTAAGCATTTCTTTTAAAAAGATTTACTTCCCATTATCAACTAACAATTACTGTTCAGACAGATCTGAAAACACAAATCACTATACCTACATAACTGGTTACAGATTGAACACAGCACGACTTCTTGATAAGATGCAATTCAGCTTAAGCCTCGTTATCTGTTTCTTCACCACCATATAGTATCTACTATCCCTGAGATAACCTGCCATGCTAAGATCAGGCTTTACAACACTATAATAGCTTAACAATACAAAATTATTTAATACCTCATCTCCTTTAATTCCAATTCTATACATCTCATTACCATGGTTGGAATTTGCTCTTCCCATCTATCAGCCTGTTTTTCCATAACCATCTCACCGAATCCCAGCCATTCCAGCCAACTTTTAAAGTCCAATCACCAAGAACTCCTTTCCAGTTTCGTAGCCAGAAAGGAGTTCTTGGTGATCGGACTTTAAAAGTTGGCTGGAGTGGCTTATAAATTCTAGGTAGCCTAAGCTCAGGTAATTCCAATATTCTTGCGTAATATTTTAATACTACTTTTATAAAAAAGATTCTCAACAGTACTCATCTGGTTTCCAATAAAATAGCAACATTCAATGCATGAAATCTCAATCCCAACATTTAGTTCAGGAACTCTCTGTGAATTGACTCAAAGATATTGACATTCCCCAATCCCATAACTGAGCATCATAAGACAAAACGGATTTAACTGTTGAGTCAAATAATCTGAGATGTGGGGAACACAAAGTTAGCCCTGAGATATTGAATATTTTACATAGCTTCATCAAGGAACCTTTGGCTTTCCTCTCATTAATCTCAAAGTGGTCTTTCATGGTAAGATCGTATTTAAACCAAATTCTGAAATCCTTGTATTTTTCAACTGTTTCAATTTTTTCTTTATTCAAAACCATTCAAAATGGAAACAGAAGATCTGTAAATTTAAAAGACCAATATCTAAGTTTTTTAAATATTAATCTGCAAGTCCATATCAATTGAAAAACTCATCAGACCATCAATAGCCAATTGTAATTCTACTGGGCTGTCAACCACTATCACCATAACATTGACATACAACAGAACTTTAATATAGGTGTTACTTCCTATCCATAAACCATTAACTTTTTGAATTTCATTCAACCTTGTTACCAAACAGTCAATATATAAGGAAAATAGTAATGGACTCAGTGGACATTCCTGCCAAACTTTTTTGTTATAGTAAAAAAGATTCTGGAGAAGATCCATTAGCAAACATAAATGCTAATGTGTCCGTGTACATCAATCTTAACAAATTTAGAATTTTATAGCTTAACCTCAGATTAGAAAGCCTCCTCCACTATTTCAAATGATTCACTGAATCAAATGCTGCTCTATAATCCACAAAGCAAGTACATACTCTTCTTTGTTTTTTTGTCAGCCTTTATTTTAACAAATTCCATAAGACAAATATATGGTCAACTAGAGTACCCTTTACGGAAACTCACTTGCACCTCTGACAAAATTTGCTCTCTTTGCCCAAAATAACAACCTTTTACAGAGGATCATAGAGAAGATCTTGCTAACTATGTTCAACATTGCTATTCCTTTATAATTAGTTTTATTATATACATCTCCTGATTTAAAAATGGGGAATATTCATGCTATTTTCCAACTACCCAGATATGTTCCAGATTTCAAAATTTCAGTAAAAAAGTTCAGCAATTTCTGCCACAGTTGCCCATCTGCCAACTCCCAACTTTTCATTGGAATGCCATCCAGGCCAGCTGCTTTACATGACCTTGCCTCATTCATAACAGATTCTAATAAGAGATATCCATTCTTCATACGAGATATCCATATCTAAATATATTACAGATATCAACTCCAGGCAAACAAATTCTGAATCTAGATTATCACTAAACAATAAACTTTTAAAATGCCTAAAGTTCTGTTTTAATCTCCTCCAGAATATGGTGTCTATTTCTACCTTCCAGTTTCTATATACACACCTAAAACATTTGGCTTGACTTGCAGTTTAAAAGCAACTGATTAAAACTGGTCAAAAATTCCTGTTTTTTACTTTTACAAAACTCTCTAAAATTTGCTTCAATGACAGATATTCTTTTAATGTCCAATTCTCTCCAAGTCTCCTCCACCTCCTCAGCTTGTTTTTCAACTTAATCTTTAGTTCCAAACACTCATCATCAAACCATTGTCAATTATACCTAAAGAAATACTGGAGTCTTTTTTTTCTGAATCTAAGTTTTTCCACTGTACTTGACACCACATCAGTAAGAGCATTTAAATCACTTATCTTATCATCAAATTGATTGTCCCAGCAAATACCTTGTAATTCATTTACAAACAACTCCTTTCATTCCTTCTTCCATCCTTTAAAAAACTGAACTGATTGCCTACAATATCCCTTTGTTCACACCTTTAGAAGAAATTTCTAAATGCAGCATCATATGATCAGATTCAACGTAATCATCTATACTAAAATTCTCAGCTGCCAGACCATTTACACACAAATAATCAATTACACTTTTGCCCAAATGCAAAATAAAAGTGTATTTTTCCTGTGCATCATCCTTAACTTGTCCATTTACAATCATCAAACCCTTAGTTTGATACAATCCCACTAACTTTATTCCGAACTTGCTAATGCATTTATCTTCCAAGCTCCAGCAGACACTATAGTCCAACAAGGGAAACAAACCATCTCTCCAATCCATTTCTTTCAATAATCCAATTCCACAATTAAAATCGCCCTGTAAGTATATCTCCTCATTTTGAAAAGAATGAAACAGTGACTCAAGTGACTTATAACATTTAACATAAACTTCTATTCTAATATAGACAAAAATAAACTGTTTCTTTTTCCAACAGACTTTGAATAACCAATCCTCAAATAGAGGAAATCTCCATATCTTTCAGCTCTTTGTCTATCATCATCATCATCATCCCACCTCTTTTTAGCCCTTTCTTAAATTTACTGGTAGTGCTAATCTTATAAAAGTCATTTGCACTACTTACATCAGCTGGTAGCTTTGTTAAATCTGGTTCTCCTAACCAGGTATCCATCCAGCATATATGGAACTTTCTCACAATGTTCCAATACTCTATTTCATATTCTCGCTTCCATCCATTCATGTTCCAACTAAGAACTCTTAATGTATCATACTGGCTCATAAAAAAGAATTCCTGGTAACACTATCATCATCATCTTTATCCTTGCCATCCTTACAGAGGTTTCACTTATAATCAATTTATCACCCTTGGACTATGCAATTTTTCCCTCTTTCCTGGCCTGTCTGAAATTATTAATTTTGATCTTTTCTCTTTTCCCTTCATTCCATGGAAAGATCCTCCCTTATGAGCATTGCTCTTCTCCAAACCGAGACCTCAAGTTTGTTACAATTACTCTTCCAGCTTTTTAGTATTTCTCTTTTTGCTTCAAAAGAAATACATAATTAAAACCATCAAATTTTTGTTATTTTTTGTAAGTTTAATGCAATCAAGAATAACATTTGATAAACTTCCCTTATTAACTGGACACTTCCCTTATTAACAAAGACACTGTATCTAATAAATTTTCCTGTTCATTCATCACCACATTAAATAATATTAAATTTCTCTTTCTTAAATTATTTTTGAGTATATTGACTCTTTTAATTAAACCACTAGTGGCCTGCATATTGTTACACTTGATTCTAGATTCATGGTCAGACTCTTAGTAATTCTCTCTGTCAATATATTTATCTTGTTGTTCATTTCCACAAAAGTGTTTTTTACTAATCATAATTCAGTTTCTATTTTCAGTTCTATGCCTTTCTTCATTTCATTCAACATTTCTCTTATCTCTTCTAGACACAATTCCTGATCCATTCTTCCTGCTACCTCTTTGCTTTAACAGCACTTCCGGTGAAGCAGGCTCTCAAACATTTATCTGGTGGTGTTCTTGATAACATAACACTTTTCTTAAAAACTGCTTCTTCTTCCTTAACGTTATCCTGAGCTTCATACTCTTTTGGTTTAACAAACTTATCCATATTAAAAGCCAACTTCCGAGATTTAATTACAGTGATTGTGTCTCTATGACAAAACGTGCCAACAGCCACAGCAACAGCAACAGCTATGTCCCCAATTTCATAGATATTTTTAATTTTCTGCAAATTACATAAATTTTTTCCAGAATTCTAACACTCACATTCACTTTATTATAACAATCTAGGTAAAAGTGGATTGAATAACCCATAAATATGTCAACAAAATTTACTAGATACAAGGCAAACAATAGATCTGAACATGTTCAAATCTGTTTGAAAAGAAATTATGAGATAAGATGATAATAAACCTAAATCTTCCTGAAAAATATGTAACTGTAACAAATGGAGACTCCATAAACTTCATTCAAGTCTTGTACTTCTTAAGTATGATAAATGAATTACTGATTTTGAAGAAACTATTAGTTTCTTCAAAATCAGAAGAAACTAATAGTTTCTGTATGTTTTCTCCTAATACTGGCAATGATGTTTCATTTATATATATCTTATATACTATTATTAATCATCCAAATTGCATAACTAGAACACTTTGTGAAAATAATTTGCAGCAAAATGATCTATGATTAATCTTATCACTGATTTAGTTTGCCTAAGCATATTGAAAATATCTTTGATTTATCCAATGATTATTAAATATTGCATCATTTTTCAATTATATTAATTTTGAAATTTTTCTACATAATTCTCTTCCATAAATTTTTTTTACAAAAAAAAAACATCATTTTAAATATGACAAATGTCTTATGTATGCATAATTATCAGACTAGTTCAATGTTAACTACAAATACATTCCATTTTAGATTCTATTCAATAGAAAGTAAATAAATGAAAAAAATCAGATTTGATTTTGTAATTATTAACAATTTTGCTTTCTTTGTAAATTTTTATGTTTATCTGATAAAATGAAAGAAAATATAATTTGCTATTTTTCATTATTAAAATACCATTCCATGGTCATCCCATTCACTTTCTGAAGATCCATGAATTTGGCTTATGACTTGAAGAATTGAATCTTTCTCTTCTTCCTTCAAATCCTAAAAAGAAATGATAAGAATTATATATGCTTTATACAGTCATACAAAATTAATAAAAATTATTCAATTATTTGATTATGCTGTAAATTAATATAATCAAATGTTTGGTACATAACTGAATATTACTTAATATATATAAATATGTACTGTATAGTACAGTACATGTGTACTGGAGCTCCTCTACTTATGAACAATTTGCTTATGTCTAAAATTTAAATTTTGCACAAATTCTGAAGTTCTCTTGCCAGCTCTAATCTGTGGTCATTTGGTAGTGTTGAAATCAGTCCTTAGTAAGTAGTACATGATAAATTCTTAATAAATAATTAATGTAAATTTATTTCTATTGCATGTCATCATTTTCCATTTTTATATGAATTCTGACATTCCATCACTGTTCATGTGGTGGTATTGAAGTTGGTAATGTTGGAGTAATGACAATTTTTGCTATTGTTTACAGTTTTTATAAACTTTTATGATTAATGCTTAAAAATGCATTTAAAACATAATAGTAAATCTAACAGTGGAAATAAATACAAGTGTAGCTCTGTTACTGTGGAAACTAAACTTTATTATAAATCTAAGTGCATTAGGTGAATAAACTACATTTGAAACACCTGCTACTAATCAGTAGTAGGCAAGAGGGTGTAACTTATTCTATTAAATACATTAAAGAATCAAACACTAACAATATGTAGTTATTCTGTGTACAAATGTATTTTCTAGGTTAGTTTTTGACTTACTACAAAACCTTGGAAACAATCTGTTCATAAGTAAGGAAACACCTATATATACATGTTATATAAAAGTTATATTTCTGCATTTTTCCATTAAAAAAATTATAAATTGGTTTTCCAAACAGATTATTTACATTACAAATGAAATACTATAAATTAATTATAATCAAATTTAATAACAATTTTACTATAGTTCTACACAAATAGTGAAATCATAATTGTACAATTGAAGAATTTATTTACCCATGACAGTGCTGATAAAACTTGCTGTGTTTCTTCATCAGTCAAAGTAATGCAGCCATCACTACAATAATAAAAAAATTTAGTTAATGCAAGGCACCAAGACATTGTAAATCATATAGCCGTCACAATTATGCTCATTACAGATAGCCCTATCTTTCTATGGAGTTGACCAGCCCGAGCGAGAGATAGGGAAATGACATCTGACCTGAAACTATTTAGGTTATTGTATCTTATTTTTGAGGAACAGTATCTAGTAATAATGCAAGCTAAATAAATTTTTTTTATTTGATTATGGTTATATAATTTATATTTAGGTATCAGTTATGGTTTTGGTCCTGGTTTTTTCAATTTTCAAACAGTAGTATTGGTTAAACTGCAGTTCACATCACTGATTTGCTAAAACTTTTATTTATATTCTTTAGGGATCATAGTTTCTCCTAAGTGCAAGAGAAAAATCATCCTTCTGAATGATTATTTTCTCTTGACGAGTCATCTTTGACATATGAACCACATAGCTACCATTCCAATAATCTCATCTACAGGGGTCATGCTGCATAGTGACAAAACTGCCACTTGGCGATATTTTCATTAATGTGGCAATATAAAATATAATACTGGCAATAGCAAATGGTGATAAAAACCCTTACATTTGTTTTGACATTCAGCTTGAAACTGAATCACAAATCACACTTCAGGTAAACCATTGAAATATTAAGCTTCTGTGCAATGGGAGTCCCATGCACCACACACCTAGCAATTTCGTATGTCATGCAGCAAGTTCAGGCAGAAAAGTAAAAAGTGACATTGAAAACCAAAGGTAGTTTTGTGCAATGCTGCCCAGTGTTTCCAGATTAGAGATTTTTTTATCAACCAACAGAAAATTTGGGGACTTTTTACAGTAACTTTTTTTCACTTTAATCTTATTTCAATATAACTTTTTTGACATGACAGAATCTGAAACACTGTTTAAACATTGTGATCAAATGTTGTTATTTGGAATTATTCATTAAAAGATTATTCAAAAATGATTCCTATTGTTAATAAGGAGAGAACCAGATGTTCAGGTCTCTGATTCAAATAAAACTTGGAGAGTGCACAGTCTTAAACACAAACAGCTCCTTGTCCAAATAATAGGACCCACTTCTCAAGTATTTCCCAAAAATGGATCTCTATATAAAAAGCGTTTTGTTCAAATCAGAGATCTGAATGTCTGATCCTCTCCTTGTAAATGACAAATTAACATTTGCTTTCCACAAGCCAAATTGAAAAGGCTACCAGCACCTGCATTAATCAGTAAGCAAAACTAGTGGTGATAAATAATTTGAAGTGATGAAAAAATATACAAAAGCGGCATAAATTTGGCAATATTTTTTAATTTTCCAGTGACCCCTGCATCTATAGTCTCAAATTCATCATAGAAAATGAGACAGACAACTGAATAACTACTTCCATTGTATGACCATTTACAAAAACCTTTCTTGAGAGTGTGTATTTCAGATACAGCATTTTGATATGGATAATAAATCAACCTTGTTTATGATGCCTTTACTCAAGAAACAACTACATAATTACAATGATTAATTTATATTTGATTAAAACAATATCTCACTCAACAAAAAATGAGTCTCCTTCTATAGCAAAGACCTAATACTGTAAAATGCTGTTAAGAAGTTTTTGAAAAACCACTCTTAAAAAAAACCTCTGTATAATCAATTTTATTTCTATATCAAGGAAATATAACATAGCACAGTTTAACATAGTAGAATAGTAAGGTAAACTGACTACAGCAGGTGATGAAGTGACTGGTGTCAATATGACATCAGTAAAATTCATTTGTATATACATATATTTTGTGAATAAAACTGTCCCTTCATGTCATACCAGGATATATGAAGTAAAGGTCATTGCATTGAAAGGTTAAAAAATAAATAGTCCATATGATTTATATAGAATTCCTATATACTGTAGGAATATATATACACTGTAGGGAAATAAATATATGCCATTAGTAGTCAGGTTAGTTTGCATACTCATCCTTTACGAAATGATGAGTTTGCAGACAAACCCAAACATATATAATAAACCTTTCCTGTTTCTGACAAAAAGCTGATGAATTTTGTTCTCCCATCTAATGTCATTCATCTCATAGACAAGAAGAGAGAGGTTGACAAAATACATCCCACAATAAACTAATATATCTGCACTAGGTATGAACCCAGATATCCTACAATCATCTAGCCAACATTAAAACAAAGTGTTTTCTTTTATAACAACATATTTAGGTAACTCTAAGTCAGTGGTTTGCTAACTATTTTGGCTAGCAGCACACTGTAAAATAATAAGTTTTCCTAATGCACTTGTGTACAAAATTAAATGTACATCAATATATTTTAAATTATAAGTAGCTATGTATTTTAATAACTGCTACCTTAAAAGCTCCACAGGATTTTTACATTCATGATAAACCTGTAATTTATCATGGACATAATAAATTGACATACAAAACTGATTTCTTCTCATTTTAAAATATACTTTTGTAATACAGTAGAGCATCGATTATCTGAATCAACTGGGAACTGGGATTGTTCAGAAAATTAATTTTTTGGATTACCAATTATGTACAAAAAATATATTAACTTATCCCATGTTGAAATTCATTCAAATCCTGGCACGTCCTTAAGTACCCTCTCGTGGTCATGCCAGTGCTGCCAGCTAAAACACGTACACCAACAAAAATAATATTGGAGTAGCCCAAGGCATAGCCAAAGATTGCAGTGCCACAGCACTAGCGAAAATTTAAATTTGCCGACTGGAAAGCTTTCAGTTAATTGACATTTCGCTTGATAGATATTCGGATAATTGATGCTCTACTGTATTCATGGCACATTCAACTATCTCCTGGGGCAACCAGTGCTCCCAGGCACACTTTTTGAAAATAACTACTCTAACAAACTCAATTTTTTTCTTTTATAATCTTTATATAGATAGCTTAATATTTATTATCAAAAATAATCAATAAATTCATTATTTTTTACATCAACTACAGGCAAGGCAGAAAGTGACCTACCCATGACATTACAAAACAAAAGACCAAATAACAAGTTATTGTCTAAACCTAAATATTTCTCAAACTTATATAAAATACATCTTCATAAAATTAAATATCAACAATATACATAAAATTATTAAAAACAAAACTGAATATATAAAAGGTTAACATATTACTATTATTAATTATGTATAAATAATTGTTTAGAAAGTATCAACATTTATTTTGTAATCATGAATATTTTAAAAATTTCAATATTAATTTATCCTTATCAAACACAGTAAACTAACAGCTGATAATATTTACAAAAATTAATTTCATATTAAGGAAAGTATTATATTTATCTTAATTCAAACTGAAATATACCTTGTCATGTCTGTAGCTTTACGACCCCATCTGTAACACCAAGAAGCCAAATTAGCCCAAGCTTTGGCTAATATGGGACAGTATCCAACTGCACGTTGCAGCAGTTCACCCAAAACAATTTCTGTATCATTCATTACATTGTCAAATCTTAACTCTAATAAAAACAAAATCAAATAATTATTTTCATATTAGTATTTTAAACACGTTAGATAAATATATTTATCTGTAGAAAATTAAAACTACCTTTATGTAATTCCTTATTTTCATTTGTATCAATTATACTATTTGAGAAGCAATTTCTGTTAAAGGGCATATCAAGCAAATTTTGAAGATTTGCCATATTTTTCTTACTGTCGTGTTCTTGTAATAAATCATTAACCAGTTTTATGTCTAATTGCAAATATTTCACAAATGTTAATAAAGATCTAAACAGAAAAATAAAAGTACCATGTCAGAAATCATTTTATTGCCTAACAGTATCATCAACAAAATATCAAACCTTGAATTTAATTGTCTTAAAGATGTTTCCTTTAAAAATGTATCATCAGACATATTATTTAATGCTTGAGTCACACTATAAACACTATTCAGTAATATATCTGTTGCACCTCTTGTCTCACCCCAACTGTTAAATTATAATAATTTACACTGATATTTAATATTTATCTTCAATGATATTGTTAGTAATTATTAATACATAAACAAACCTATGTAATAGTTTCGCTCCTTCTGCTTGAAGTTTAATTAGTTTTTCTGTAGGTGCAACTTGCATTGTTAATTTGAGGTTTTCCAGTAAATATGCCGTATCTGATAAATATGAAGTTGACAAACTATCTGTTGAAGTTGTACCTATTTTTGTAGTGGTAATATGTTGGTTCTGATTAAGAATTAAAGCAATATTTCTCAGTAAGAGTTTTTGAGCCAATTTATAATTTTGTTGCTTTCTAGCTAAACGAGCAGCAATCAACTGAAGTTCAGTTAAATTCCCTAAATAAAAATAAAGTTCATAATTAATAAAAATCAAAATTAAAACTTTTGAAAATCTTTAAAATATAAATCTACATTAAATACTTTTTTATAAGAATGCATAGAAACATTTAACATTCATAAAATCAATTTATAAAGAGTATTTAAAAGTAATGAAAATCACAAAACACAAAACCAACACTATGAAAAGAAAAAATTTACTAACGTTTTCATCTATAAAAATAGACATCATCAGGAAAAATTTTGTTCTATATCATTTTTACCTGATGATGTCTATTTTTATATAGATAAAAACATTAGTAAATTTTTTCTTTTAATAGTGCAGGTGTTGGTTTTGTGCCCTATGTTTATATAATCCGAGTTTTGGAGAGATACTGATAATAAAAATCAAATTTATCAAGACTTTCACTAACTTTTTAACCTTTTATTTATTATATTTATTTTAAATATAATTGTAGCAAGAAATGCCAGCAATTTAAACTAAATAAATATGATTAATGTTTAAAGAAATAGTTAAAACTGATAATAATCATGTATTATCAACTTATCAGCTACATATTGATGCCAACAATGAAAGGACAGCTTAAATTTGTCTACCTACCTGAAAACAATGATAATTAAATAATAATTAAAATTAACTACAGTAAGTGAAGTCTTATACACATATTTTAACTTAAATGTTTTGGAAAACTTTGTGACTTTTTATTAAAAACACTATGTTGGCTAATAACATTTAATTTTATGTTAGGCCTCTTATAACCATTTTTTACTGAAGACCATGACCATAAAATCAACTTTTTATAAACCTTTAATGAATTTCAAATGCTACACAATGCACTTCAGGCTTTCTACAATAAAAGAAATTTACAATTATTAAAACTGTACACACGGATACATAAGACTTTCTCATGAACAAGAAAGGCTTATATATCCATGTGTATTGTTTTAATAATAGTAGTAAAATATGGTTATAAGAGGTATAACATAAAATTACATTTTATTAGCCAACATAGTATTTTTAATAAAAGACACAAAGTTTTCTAAAAAAAAAAAAAAATAACTCAAATAGTTTTAGAAATTAAATGTTTTGTGATATGGAAATACTGATAACATTAAACAACTAATAATATCTGTGATTATATAAATAATAATAATATACAATACATAGATGCTTATTGTATATTATTATTTGTTTAAAAGTTTCAAAAAAATTAATATGAAGCTATTACATGGAGTATGTATTATGAAATAATTTAAGTAAATAAATGTTGTAAAGAAAACGACAAATACAAATTCTAAATAATTGTTATTTGTAACTTTTGCCAATAAGTGTTACAGATACACAGTAAAAAGCACTTAAATTATAAAAAATATTCTATTTTAACTTTTTAAATAATTTAAATTGTTTAAATATTTTTAATTATTTAAAAACTTTTAAATATTATTCCACAAATACCTTTCTCTTGAATATTATATTATTATGATTCTTGAATATACTAGATTTAGTGAACTGACTGAATTTAGTATATTCAAGAAGCATAGTCAGACATTTAATTTATCATACATAAATATTAGACTAAATGCAATTATGCTTCCATATAAACACACATATATATTAATATCGAAACATTATTGACTTTGATAGAAACAAATAATCATTGAACAAAATTAGTGAGGAGTGTTTTTGTTCAAAAACAAACTACAAAATTACAGCAATGAGATAAAGCCAAGCATAACACAAATTCTGAAATATCATACTGATAAATTTTAACATTGCACTTTCATTATTTAGTCTGTTATACTACTTTTTCCAATATTCTTTTATAACAATCAAATAAAATAATTGAATATTTTGAGTAATTGAAAATTTAGACAAAATTCTGATGGAAAATGCTATATCTGACTTATTCATTACACTTTGAATATATATTTTGTAAAATTCATTGTCATTTTAGAAGAAGAATAATAAACTTTTAATGCTTATAAAACCAAACACTGTCCATGAATCAAAAATCACAAAACTGAAGATGTAACAGAGAATCATAATTACATCAACTTTAATTATACAGTTCTTTTTATATTTTTGCTTGAAACATGATGCATACAATAAATAAATATACTTATAAAACAGCTTTATTTAATAATGCAAAATATCGAAGATGTAAAATTTATGTAAACATGACATCTTGTTATATTTTTGATGAACATTCCATGCAAAAAATACATCATCATCAAAAATTTAAAAAAAAAAAATAATAATAATAAAAAAATCAGTTTTGTGCAGCAGAGCAAAAAATTTTTTTGTATGATTTTCATTTCCATTTGTGTGGAATAGTCATCTAAACTATAATCTTTATCAAGTAACTAACACCTTATTCATTGCCAAGGGAGTTTATTAAAAACTAACGTTTTCAATCTACTCCATAGATCATTTTCAGGTTGAAACACATGAATTTGGAATAACAAAGAATAGAACACCAAATTCAAATTTAAAGTTAGATAAATACTGACAACATAGCAACTAATTAAAATAAAAATTAAAGTGTAAAAATACATAAATGTAAAAATAAATAACACAATTATAAAATACAATTATAAGCCACTATCCATTAACCAATAAAAATCATAAAGGTTCCCATAACACGATTGCAGATATGGCACAAATCATGAGCTACTTGTAAGTTTTTTAACAGCATACTTTCATGCTGAGGGTAGGCCCTCCACATCTCTGGCATTTATGCATTTTTAATCTAGCTTGCTCCTGTATATTTCCATTTTTTCGGCAGTTTTTGCTAAAGTTGGGGAGTGTACTTGTCTGACGATTTCCGCATCCTCCCATCTAACTACAGATCCTTGGCCTGAGCCATCTGGGCCAGTACCACTGCATTAGATCTTTTTCTAATATCATATTTATGCTCTCTGACCCTTACTCCTAGATTTCTCATTGTAACTCCTATGTACTCCTTTTTTATTCCTAACTGCTGGTTCTCGTACATAATCCTATAAACTCCTGCTTTATCTTCCTTCTTAATATCCCCTTTATCATTTCTTAGAATCTTGTACAGATTCAGAGCTTGTTTTAAGATCAACGTTGATCCTTTACTGTCTACAATCTCCTTCATGACAATTCTTATATTTTTGTTGAATGTACATTTTGTGTATTTAGTAGGTCATTGTTTAGAGGCCCTTGTAGTGCCTATCTCAAATTTATTAAAGGGAGTTTATTAAAAACGTTAGTTTTTCATTTATTGAAAACTAACATTTAATAAACTCTCTTGGCAACGAAAAAGTTCATTAAAAACTAACATTTTTAATAAACTCCCTTGGCAATAAATAAGGTGTTAGTTATTTGATTAATTATTTTGCTGAGTACGTTTCTGTTCAATATAATCTTTATTTTTTACAAAACATATTTTTGAATTACTCTAATTTTAAAAATTAATAATTATTATTAAAAAACTAATTTGGCTTATAACATATACTTACCAACTTGAGGTCGAACGTTTTGTTCTTTAGCACAAACATGTAAATTAACAATATTCCATGCTAATATATGACTCAGAAAAGAAGTGCAATAATCTGGTGGATTCATCATTAAATTATCATGTAATATTGCAGGAGAAATCTAAAGCAAACAAAAAAATGGTAGCTTTTTTCATGAAATGTATTTTGTACTCTTATATCAGATTAATTATTATTTGTAAATATAAAATCAAAAATTATAAAATATAGCTACATAATCTATGACAACTGAAAGTTAATCAATAATAAAAACAGTACATAAATAACATTTGCTGGAAAATATAAGACTTTTTTTGTTCACATAATTCAACTATTATAATAAATCCCTGTTAACTCACAAATTTTCAAAAAAAAAAAAAAGTATACAGTAATTTTAATTTTTTTTATAGCTGAATGCAAAATCAAAACAACTTAGTTCTTTTGCTATATCTACCCACAAACTACAGTTCTAAATTTGACAATGCTGCATGTGTTATCAAATCAGCTAAAATACTATACATAACCAAAAGGAATCTAATTTGCTAGGCTCTTCAGAGAGGAAAGCCATCAAGTGTTGTTGGGATTATGATGGATATTTCTAAAGTTCTAAAAGTCTAAAGTTCAGTATAACTTCTATATAGAGCTGAGCTTAATAAATTATTATAATGTATATTCATTTGCTCCTTTTTCATGTTGTTGGAAAAAAAAACCTGCTAACTCAGACAATATTCACCCCATTAGTCAAAGTTAATGGGGATTTAGTGTATTCATTAAATTTTAAAATCCAAATTTAATTATTGGAATTATTTGGATTAAGTAATAAGAAATTTATAGTAAATTTATATTAAATATAAAATTTTCTATAAATTTAAATACAGTTTAACCCGATTATAATGTCATCGAATGTAACAACAACCATAATGTAACATAAAATTTTTATCAGTCCCACAATTTTACTATATTAGATAATGTTAAAAAACACACTTGTAATGACATAAAACCCTGTTTTAACATCATATTTAAAGCACTCCCAAATTTACAAAATTAGATTATGAATTTTATTTAATAAAGAAAGTACTACGTGTTTAGTCCCTAGGGTCTGAGTCCACTTCCTAGAATGACTATGAGTGGTACTCTCACCACCTGACTTCAGTGGGGTGAGGTTTGCCACAACTTTAAATGACGTGACAATTGGTTAGTCTGCATAGTTACTCATATTGTAATTTAGTATCAAATCAAGTGAAATGGCTAGCTTAAAAAAAGAAAGCTTTAATGTTAGACTGCAAAATAGATATAATTAAAGCAGTTGAAAGTGAAAGAAAAAAGACAGATGTATGCAGAGTCTTTGATTTAGCAAATTCTACAGTATGCACAATAATAAAAAACAGAGAATATTTTGAAAAGTTTTCAAGATGGTAAGGGACAAGTGAAAAAAATTAACTTATGTGAAAAAACCAATATTGATACTGCTTTAAGTGGTTGAACCAATGCAAAAGTTCCAACTTACTATTAAATGAACCGATACTAATGGAAAAAGCAGAATTTGAACAACTACTACTTGATACTAACTTCAAATGTTCTAATGAATGGCTAAACCATTTTAAACAAAGACATGGCATAAGTTTTGGAAAAGTGTGTGGAGAAGTAAAAAGTGTAAACCTACTAGACACCGAAAACTGGTTAAGAGATGTGTGGCCTAAATTAAGACGTTTATAATGCAGATGAAACTGGGATAATTTACAAACTTTTATTAGATAAAACATTTAAATTTATAAATGAAGTGTGTTGGTGGAAAACTTGCAAAAGATAAGATAACCGCTTTTGTTTGCACTAATATGACTGGTACAGACGAAAAAAAACTTCTTTTAATAGGAAAATCAAATAATCCAAGGTGTTTAAAAACATAAAAACACTACCAGTAAATTACAAAGCCAACAAAATGTCATGGATGACATCTGAGATTTTTCAAGAAGAAATTCAAAAATGGGTTAGAGAACTTATTGGTAAATGAAAAAAGTTTTACTCCTTGTCAATAATTGCCCAGCACATCCAATTTTAGAAAATTTAAAGAGCATTAAACTTGTATTCCTTCCTCTGAATTGTACTAGCATACTTCAGCCAATGGATCAAGGAATTATAAGAAGCCTTAAATCTTATTTCAGAAAAATTCTTTTACAAAAAAATATTACAAATATGGAAGATAACAATAAAATGGCAATTTCTTTATTAGATGTAGTTGAATTTTTGGAAAAATCTTGGTATAAAGTTAGTTTGCTAATAATAGCAAATTATTTTCTCGCCATGCAAAATTGTATAATAGTCAAACAGCTATTACATTTATGAATGGTGACAATAATGATGACTACATTCCTCTATAAGAATCAATTAAGACACTACAAAATTCAGAAAATGCAAATTTTTGTCATCTGCTGCTACTGAATACGAGAGTGTAGATGAAGCCCTTAAGCCCTTATCCCAAGTTAACTCGGGCAGGTTACATAGCGTTACAAAACAAACGGTTTTTTGGACCCCCGAAAAATGTTTTTTTGGATTTTTGGATGTTTTTTTAAGTCTCCAAATTTTTTCAAAAATTTTTTCCCACGTGAAAAAATTTTATCGCAATTTTAATCTACCTTTAATGACGCACGATTAATGCTTAATTGTTTTTTAATGGGATTTTTTTAATCAAATTTCATTAATCATTCTAAAGTTCTAGTGCACAGATTTTACTTCAGTAAAGTTATTTAAAGCTAGTTTCTGATGTCAAAAACGACCTCCAATAGTTTTTTAATTAATATATTTTATTATATATACGTTTAATTAAGTCGGGGGGAGTCGGAAATCGCAATAAAAAACGTAATTTTTGAAAAATATTAAAAAATATACGGCCAGCTAGTATTCACCCTACTTTAAACCCTTCTCCTCCTGAGACTTCTATGAGAATGTCCCAGGAAATCCAAAACCAGCTGTTCTCAAGGTCATCCAGCTGTAAACACAATGACTTTTCACAGAAAGGCGAGACAATGGAAAATAAAGTTTGAAGCTTTTTCTTCAAAATTAATGCATTTCTTTAGTTTTTTTCAAAGTATTTTTTTATGTTTAATTACATTAACATTAAAAATTGGTGGGTACCAAGGGAGTTAATAACATCTGAATTTTATACAGATGCAGATATTGTTGAGCAAATTAAATCTTCAGACAAAAAAATGATGATGATGATTATGAAACATCAGACAGAGAAAATAAAGTTCCATCAACCAGGAAAACATGTATGCAATAAGATTATTGAAAATGTTTTACAGGCCTTGGAAAAACTTCATCGGAAATAATGAACAAAGTGTATGATTTAGAAAATAATATTGATAAACAATTTTTAGGTGAAAAACACCTACAATCTAAAATAACTGACTTTTTTAAGTGAATATTATTATTGTGTCTTTTAAATTGGCATACATTAGTTTAACCTTTTTCTGCCTTCTGATATGACATTATTCTTAAAACCGGAAAAAGTGCTGCCATTATCAAAACTTAAGGCAAATAGAAATTTCTTATAAAAAGGTAATTTTTGAAATTTTTAATTACATTGATGTAAAGTTAGATATAATAATGTAAATAAAGTAGATTTAAACATTTAGTTTGCACTTTTATACATATGATGATAAATTATTATTACCATAATAGATACAGTATGCTGTTTTACCATTAAGAAGTAATTTTATGGTAATACATACAATGTTAAATTAGAATGGATTTTATAATAGATTCTTAAACACACTTGATACTGTTTACGGGACTGAAATTATGACCCTGCAGATAACAACACTCAGTTATAATGTCAAAAAATTGCCAGTCTCATGGATGACGTTATAATTGGTACATTTAAATGAAAATATCTAGTCTAGCAAAAAAATATACACACTATATTATAAAAACAGAGAAATTACCTTTTTTCCTTTCTGAACAGATGATGATAATGCTGAACAACCTATGTATAGAGAGGCATGAATTGGGTCAATGTAAGGTGGCCAGTCTATAACTGAAATTTGCATCATATTTAAAATTTGCTTGCTAGCTTTCTTCATTTCATTAGTTATGTGTTGTCTAAAAATAAAAAAAAGTTTATATAATTAAAAAATCTCATTAATTCATAGCACAAAGTACCTTCTCTTGTTTCTTACACAAAAAATTTTATACAAATGATATTCAATTAAATAATAATCATGAGTGTATCAAACTTGATCAAAAATATACAATAAAAATTGTTTGAAAATGAATAAAGCATAAAAAATTATCTGATTGATTTCTTTCCTTTCAAAATTTTTGCATTAATAATTCAATTGACATGTATTCTTACTATATGTTAGGTTGAACTTTTATGTCTTTATTCATAACCAAGGATCAAGGACTGATTAGAATTAGAAATCAACCAATAAGCATTCACATACTAAGAGTGAATATTAATTGGCTAAATTCTAACTGTAACTCTTAATCCTTGGTTGTGAATACAATCACTAACATTTTTATAAACTGTCAATTAATAAAAAAAAATTGTCTTAAAGATTCTGAAATACAAGTTTTATTGCAAAATTTAAATTGTTGTGAAAGTGCAATAAAGCACTTTATCTACAGAAATCATTTACTTAAAAGGTCATAAATTTCATTTACTGCAATCTTATTATCATAATCTAAGTACAGTAGAACGTCGATTTTCCGAATCAATTGGGGACTGGGGTTGTCCNTACATATTGATGCCAACAATGAAAGGACAGCTTAAATTTGTCTACCTACCTGAAAACAATGATAATTAAATAATAATTAAAATTAACTACAGTAAGTGAAGTCTTATACACATATTTTAACTTAAATGTTTTGGAAAACTTTGTGACTTTTTATTAAAAACACTATGTTGGCTAATAACATTTAATTTTATGTTAGGCCTCTTATAACCATTTTTTACTGAAGACCATGACCATAAAATCAACTTTTTATAAACCTTTAATGAATTTCAAATGCTACACAATGCACTTCAGGCTTTCTACAATAAAAGAAATTTACAATTATTAAAACTGTACACACGGATACATAAGACTTTCTCATGAACAAGAAAGGCTTATATATCCATGTGTATTGTTTTAATAATAGTAGTAAAATATGGTTATAAGAGGTATAACATAAAATTACATTTTATTAGCCAACATAGTATTTTTAATAAAAGACACAAAGTTTTCTAAATAAATGCTTATTGAATTAACATNAATAATTTAAATTGTTTAAATATTTTTAATTATTTAAAAACTTTTAAATATTATTCCACAAATACCTTTCTCTTGAATATTATATTATTATGATTCTTGAATATACTAGATTTAGTGAACTGACTGAATTTAGTATATTCAAGAAGCATAGTCAGACATTTAATTTATCATACATAAATATTAGACTAAATGCAATTATGCTTCCATATAAACACACATATATATTAATATCGAAACATTATTGACTTTGATAGAAACAAATAATCATTGAACAAAATTAGTGAGGAGTGTTTTTGTTCAAAAACAAACTACAAAATTACAGCAATGAGATAAAGCCAAGCATAACACAAATTCTGAAATATCATACTGATAAATTTTAACATTGCACTTTCATTATTTAGTCTGTTATACTACTTTTTCCAATATTCTTTTATAACAATCAAATAAAATAATTGAATATTTTGAGTAATTGAAAATTTAGACAAAATTCTGATGGAAAATGCTATATCTGACTTATTCATTACACTTTGAATATATATTTTGTAAAATTCATTGTCATTTTAGAAGAAGAATAATAAACTTTTAATGCTTATAAAACCAAACACTGTCCATGAATCAAAAATCACAAAACTGAAGATGTAACAGAGAATCATAATTACATCAACTTTAATTATACAGTTCTTTTTATATTTTTGCTTGAAACATGATGCATACAATAAATAAATATACTTATAAAACAGCTTTATTTAATAATGCAAAATATCGAAGATGTAAAATTTATGTAAACATGACATCTTGTTATATTTTTGATGAACATTCCATGCAAAAAATACATCATCATCAAAAATTTAAAAAAAAAAAATAATAATAATAAAAAAATCAGTTTTGTGCAGCAGAGCAAAAAATTTTTTTGTATGATTTTCATTTCCATTTGTGTGGAATAGTCATCTAAACTATAATCTTTATCAAGTAACTAACACCTTATTCGTTGCCAAGGGAGTTTATTAAAAACTAACGTTTTCAATCTACTCCATAGATCATTTTCAGGTTGAAACACATGAATTTGGAATAACAAAGAATAGAACACCAAATTCAAATTTAAAGTTAGATAAATACTGACAACATAGCAACTAATTAAAATAAAAATTAAAGTGTAAAAATACATAAATGTAAAAATAAATAACACAATTATAAAATACAATTATAAGCCACTATCCATTAACCAATAAAAATCATAAAGGTTCCCATAACACGATTGCAGATATGGCACAAATCATGAGCTACTTGTAAGTTTTTTAACAGCATACTTTCATGCTGAGGGTAGGCCCTCCACATCTCTGGCATTTATGCATTTTTAATCTAGCTTGCTCCTGTATATTTCCATTTTTTCGGCAGTTTTTGCTAAAGTTGGGGAGTGTACTTGTCTGACGATTTCCGCATCCTCCCATCTAACTACAGATCCTTGGCCTGAGCCATCTGGGCCAGTACCACTGCATTAGATCTTTTTCTAATATCATATTTATGCTCTCTGACCCTTACTCCTAGATTTCTCATTGTAACTCCTATGTACTCCTTTTTTATTCCTAACTGCTGGTTCTCGTACATAATCCTATAAACTCCTGCTTTATCTTCCTTCTTAATATCCCCTTTATCATTTCTTAGAATCTTGTACAGATTCAGAGCTTGTTTTAAGATCAACGTTGATCCTTTACTGTCTACAATCTCCTTCATGACAATTCTTATATTTTTGTTGAATGTACATTTTGTGTATTTAGTAGGTCATTGTTTAGAGGCCCTTGTAGTGCCTATCTCAAATTTATTAAAGGGAGTTTATTAAAAACGTTAGTTTTTCATTTATTGAAAACTAACATTTAATAAACTCTCTTGGCAACGAAAAAGTTCATTAAAAACTAACATTTTTAATAAACTCCCTTGGCAATAAATAAGGTGTTAGTTATTTGATTAATTATTTTGCTGAGTACGTTTCTGTTCAATATAATCTTTATTTTTTACAAAACATATTTTTGAATTACTCTAATTTTAAAAATTAATAATTATTATTAAAAAACTAATTTGGCTTATAACATATACTTACCAACTTGAGGTCGAACGTTTTGTTCTTTAGCACAAACATGTAAATTAACAATATTCCATGCTAATATATGACTCAGAAAAGAAGTGCAATAATCTGGTGGATTCATCATTAAATTATCATGTAATATTGCAGGAGAAATCTAAAGCAAACAAAAAAATNATATATGAAATTAATGTAATCATAATTCTAAATGCATCAAAAGCAGAATCAGAAAATGATCATGTATTTTACTGAAAACTTTTTGAAACAAGCTGCATACAAACAACACTTTTTCATATAACAAGATATTTATATGATAACTAAAACTATAAATATTATATTACTATTTATATAAATTCATCATTCGTGAAAAATCAGAAATTACCACAAAAACATAAAATTTTTATATGAAGTAATTTGTTTCTATATAAAATTTTGTTTTAGATGAAACAAAATAATAGTATAAGACTACATTATACTAAGTAAATATATTGAGCATATATTTGTTCAATATTGATTTGTGTATTTTCATAAAACTAAATCAGATTTAATGCATTTTTTAAATAAATTTGTTTTAATACTATTAATTTACTGTACATGTATTTTATAGATATATTTTCATTTTTCACTACAATAAAAAATTTTAATTTTTAAAAATGATTATATCATTCAAATAGTAATTCTTTTCTTAACCAGAGATAAACCTAAATATTTTATTTGTAGATATGTCTTTCAATTTTAATATCATCTCAACTGATGATTATTATTATTACACACTATAAATTACTAATAAATTTTCAAAACTACATATTAAGTTAGATTTCACTTCCTACTGCAAGATCTGTAGACAATACTAAAGTTTAATTATTAAATTTAGCTACTGATCTATTATGATGTTAATAAGAGTTTAATTTTTTATTCCATACAAATAATTAGAATCTTGTCTTATATAAAAAATTATTTACACTAAATCAACTATAAAAACTGAACTTACAATTCATCATTTACAGGTTTTGTTGCAATTTCGTAATCTACAGAGGCATTCAATAAAGTCTTTTCTGCCGAACGTAACTGATGATTTGTTTCCCATCCAATATTTTCCAAATTTACACATACTTTGTTGATTCCAGAAAAATCAAGGTTTGTTTTTATGCTTCCTCCAAATTGAGATTTTAAGCTATCGTCAAAAACTCCTAAATATCTGAAAAAAAAAAACAGCAAAGTGCAAAGTATGTTTAAAAATAAGTAAAATAACTGAAAATATAAAATTTTTTCTCATCACAAATTTATAAACTTACTTTAAAAATGTAAGATCACTATCAGAAAATATATGATGAAGAATCATTCCATTGTGACTCCACCTAAGCTTTCTTTCCATTTCGGTCCACTTCAAGGCATCTGACCAATTACTAATATTCCGATAACAATCTATTACCTAAAAGAGCCTTTTAAGTTTACACTTTCTTAAATTTAATGTAAAGATAAAAAGAAATTAAATCTTACATGCTGCATCAAATATGACTGTAGATGTGTGTTGGTATCCAATTTCGTTTCTGACATATCTTTCAATTCTAATTGTCTTAGAACTTTAGAAATAATTTCACTTTCTGATATCATATTTTTATGTTTGTTTATTTCATCAATTAAATTATTTTCATTTTCCTGATTAGTATAGCTTGAATTCACTTGAGTAGTATTTAATGGAATAACTGGATGACTTAATGAATAAAGTATGCATATGTATTCAAATGCTGCAGTCTCAAATCTATGAAAAAAAATATTAGATGTTTAATACCACAAAGAAAATGTATATAAGTGCTTTATGATTAAAAATAAATAAATAAATAAATAAATTGTAGAAAAATATACCTGCTAGCAGCTTGATCAACAGCAGCTTTTATCCAAGTAAATTTTCTACCATGGCATTCTTTACACCAGTTATACAATCCTAATATAGCTTCAGGACATCGGAGACCAATTAATGCTTCAACAATATACATTAAAACCTGATCAAATTCCAGTCCCTACAAAACATCACTTTATTACTTCATGCAGTAATATTTTATATTAGATTTACAATAAAGACAACTCACAATTTAAAATTTAAAATCACATAGTACAACAGAATTATTAAATTCTAACACACATTTACATTCTAAACTTCTAACCACAGAGATAAATAAATATTTTATAGTATATCTAATAGATTCACATTCACATCAGACTTTAAAAAATATCTTTAAGTTACTCACTAAAAGGATAAAATTATCAGATTATCATAGCTTTTGTAAATGTATATTATGAATCAAAAATTATTTTAGATTTTATATAACTGAAAAATAATAATAATACAACTGGGGTAGTATATCTGTCAAAAAGTAAAACAGGTGTCCTGTGTATATTCTAAAAAACATCAATATTTTAGATGAAAGTGCTCTAATATAATTAAAATGGTTAGCTATTATAAAAGACAAAAATCTGCATCCTTTATGAAATACAATATTGGAGTGAAATATAGTATTTGAATTTTTTGCATAAATTTGTTAAATTTCTAGTTTCTTTAAATAATGCATTTCTTTTCAACCTGTATTTTGATTATATTTGCATTCAAATAATTGATGTTTATACTATTATCAATCAATTATAATATAAAATTATTTCAGTAAAACCTATATGGAATTGCTCTATACTGAATTTTTTCCCATTTTGGCAGGTTTTCATTTTGAATAAGTTTTAATATTTATTTTTTTAATCTTTAAATTAGACCAGAAAATTTTGCACACTCATTTTTATAATAAAATCATTTTTACGTGCATGAAATAAATTTGATTATCATCAAATTAATACAAAGTGATTTCAACTAATGATGGGAATATTCTATTCCATTTTAAAAAGTCGTCATTGTTCCCAAAAACTTGTGTTAGGTATTCAAATATTTCTGGGATTTGATCCTTATAAGATCACACAACAGCAAACAGGCCAATTTGAGTACCAAGAACTAGTGTCTTGCTCTGCCATCAGAAATTCCAATTATATACAGTAATACAGAGACTAAGTTATCTGTGATCTGACTTCTCACAAAGTTTTAATACTCTAATTAACTGCTAACTTTATTTACTGTAAGTACTAACAATATTCCACTTGTTCATGAATATTCGGTACTAGTACCACTGTGTTACCTTAATCTCACCATTTCAATGAATTACATTTGTTGCTTGTTCTCAAGAACTTGGTTCTCAGAAACTCAGTCAATTTTTGAAAGTTTCAATTCCTAAAATTATTTGATTCTGTATGTGGTCAATTCTAACAAAGACATACCTACATGTCTCCTTGTCATATGAAAACCATTTCTCTGACAAGGTTCGAAATCATTCTCAGAACAGTTTGCCTATCTCTGCAGAGACTGTTAAACACAGAAGCAATTTTACTTATTCGTCTATAAGTGAATTCTTAATTTCTCACTTAGTTCAGGTTAATAAATTAAATTCTTTGTACCCAGTACTGGAATGAATGAGCATTTTGCTCATTCATTCCAGTACTGGACAGAATTCCAACTTATAGTAAAATTTAACATTAAAAAAATTGCTTCATTCAAAAATATTTTTCATTTAGGCAAGTTTGTTTTCTTCAAATTCCATTTTAGATAGATCTTACTGTACTTAATCTTAAAATTTTTAGTTACCTGAGTATTTTTTGCTTCTGTCATTTCTTCTAACAATTGATAACCTTGTCTTACTGCCATAGCTAATTGGCCAGATTGTAATGCCACTACTAATGTTGCCATTCGAACACGTGTTAACCATTCAAGACACGTTGCTTTATTTGTACGAAAAAATGTTCTCACAGTCTAAAAAAAGAAACACAGAAGTTCAAAATTTAAATTTTATCCTAAAATAAAACTTAAATCTTATTACTCTAAATTTAATCATTTGTTTAAAAAAGCTTAATTTATTCAATAATAATAAAATTCTCTTCTTTTTATAAATACTTTTGGAGGCGTTGATAATGTCAGAGCACAGCCTTCATATGCATTATACATCAGTTTCTCCAAATGTTCCATTATATCCAATAATAATCGTACACGTAGCAAGTCATTTCCATTACAATCTAATGTTAAAAATATAATAATAATAATAATATTAAAAGTTGTATTTATAAATGCAAAAATTTAAGTTAACTAGGTAATCTATTTGTCAGAAAGAATATTGAAAGTTCTTACTGGCAAATGATAATAATTAATAAAATATGGATTATTATTATATTAAATGAAATTTCCAAGTTCAAAAATAACCATAACAGTAATCTTAATTAAATATTTAGAAATTACATCATTAATTAACTTTTTTCCATAATGAATAGAATTAAAAGTTCAATTAAAACAATATAGAACAGCACTAAGTAAATATAAATTCACGTTTTTTAAAATTACTAGCATTAATTCAAATGAAAAAAAATCTGTATCTGCAGTTATGTTGTCAACATTGGTATGTTAATATGTAAATAAAACTCATCTTATATTCACTTGATTTTATAATTAAACTTTTAATATCATTTATGGATAAAATGTTAATATTTTATCAGGGTCAACAACACAGCTATAAGTGAATGTAACAGTCTTGATTTAGACATAACATAAAAACAATCCCAGAATATAGTATTTGAATCTTTATTAAACTAATTTTTTATATAATAATAAGAACAATGAATTTTATATTATTAAGTCAAATCTATTTTTTTAAATGAAATTTAAATAGAACAATATTACAAAATAATTATAAGCTTTTCATTACACAAGTATTCCTTACTTAACGCAGGATTTGATTAACGTGCAAAATTAACTTTGGCAATTTCTTTATATATGCAGCAGAAATTTTAATTAACACAGCTTTAACAGCAGTCTTTACTTAACATAGATGTTTTTCTTGACAAATAAGATGTTGACGAATTTGCTAATTTTGTGCAGAGGGTAATTCAATATAGATATATAGTTTAATTATAATACTTGTAAAATTTAAAACATTATTGCTAATGCGATATTGTATTCTTTGTTTAGAAGCTTACTTTAAAACTATACTTCACATTTTGTGTAAAATTAATCGTAATGTCTGTAGATAAAATGCATATCAAGCATACTAAATATGCTTTTTAAGTTTCATAAATGGTATAACACTTCACAAACAGTAAAAAATACTCAGTGTATGGGAAAGATGCTCCTAAAATGTCAGATAGGTCAAATGTGATTTTGAAGGTGATCATTCAGGAAATTTTGAAGTTAAGATACAAAATGTACGGGATGCCCAAAAGCTGTTAAACAGAAATTTCAGGAACAAATTGTTAAAAATCAATGAATAACAACTCATAAACTTGCAAAAAATCTTAGTGTATCACCGACATAAACATTGTGAATATTTATCATAAAAAGCTTTTCTTACAAATGACAAAATTAAAATGAAAATATTTGTTATTAACCAAAAATTTGTTCTTGTGGGTTGAAATTGTTTGGTTCAGTTACCACTGTATTAACATGATTTTGATACATGGTAGCATCAAGGGATTAATTAATTAATTGCATTAATCAAGGGATACCTATAGTAAATATGTAGTGTTTCATAATTTTACTAAACTATTAAAATAAATTATTTTAATCATAAAAACATATAAATAAGTAAGAAATAAATAGATATTTTTTAACATTAATAGTTAAAATAGTTTAAGACAAATATTTCAAGGTATGTTACTATAAAAACTAACTGTTTTATAATGGACTAATTATAACAGTTATATTTCAGTGAATATTGTTACAAAAACTTGCATAGAATATCCTCTTGTTAGATCATTTCATACTACTTTTTAATTATGTTTTTATTGATTTCAATATTGATATATTCACAATAATATATTATGCATACTTCATTATTGAAGCCAATTTGATTGTTTATTACTAATAAATGTGAGAGCCCAGACTTGACAATAAAATTTGGAACAAAATTTTCATCAAAATTTATTAAAGCTTGCTATAATTTTTCCCACGATTAGTAACTGTAACTGATTATATCTCTCAATGGAATCACTTCCCTTTCCCAGGCGACACACTGAATGTGTCACCCAGAACTGATGATCAAAATTCAACCATTGGCCCTGACTTTTAATATTTCCAAATAAGGGCATGAAAAGAAACTGGAAGGACCTCCTAATAAAAAGAAGGAGATCAAAGACAATTGCTGTTCGTTTGTCATCATCAATAGTTCACCACCTTTGGACTAATCTTCTTGCCTGGTCTTTTAGGATGCTGCTTAAGCCATTGCCCATCATCTACTTGTCTTAAGACATCAAGAGACTTTTGCACTTTTTCAACTCATTGAAGACTATAACAAACCACCTGGCAAACCAGAAGTTCATTGATTCACTGATCCTGCAATTCCCAAAAGAACCAATCTCAATTTAACTAAGATACTTATCAACTCACAGACTATTGTGAACTCTCTCTCTTGGTCAGGGACCCACAATATTAATGCTAATAGCTACTTTGTAGAGATCCTTATAAAATTAGCATCTAGCTAAGATTCTTATATAAATTATGTACAGAAATGTAAATTGCTTTGTAAATAAATGGATATTGTTTAACGTTAAATTTGTAGCGGAGTACACTTCTGGTTGTCTCTCAGACCTTCTCCATCCCAGGTCCGAGCACCTACACATGGCTGCTTGCGCGCAAAAATACACTTAACAGCCATCAAGCTTTCTGTGTCTGTCCATAGGACACAGTGGTGTCAATCCTGACAACTTAATCATTGCTGACACGATGTCAGTCCTTTAGTCCCATGGCATGGAAGCATAGGGGTGTTTTGCACATTGTCACATAAATAAAGCAAACAAAATGTAAAAAAATCTGACAAAATAAATATATATGCAGCAATTTTGAAAAACAGAACAATGATAGAATTGGTTTAATAAAATTTATATTGTTGATATTAATATATTTAATTCAAATTAAAAATAAATCTTTTATATAATTAGTTTAATAAATATGAATATACAACTTACTTTGACTAATTTTAAGATTTTCTTGTTTCCCAGCTTGCTTTGCATAACTTTTAATTGCACCTAAAATAAATACACACAAAAAAAATCTTAATTTATAATTTCAATAACAAAGATTATATTTTAAAAAAATATAATACAAAATTTGTTGATCCAAAATCTAACTACAAAATCAAGATTATTTTTAAATTAAAGATTTCATTCCATATAGATGACTGCATAAAAAAAACTAATTGTTATTTATCTAACTACTACAGAATTTTCATTCATTTGATTAATGAAATAAATAATAAAATATGTTAAATATATCAATTCTGAAAAAAATTATGTAGTACAAGTTAATTTCTTTATGATTTCAATGTATTAAATTTTTTTAAGTGCAAAACTTTTTATTGAAATCTAAAAATTTAAGAAAATTTCAATTAAAAATTCTTTAATTGGATTTCTTACAACAAATAAATCCTTCAGATGAAAAAAATTAACATAAATTAAATTCATAATCCCATGTAACAATTTTCAGTATCTATAGTAAATAATAGCTGTAGCCTGACATGATGTGTGGTATAGTCTCATGCAAAACATTCCATTTACTACAAATGCCATTTATGAATGATGTGTCATTTAAAATGTGCTTCCTGAATTTTTTTTGTGTGTTTATGACCTGGTCTTGTATGACAAGTATGAATCCTTCTGTCTTTCCAAAGAGATATCTAAAGTCAGCCAGCAGTCTGACACAGTTCTGTCAACATAGTCTGGGCTGAAATGAAAGAGAGCTTACCGTGAAACTCCTTTCAAGCCCAAAATTGTCTGATGATGGTTTGTTTTGTTTGTTAAGTTATGGCAATGCAACACTTGGGTGATCTGCCTAGGGGGATGCTTTCCAGGAAGTCTTTTCAGGGTAACTGGTCCCTATTCATGTGTTACAGACATAGAGAAAATCCAGAAAACTCCATGTGGCCAGCCCATCTTGACAAGGCATGAATCCATGACCAAACTCCCAGTTTTCAGGGAATGGAACTGCTTGGCCACTGGTGGGCCATCTGATGATGGTATATGTGTATTCTGTGTATTGTGTTAGATCCAGGTCAGTGTTGTGTAAGTCTAATGGTGTGCTGTATTGTCTGCAAGTGTAACAGCTTTGATGATTCCTATAAACTCTTACTGTGTCCATATTTGTTTGTAGTTTATGATATCTGTGAAGTCTAGTTATCCCTCTTTACAGAAGAAGAGTTGGCCTTTCAATGGAGGACTTAGGGTGGTGTTTATTACATTTTGTTAATGTTGTTCATGTTTTCCTTTGTTGTTCTAGGTCTGTATGTGTACAATATATAACTCCAAATGAATGTGTCAATACTGGAACAACTTAGGTGTTGGTTACTGTAAATGTGTTTTGTATTCATCTGTTATGTTCTTTTCTTACTCAGTTTAATTTGTACATGTTCTATATTGTTTGTCCTATTGAAATTCTAAACAATTGTGAATCTCACTGTCACAGATTAAACGAGGTCTCCATTTCCAAGTGTAAAAAAAAAGTCTGCTTTCTTTGAGATTCTTTTTTCAGGGTGAAGTGTTTTGCATTTGTCTAGGCCAAACTCCATTTAAATAGTTAAATGAATAAAGGTGTGTAACTTCTAACAAGTGATTTAACTGTGTTCATGTGGATTAAAGTTTTATGCTGTCCATAAATATATATGAAGTGAGATAATATTTATTGTATTGTTCTGTTGTTTGATGTCTTATCCATATTTTGTATCATTTAACCTATTAGATAGAGAGTTTAAAGCCAGATAAAGAGTGGACTTAATGAATCTCCCTGAAAAATGCCTCTCATGTTTATTAAGTTATGGCAACGCAACACTTAGGCGATCTGCCTAGGGGAATGCCTTCTGGGAAGTGTTTTTTAAGGGGAAACTGGCCCCTATTTAGGTGTTACAGGCAAGGAGAAAACCCGGAAACTTCACATGGCCAGCTCGTCCAAATGAGGCACGAACCCATGACCTGTAAGGAACCAAGTCCGAGCATTATTTTTAGTTACTTTTTATTTTGCTTTTTATTTTATTTTTGTTTGGGGCTTATGTTTTGTTAGGACAAAGGCTTCTTCACCACTCACCTTAGAAACTTAAAAATAGAAGAAAACCAACTCACCAACGAGAAAAAGCACTGTAAAAAAAAACTCTCACACACTTGCATTGCTGAGTGAAGAAAAAGTAAGTCCATACCAAGAAGAGGGGAAAGACCCCACAGGCACAACTCAGGAACTTGCTAAACCTTAAAGAATAAAACATCCCAAAAATTGTCAAAAAGAATAATGTAAAAGGTTAGCGAGTATTGTCGGAAAATAGGCTGCCAGGCAAAAAGAAGAAGTTCAATGTTAGAGATAAGTATGTAAATGAGGGGAGTGATCTCAATCAGAATTGTGATGTAACCTCATAGTATAAAGTCCGAACCTCAAGTGAAGATGACCAAGGTGAGCTTCTGTTAGCAACAAGCATGGTGAGCTTCATAGCAGCGAACGACAAGAGGTGTCCGATAGTGATAAAGGTGTTCCAAGGTGATTAGAAGTTATTCGAGTTGTGGATCGAAGAGAATTGAGGAAAAAGGTTCCTAGTATATTGAGATGATGGTTAGGACCTTACTTCATAAGAATTGTTGTACATAAGTTAAGTCTTTGAATTTTTTGTCGAGTTCCAAAGGGGAATAGATTTAAGTTAGCAAATAGATTAATTTGAGTTTGTCGGGTTAATTCTTATTGTTGATTTTCTTTGAATAAATTTGTTGTTACTAATTGTTTGTAACTAATTTTTGTACATAGTCATTATTAGAATTATTAAATATTGGATTGTTTTTGACTAACTTTGCAATTATTTAATTTGGTGCACACTTAAAGTCCAGGCCTGGCACATTAATGCAAATCCGCGTAAAGTACCCATTAGGTAATGGCTATTTCTGGCACACAGTTTGTGTCGATAATCATTGTGAAAGGCGTAAAAATAACTTAGTACTTTAAAGACCAAACTCCCAGTGTTCAGGGTACAAAGACTGCTTGGCCACTGGTGGGCAAGATGCCCTCAGGACATGCTAAAAAAAAAATGCTATTTGATTTGATTTGATGTATCTGTCATGAAGCTTGTGGTTAGTGTTGTTCTCAAGTGCTGCTTTGTTTTCTATAAATGTAATGGTGTTGGATGTATTTTGCATAGTGTATGCGATAACCATGAATACGGGATGCTGTCAAATGTCTTCCTGTAATCTATATGCTATATGTAAATTTCTGTATTATTAGTGTACTTATAGAATTATTGAATCTATGAGTAACAACTCTTTATATCTGATGTTATTTCTATGACAGTGATTTTATTGTTTTGTGGGAATGTTATATTGTTGTACACGACGACAATAATAATATTTTAATTTGTTCTATAAGATTTACTCTTCAACAAAATTAAAATTCCTACCACATTCCACAAAACAGTACTTCAAATAAGAAATTTAAATATCAACTGACAGTTGTTAAGTAAGAATTTTATCTGTTGAACCAATTTGATAAATTTTAATTTTTAATTCTTTTTTTATCTTTTTGTCTTTAATTTTTACATTTCTGTGTAAATATTGTGTATTTGAATTTGTTTATCATCATTTATATAGGTATAATGGGTAGTAAAGTATTTAAAGTACAAGTGACAGTGGAAAGATAATAGAAAAAGTATAAAGAATATGGAAAAACATTGAACCAAAAGAATAAATAATCAAGCTCAGTGAGTACAGATATAAATTACTTAAATGTTAAAAATACTGTAAGTTTTTTGCAAAAAAAGTTATAATTTCATACTGGTATTATTTAAAGAATGTTAAGATAGACATGTTACACTCTATTTTTGGATACCTTATGTCAATATTGTTATTGTTTTAATATTGAACAATAAAGTAAATTTAAGTAATTTTATCTTAAATACTACTGCCATAATATTATTGGTTTTAAAAAGTTTTTATATAATTGTTATAGAATGTAAACCTGTTGAAGAGGGCCTTCAAACTCAAAACAAAAAAGTGTACAGATGAAAATAAAGATATTTCGTTTTGCCTTTTGACTAAAATTTCCTCTTTGCTAATCTGAAACTTCACCAGTATAATGAGTCCTATTAATAAACAAAGTCCAAGCAGACAATATATACACAGAAACTTAATTTTTAATAGTGAGGTTGAAGCCGAAGTTTTAAATGCAAAAACATGTACATCAGACATTCAGCACCGCTTTCCTGTAAGCCTAGAAGTTTGACAATGGTATTTAGAATGTCAAGCATGATTCCACTGACTATCCAAACACAATTGTCAAACTTCTAGGCTTACAGAAAAGCGGTGCTGAACGTCCAACATACATGTTTTTGCACTTAAAACTTCGGCCTCAACCTCGCTAATGTTTCAATTTACAAATATAAAAATTATTTTCATTGTCAATTCTCAATTTTACATTATTTAACTTCTAACACTGTAGATTATAGTAATTAACATAGTATCTAATAGCAATCAAATCTTTACATACCTAAAGTTTCATCCAAATAAGTGGTGGTTAGGAAGTAAATTAATGTTTGAAATAAAACAACCTGCAATACAAGGAAACAAAATACAAACTATGATAATGCAATGCCAAATATGTTCTACAATTTCTGATGGCTAAATTACAGAAAACATGAAACATGCCTTCCCTGCTGATATTCTCCAACAAAGACCTACTTATCCTCACCAGCACATTGCCTGATTCTTCTGCTATTTCTTTGCTGAGTCAGTTACATACATACTTGAATCCATAAAGAGATTTTGGCTGGACTTTCAACAGAAATACATCTGTGTATTAATCACCTAAAATCTCGATACATAAAGACCAGGGAATGTGAGGAGCATTCTCAGTGTGCTCAATGAATGTAATGCCAGAGACTGAAAAAGTAACTGAACATTGAAGTGGTATAGTGAGCTAGAGCAAGATCTCACCAGAAGAGCACTTTATATCCATAATGCTTATCTATGAAAGATCAAATGCTTCTTCAAACACTCCTCAATATAAACCATAGCCATTATAATCTCGAAATAAAAGGTTCCAAAATTGTCCAGATATTGCCACACAACCCATTTCTTTGGGAATTTTTTTCACCCTTAAATTTGAAGTCTTCCAGGACATCAGTACATCCTGGGCATGGTAGAAATGGTGTTCTGAAATGCTGGATGAGTCTTGAGGTAGGTTTCATCATCAACATGAATGACTTTTCCCTCAGATTTTTTCAGGATTTGTTTGTATGCATTTTCTGCACGAAGTTCCCAATTCTGAGTACTTGGAACTGTGGTTTTAACCTATCCTTTTATGCCCAGTATACCAAGTTTAATGGCAACTAGAATTGATCAAAGCAGATTTACTTTTGCAGCTGCAGCAGTTGATGAAGTGTTGGATTTCAATTTGAAAGGTCTACTGACCTTGCCCTTCATTTTGTCAGTAGTAATGTTACGTGTTCAACCAGGTAACAGCTTGAAACTTCCATCTTCACATTCTTCATATCTACAAAACCTTGTGTACAATTAAACAGCTTGCCAACTCTAATAAAGTGCTGGATCATTTTGCATTTGCCCCTGCTGGATACCTCTTCAAAATACTTCACAATATATTTAGTGAGAGCTGCATGTTCAGCGTGCTTCATTTTAAGTTTGATCACTTCCAAACATTAATTCCATGGAATTCAAATATAGAATATGTCAGCATACGCACATGTTATATTTGGCGCAGTGACACTTTCTGCAGCACACAGAATTTTGAAACCAAATTACATTAATTTACTTCCTGACTACCACTTAAAGTATCAGCAATCATTATATTTGATGATATAGTTTTCAACTAAACATAATAAAAAGCTAATAAGTTGTTTTAAAAAACTTCATTTAAATAATTTCAGCTTTCTTATATCAAAATGTAAGTAGTCACTAACCTTCAATTGTTGTGAATGTTTCTTGTGGTTTTCCAAGAGGTGTTCTCAATTTATTTAACACACAAAGTTGTGCTACTTCCCAAGTTGTCCAAAACCACAACAAAGAATTGTTGCTCACCATCAAAGTCATCAACATTCCACTAAGTTTAGACTGTTTATCAATATGTTGACTTGTATAAAACAATCTATAAAGCCAGTTCTTATCTCTGTTAAAACATACAAATTATTAAAAAAATTATGAGAGTTAAACATTTTATATAAATAAAAATGATTTATACAGTTAATTCACATTTGTTTTCTTCTCAAGAGTATAGTAAAAGCATTCTACTCATAAATCTCTCCAAATAATTTTATACAGTAGAGCGTCGTTTATCCGAAAGTCAATCATCCAAAAGAATTCCAGTCGGCAAATTTAAATTTTCGCCAGTGCTGTGGTGCTGCAATCTTTGGCTACGTCTTGGGCTACTCAAATATTTTACGTTTTTGATATTAAATTAACTTCTGAAGTATAATTTTTTATTGTTTTTATATTTTTCAATATATTTATCTTGTTTGTACAAAATAAAAAAATAATTTTTAATGATACAATAGTCTTCATTAGGCTTAACATCAACGAAAATTCAACGCAAAGCGACACGCAATGGAGAAAAATTTCAACATGGGCTAGATTAACATTTTTTCGTACATAAGCGGTTATCTGAAATATCGATTTTCCAAACAACCCCAGTCCTCAACTGATTCGGATAAACGACGATCTACTATACTTTGTCCAACATGTATTGAAGAAAGTATAAGTTCTTTCTCCAAAACAGAAAATACTACTGAAACTTCTCTTTAACCAGTCTAACATCAATTTTACCCCATATATAATCTCAACACAAAGCTAAAACTAGCAATATTTGCCCAATATAGTCATTTGCTTTTATAACCACTTAAAAGAAGTTTTTTGGACAAATAAGCTAAAATGTTATGTCCTTCGAATCTGACATTCATCCAAGTACAAGAATTACTCAGAAAACCATTTTATTCTCAGATGCATTTTGGATCAGAGTTCTTGCCAATGTAAAAGCATTTAAATAAAACATCTGAGAATAAAATAGTTTTCTGAGTAATTCTTGAATTCCGGTGATTGTCAGATTCAAAGGAACATTTCAGCTTATTTGTCCAAAAAACTCCTTTTAAGTGGTTATAAAAGTTCATAATCTTACCTTTATAACATGATTTAAAAATATAACCATAATATAAATCAACCTATTCTCATTTAATATAATTATGAAAAATAACAATACATAATGACCTTTTCAGTTAATGAAACTATTATAACAGAGAAAAAACAATAAAAAATATTTGTTTAAAATTTCATATAAAAATTTTACTTATTATGTACTTACTCTGGTTCAATTCCTTGAAGAATGTAAGTCATAACAGTCTTAAAATTATAAGAATGAAAAGTACTAAGTGGAGATCGATTCATATGACCACGACGAACTAACCAAATATCAGATATTGTTATTTCACTATGATCCAGTTGTGTTTGATCAAGTTTTACAGCCTAACCTAATCCAAGTCTTCCAACTGAAAATGGGAATCCACTAAAAAAAAATAATTACAAAAATTAATAAACAATTTCATAATATCCCCATTTTTAAAATATCAACTGCTTTCTACTATCAAAGCCATACAAATATAGTATCAGATAAACTATTGTAAAATTATATACAAATCTTACCTAGTAATTATATGTAATGGCAAATACATAAAAAAATTACTAAATTCTTCTTGCACATCTACATTACTGTCACTTAATTTAAGAACACAGACTTCATAGCATCTACATAATTCAAAAACCATATATTAATTAAACAATATTCCTAAAAATATGAATTTTAAAATAAAAATATATTCAGTAGTAAAATAAATTCTCAAAATTTTACCTTTTCAATATGTTTTCGGGCAATGATGATGCAGAACCTTTTACTAATGTTTGCAGAACTCCACAGCATGCTTTAGTTAATAATGGATCAGTGGTATATGCTATAAAAATTAGATATATGTATTTTAAAGTATATGTCTATTGAAACAATTAGAAATCAAACAAGCATTTTTTTCACAGATAAAATGAAACTTAAATAATTACATAACTGCATTAAGCAGGAATATCCCACTTAGTTTCAGTTAATGCATTCCAAAAGATTATTACATTAATTGAATCTGCACTAATCAGAACATACATTTAACAAGAAAATAACAACTCATTTTAAAAGGAATTTTTTTTTTTTAACTTGAAAAATTTAAACTGACTTAATAAAAGATCATAAAATACATCACAACAGGATGAAATAAAAAAAATTGCTATTAAACATTTTTTACTTTATTTTACAATTAAAAATAAAAATTATCCAATGTTGTTTGGACTTGCCTTCTCTTGTTTTCTGCATGAAGCTTCCGGTAGCACCAAATTGCATTTTTGAATGCTCTTTTGTGTCAAAGCTGTATAATTTTTATTTGGATCATTATCCAAAATTATGACAATGAGGACCTTTTTGTGCTGCAAATTTGAAGTTTTTGTACATAATAGTCTGAAATTTGCAGCACAAAATGTAACATGTATGTAATGAGGGGTAAACAACTGGACAGTGCTGTTAGCCATTTTCTCAATCTAACTTGTGTTCAAGTACAAATTTCCTTGCACTTTTCAAAAAAAATATGCAAGTTTATCATTAAGAACTGTAGTTATAAATTCTCTTTTACATAACAGAATAGCAAATGACCACATTATAGTGAATCATCGTACGTTAACCAAATTCTCTGGTTTATAATATGCCCATGCTAAGTAAAATCAAACTATGTGACATATTCCTATATATATACAGTGGGTGATCGGTTAACAAACAGTTCAGTTAACAAACAAATCAGATAACGAACACTTTCACGAAAAATTTTTTATGTTCGGACAATGAACACCTCACAGAACAAACACAAGAAAAAGCGATGTAAAATGATGAATACCGATTGGTCTTCCCTTGCTTTAGGCAACAATTCGAAACTTTATGAGTATGAGAGACGTTAACATTGACTCTCAACCCAGTTTAAATTGATTAGATAGTATTCTTCTGAACTTTGAAACTCTCCCTTGTATTTCCAGCTTCTTATTTTTCTGACAGAAAGAATTTTTTATAGTATTCGCAAGACTGTCGGGCGGGCACTTGTTAAGTTTTATGTTGGTTTTCATTTTCGAAAGGTGAGAGTATAATAGCAAAGGTAGAGAGTGGGAAGATGTCTGATGTTGCTGGGCAGTATGGCTTAAACAGGTCTACAGTAGGCTGCAGTTCAATCTTATCCAAGAGACATACAGTATAATCAATAAGACTCAAGCAGCTAAAGGAGTAACAAAAATCACATCTGAAAAATAAAGAGCATTGAAGAGCTCATAATGGAGCCTGAAACTGATTTAACGACAGAAGAACGCCAAGAACACTTGAATGAAGAACACCAAGTAACTCGACGACATATGTTTTCTTTTGAAAAAGAGGATTAATGCTGATATCTGCTATTAAAGATCTTTTGAAGAAGTGGGAGGATGTCAGAACAACGGTCTTAGAATGGCATCCAAACCAGATTGAGGTTAATAGGCTTAGGGATCTCTACAATTACAATGCTATTAACTACTTCGAAAAAATCCTGAAGAAGAGAGAAAAGCAATCAACATTAGACAGATTCTTTAACCCCCACAAATGGAAAAAACATGACTAATAAAAATGCAAGACTGTGTATATATGTATTTTTATTATTACATATAAATAAATGTAGTAAGAAAGTATATATTTTTTATTTTTTGGGGTCTCCAGAATGAATTAATCAAATTCCCATAAAAACCTATGGTAAATCGATAATGGTTAATGAACAATTCGGATAGCGAACAAAGTCTTGGAAGGATTATGTTCATTAACCGATCACCCACTGTATATATATTTGAAAAAATAATAATATTAATTATAACAGCAACAACAAACGATACTAATTTTTAAAAATCTTGTTAAATTTGAAATAATAAACAAGACACTTTAAAAACTTATTGCCCATCTGTTATTAATAATTAATTTAAAATCAATTCTACTTATTAAAATTGTTAGATGATGGCAACTTGGTCACCTCTAACTAACTTAAAAATAAAAAAACTAATATTGAAAAAAAATCAGCCTGGAAATCTAGAAATTAAATTAACTAAATATGACTCATTGTTGATGGCTTTGAAAGTCACCAATGACTAGAATACAAAAGAAATTTTGCAACTTTTAATTATTTGACCTAATAGCAATTAATGATACATAAGTAAGTGATATAATTTATATTATGATATAACATAATATAATCATATTAAGGAAAAACAATATAGTTAAGTGAAAACTAATTAGTTTCTGATTCATTTTAACAATAAATTCATTAATATATCAGCTTATTTAAAGATATATCCATGGTGGCCAAACTGCAATTTGCAAACCCCATGCAACTCTTCTAGACTATTATTGCAACCTCTGTACATCAAACCCCTACCCCTAATATATACAAGATCTAATCAAAAAGTATCCAACTTTATTATTTTTTCTTTGTAAATATTTGCAAGCTAGAGAAGAGACTATGTCATCATGTAATTTTGGACCCTACTCCATGTGTGAATTTTGGTGAGCCTGTCCTACCTGCAGTCACTGTCAAGTAGTTGTAATACAGGGGTGCACAACCTGCGGCCCGCGGGCCACACACGGCCCCCTATCAATGTTTATGCGGCCCACGGACGGTACAGGCCAAATCCCTTCTTTCGAAGTTTCTAAGTGTAGAACTTTTTCCCTTTCACAAAGTCATTAGCACCCAACTGTTTTATGACTTTCCCTGAGGTGAGAAATGGGGGATTGTTCTATAAATAAGTCTATTTTTAGCTAACACTTTCTGCTTTAGATATCGAATATTTTAAAATGATGTTAGAACGTCATTTCCGATGTTATCGGGAAGTTTCTATTTTGGCGGGAAATCTTCAATTTTATGCTTCGGAAAACTTGCCTATTCGTCTAAATAGCGTCAAATAACAAAAATAAGTGAAAATAGCGCTGAAAAACCATGAAAATAACGATTTTTTAGCATTTGTTTACATTCTAGATTCTGATTGGTATAGTCGAATTTGAATCAATCTTTTCTGAAAAGACGCTTATTCGTCAACCTAATGTCATTCAAACTAGAAAAAAACTAACCAGAGTTCAAAAAGGAATGTACAAAAAGCTATAAAACCAATAATTTACAACAATATCTCTCCATAGACAAAGAATAGAAAAAAAATTTTTCACATCAAATTTATTATTATTAAGTTGGACCAAGAAAATTAATACTGTAGTTGGAATAGAGTCATTACGACTAAAAGGAAGCCATTTGCATTAAAATATTTTGGATTTAATAATTATTACAAACCGCGTCAAGCCATAAACTTGTCAACAAAGAGGGTTGTAAAATGATTCCGTGTAGCTAGAAAGCTGCGGTTTTTTTTGTTTGAAAGAAAACAGATATATTTAGGTTATTTAAGTAGTAAATTAATTGGAACTTTTTATTTACTTTTATTTTTACATTCTTTTTTTCGTAAATTTAAAATTAAATTATTATTTTTAATTTTTATTTTATTTGAAATTTAACAGTCGTAAACTGTGATATATTTAGGACAAAAAAAAAAAAAAAAACAGATTGATTCTAGCGCCAATTTGAAACGAGATATCGCAATTTTAATAATTATATTTAAAATATTCAGATTTTCCACTGCACTGTGTTAATCACTTTTGATTCATTTCTGAACACGGGGGTAAAACTGACGGGCCATAAATATAATTTAGGTAAGAATGGTAACCACATTTATGATGGATTAGTGTCCTGCACCTGGCATGTTGACGATCTGACTCACAAATTCTGAGAAATGGTGGAGACGCCCGGACAGGGGTCGAACGAATTAAGACCTGCCTGGCCACGTGTGCGTAATAGTCTTCTGTCCCCGCCTCTTTAGTCTTTGGTCAGAGTGGATACAGAACAAAGCACGTGGTAGTCTAGCTTGCCTTATCTCAAACATGATTTGTTGCGGGCCTCAGAATTTTCGGCACAATGAGACATTGTTTTGCAGAGTGAACAGTATGGCGCCGGGCATTAAACGCAAGGTCAATCGCGAGAATCATCAGTTTCAAGAAGTGGAAGTGTGGACTAACAAGTACTGTTTTGTGCAACAGAACAACAGCATTATTTGCCTTTTGTGCAATGGAACAATAGCAGTGCCAAAAGAATTCAACCTGAAGCGACATCATGAAAGCCAACACAAGGATTTCCTTCTGCAAGGTACGGAACGCAAACGGAAAATCGAATCGTTACGACGATCACTAATCAGCCAACAAAATGTGTTCAAGAAACAATCTGGAGAATTGGATGCGGCTGTTGAAGCCAGCCTAGAAATATCTGCTTTAATAGCCAAGAATGGGAAACCTTTCACAGATGGCGATATGATAAAAAAGTGTCTTATCATCGCAAGTGAGATGTGTCCTGAGAAGACAGTGTTTTCAAACAATCAGTCTTAACCACATGACGATACAACAAAGAATCTCGCAAATTGCATCAGACATCGCATTAATCACTTGGAGGTCCGGCCCCCAGTCAATAAACTTAATCTTAATTTGGCCCTTTTTCAAAAAAGGTTGTGCATCCCTGTAGTTACATGTTTAATACTGAAATTGTTGCATTAGATTAAATGAAAATGGCAGAACATGACAGATCCTCATTTTATAAATATTATAATCAGAGATGAGATCTGGGTCAACAAATATAACCCTGAGACAAAACCACAATCATCTCACTGGAAAATGCCATGGTCTCTTCAGCAAAAGAAGGCATGGCAATCATCAGCAATGCAAAGATTATGTTGGCCTTTTTTTTTCAACTACTAGGGAATAATTCATCATTACTTTGCATGGACAAACTATGACAAAGGAGTACTACCTGACTGGTTTATATTATCTATGAGATGCTATTAGGTGCAATTCTGGCAGTCTGGTGACTGGTTCATTCATCACAACAATGCTCCAGATCACAGATCATATCTCATCCAGACATTCCTTGCAAAATATGGTATTGTACAGGTTCAGCAGTCTTCTTACTCTCCAGATAAGGCTCCAGCTGACTTTTGATTCTTTCCCAAATTCAAAATACAACTTAAGGGAGAGATTTCATAATGCAGAGATCATGACTAATGCAACATAGCACATGAAGGAAATTCTAATAAATGACTTAATTGACTCACACTTCTCCCAGCATTGCTTCCAACAGTGGAAGCATTGCTGGGAGAAGTGTGAAAACTCAGAAGGCACCAATTTTGAAGGAAACTAGTGTTTGAATCTAATAGATACATAGGTGTTTTTCCTGATATTTTTTGATCAGACCTCATATACACAGTATATAGGTTATATAAAAATATCATTTCAATATAAAATGTAGCTCTCATATATTTTTGATACATGGTATATGGCTCCTATTGTGACAAGGTTTGGCCACTCCTCAAGTATGCTGTATTATGTACTGTACAATATAAAAATTATTTTCATTGTCAATTCTCAATTTTACATTATTTAACTTCTAACACTGTAGATTATAGTAATTAACATAGTATCTAATAGCAATCAAATCTTTACATACCTAAAGTTTCATCCAAATAAGTGGTGGTTAGGAAGTAAATTAATGTTTGAAATAAAACAACCTGCAATACAAGGAAACAAAATACAAACTATGATAATGCAATGCCAAATATGTTCTACAATTTCTGATGGCTAAATTACAGAAAACATGAAACATGCCTTCCCTGCTGATATTCTCCAACAAAGACCTACTTATCCTCACCAGCACATTGCCTGATTCTTCTGCTATTTCTTTGCTGAGTCAGTTACATACATACTTGAATCCATAAAGAGATTTTGGCTGGACTTTCAACAGAAATACATCTGTGTATTAATCACCTAAAATCTCGATACATAAAGACCAGGGAATGTGAGGAGCATTCTCAGTGTGCTCAATGAATGTAATGCCAGAGACTGAAAAAGTAACTGAACATTGAAGTGGTATAGTGAGCTAGAGCAAGATCTCACCAGAAGAGCACTTTATATCCATAATGCTTATCTATGAAAGATCAAATGCTTCTTCAAACACTCCTCAATATAAACCATAGCCATTATAATCTCGAAATAAAAGGTTCCAAAATTGTCCAGATATTGCCACACAACCCATTTCTTTGGGAATTTTTTTCACCCTTAAATTTGAAGTCTTCCAGGACATCAGTACATCCTGGGCATGGTAGAAATGGTGTTCTGAAATGCTGGATGAGTCTTGAGGTAGGTTTCATCATCAACATGAATGACTTTTCCCTCAGATTTTTTCAGGATTTGTTTGTATGCATTTTCTGCACGAAGTTCCCAATTCTGAGTACTTGGAACTGTGGTTTTAACCTATCCTTTTATGCCCAGTATACCAAGTTTAATGGCAACTAGAATTGATCAAAGCAGATTTACTTTTGCAGCTGCAGCAGTTGATGAAGTGTTGGATTTCAATTTGAAAGGTCTACTGACCTTGCCCTTCATTTTGTCAGTAGTAATGTTACGTGTTCAACCAGGTAACAGCTTGAAACTTCCATCTTCACATTCTTCATATCTACAAAACCTTGTGTACAATTAAACAGCTTGCCAACTCTAATAAAGTGCTGGATCATTTTGCATTTGCCCCTGCTGGATACCTCTTCAAAATACTTCACAATATATTTAGTGAGAGCTGCATGTTCAGCGTGCTTCATTTTAAGTTTGATCACTTCCAAACATTAATTCCATGGAATTCAAANTTGTATGAAGTTTGAATCCAATAGTAAAATTTTGTAAGATTATCATCATATCATATTTAACTTATACATTACATTTAAGTAAAAATTCATATTTTCATATAAATAACTTGAAATGGCATATAACCCACAGATTTTAAAAATTGTTAAAATAAATTAAGAATATCTTTTCATAACCCATATCATTATATGCCTTGCATTACTGAAATCATGTTGAATATCTGACATGTATAGAATTGATTCAATTCACAGTTCAATTTACTTTATTAGCAGTTCATTGCAAACAAAATTATAAAATAAGTGTAATGAAAAAACAAAAAATTAATTCTGCTTCTTTAACTAAATACTTAACATTTTTCAGGAAAAACTATATAAAAAATTTGCAACAGGGTTTCCTAAATTGCATATGTTGAAAATATTTTGTTATACTAATTAACTGATAAGCATATTATTAATACCACTATATATATATATATATATTTACTAACAATTTTCTGAGATTAATTAACAAAACAACGTATATTAATTTCTGTCTAAATTATTACATAAAATATATCATAAAACACAAATTTAAATGAGAGTTTTCAGATGAGCGTTATCAAATGACAAAAAAGGATAAAATTGCCTGGGGACCCCACTAAAAGGGAGCCCCAAACTAATTTTTAAAAAGAAAACAATACCTCTAAAAAGTCCCTTGAAGAAAAATATCTGAAATGAACATTACATGGAGGCCCTAATTCAAATTCACATGAACCCCGTGAANTATATGTATATATATATATATTGATTGTTTGAATACAACAATATATATATTTCAAACAACAATATATATATATTCAAACAACAATATATTCCTTTTTTATCAGTTTGCCATTTTAATTTTTAATTGTTAATTAATTCTTTGTCAATAAGTGAAATCACACAGTGACAGTCCAAGTTTTGACAAATCTCTAATGAGCAATAATTGGTAAAGAAATAGATAAAATGTTTATTGGGTCATATAGAACTATGTTATAAATGACTTTACAAACTGAAAATGATCATTATCAGAAGAAATGCTTGAGCTTAAAAAAATACCTGATGTGACATCGAAATTAATAGCATTGAATCAGTTTTAGTTTATCTTAAAAATAATGCTATGGTGGTGTGTTAGCTATATTGTAGCTACAATATAGCTAAATCAACCTTGAATTGTTAAAAACATGACTGAAAGAAATAGCATTTACTGTTCTTATTCACAAACTTGAAACAAAACTTAATTTATGTTTATTTAACTTCTATAACCTTAATATTTGAATTTTTCTCCAATTTTACAAGTTGAAAAATAAATGATTATTTAGCACTAAAATTCATTATTAATTTGTCAATCAAAGACTGCAGATACAATAAACAGACACATTCTATTTCAAAAATAACATGTCTATAATAGACAACCTCACTAAGATTAATGATACCTCTAAAAAGATGTACAGTTAAAAAAGATTGTTATAAACAAGATAATTTTAATTAATTAATCTGCATCAATGTCCTAATTTAATCAAATTGTTCTTTCAAACACCATAACCGTGTATTTCTATTAATAGGACTTATTATACTGGTGTTTGAAAGAACAAGATAATTTTAAATTAGGGATTTTATCATTATAGAAGTATATCAACCATTCATCTTTTTAAAATTAAATCTTGTTTCCAGTAACTTAAATATTTGATACATTTTGAACTTTTAAACTAAATTTAAATGGGAGAAACATTTGCTTTTATCTTATTGTGTTGCAATGAATTAATTTGTTTTATTCATATTTTTTTGATATATTAGAATATAACTGAACAGAAATGCATACTCAGAGGTCATGCTGCATAGGGCCAAAATTGCCACTTGGCAATATTTTTATTAAGGTGGCAATAAAAATATAATACTGGCAATAAAATCCTAGTCTGCTTGTTTCGACATTCAGTGTGAAATTAAATCACAAATCACACTTCAGGAAAAACAGCAAAATCTCAAGCTTTCATACAATGGGAATCCTGTGCACCACACATCTAGTGATTTCATGACATCACAAGGCAAGTCAAGAAGAAAAGTAGAAAGTGACATTGAGAACTAAAAGGAGTTTGTGTAATGCCACCCAGTGTTTCCAGATTGGGATTTTTTATCGACTGACAGAAATTTTGGGGAATTTTTTGGAATGAGCTTTTTCACTTTGATCTTTTTTTCAGTAGACTAAAACAAAAATTTTGACATGACAGAACCTGTGAAATACTGTTAAAACATTGTGATCAAATGTATTGTTCAGAATTATTCATTAAAAAATGTATTCAAAATGATTCCTGTTGCTAGCAAGGGGAGGGCCAGATGTTTGGGTCTTTGATTCAAACAAATCTTGGTGAGCACATAGCCCTAAACATCCTAAACACAAACAGCTCAATATCCAAATAATGAGACCCACTTTGAGCATTTCCAAAAATTGGGCCTCTGAAAATTTAGTGTTTAACTTAAAAGTTTTTGGAAGTTTCATATCAAAAGTGACAATAGCAAAGTGAATGCTTAGTGAATTATTCAATTGGCTATCACCACTCTTAGATAGGCAAAAGACTTATAAAGCTAAACACTAAATTTTCAAGGGCCCATTTTTTGGAAAGGCTCAAAAAGAGGATCCTATTATTTGGATTCAAAGAGCTGTTTGTGTTTAAGACTACATTTTCACCATGTTTCATTTGAATTGGAGACCTGAACATCTGGCCATCTCCTTGTAAATGACAGTTCAACATGTTACTTTTGCTTTCCAGATGCCAAATTGATAAGAATTGGTAGCCTTAAGTAAAACTGGTGGTGATAAACAATTTGAAGTGACAAAAAAAAATTAAAATTGGAGAAATGGTGACGATATTTTTAAATTTTCCAGAGCGACCCCTGCATATTAATTCCTAATTTGTTTTTATCAGAACAAAGACTAACAACTCTGTATTCAGACTACTTATACAGAGTTGTTAGTCTTATCTCTATCATTTTAATTTGCAACATATTTTTATGATTAGTAATAAAAGTTTAGTATTAAACTTTATAGGCAATTTAAATAATATACTTACACCAATTATAGAATGTTTAGCATTTCCAATTTCAGCTAATGAACAAAGGCTAGATAAAAGAATTAATTCTGCTTCTTTAGCTGAATACTTAACATTTTTCATAAGAGCATTATCATCTATAGATAACTGACATTCTACAGTTAAAATGACTGAGCAAGCCATTTTAATATCACTTAAAATGCATTTATATGCTTCTTCAAGAACTGGAACATTCTTCAATCCAAGAATAGCATGTTGTAAACTCAAAAATGCATTTTGAATCTAAGTATAAAACAAAAATAATAATTATAAATATTAATGAAACAAATGTAACAAATTACAATAATAATTATTATTATTATTATTTTATATTAATTTAAAATAAATTCAAAATTGATGAACATTTAAATAAAATACATTCAATAAATTTTATTATTTAAAGTTTACATATATAACAGTACAATACTTTCTCACTAAATCAATGTGTTTATCGTATGGTATTGTTCAGATAAATGGAAAGTTTAGATTATTGGATTAGCAGATTTACATATATAAAAGAAATCAGAAAGAATTACAACAAATACATATATGTTACACATTTTAATATATTTGTATGAATTTAGTACATGTATTTAAAGAACTTTTAAACAAACATGTCCAATACAGCATACATTAAAAAAAGAATTCTGTTATTTACTTTTGATTTTGACTGAAATATTAACAGCAAAAGCTTTTCAAAAAAGCTGCTGTAATAGCAGAATCTGATAAACAGGTATCTTGTTGTCAGAAGACCATTGAATGTAGACATTAAAAATGGCTAAGACATATCCATATTTAAGTTTCATGAAATTTTTTTTCTTGGATTTTACTATATCTTTATCAAAACTGTCCAGTTCTTAAAAAATGTTCTGGATAATTTCCAAATCAATTCACAGGTTGTATTTCTTCTCATCTTTCCTAACTAACAATGATTTTCATTGTTTTTGTTCCATTAAAGATATTAAATTTGCTAAGTTTATGATTTCTAATTTTTTTTTCAAAAAACTTCCATCAGTTCATCTGGTACATGATACTTTGTTTTTTACTTTCATTAATTTGTTATCAGTAAACACAATTCAAAATTATATAAAATTTATTGTTAACTTGATAAAAACAATATAAAATTGATTTAATTATTTCTATTTGATAATCTGAATTTGTTTTAATTTAAATTTTGCTGAAATCAAATAAACAAAACTGAATTCAGTAAAATTTAAATTTAAAAAATTCAGATTAGCAAATAGAAATAAATAAAATTGGCTTTCTACAATTATAATTAGATATGGAAATAGGTCTTAAATTTGTATGTTTTTAATAAATCTAATAAATAATGACAAAATGATTTTATAAGAAATAAATAAGCCTGTCTATTTATTCTAGTAATTATTCTTATCTATTTAGCAATTCAACAAGAATGAAGAATTTGTCATATGCAAATAATTTTATGATAGTTAAAAATAATTTTGCAGTAGAAATTTTTTTCCTCATTACATAGTTTTCTTGTCCCAAAATAATTAAATTAATAACTTTATAAAATATATTTCTTATTAATACATAATTAAATATTTTTAAGAAATTATGATTTACCTTTGAATTTGGAGAGAATCTGAGACTTTGAAAAAATTCAGATGAAAATACATTTGTTACTATTTCAATTGGAAGACAATTATATAGTTCCTTCACAAAATTCAGTAACAACTGTAGAAATGAAAGAATATAAATTTCCGACATTACGCCAATTGAATACTTTTGAAGAACAGAAATATATGATGTTAATTGTTCTAGAGCATCAGCTGAGTGATTCTGTGCACAATCCATTAGAAGACATACACATTCGTTAGCTACAAAAATAAATTTATGTATATTAATCAAATGTAAAAACAAAATTACAGTGCAGGTAAATCTCAATAATCATAGTTAAAATTAAACTTTAAAAGTCCACTGTTTATTAAAATTATAATATAATAACAGTTACATAATTTTATTTCTTCTATAACTATTAGCATATTAAACTGTTTAAAAATCAATCATTACATGAAATCTTTATTTCATAATCTGTGCAACAGTATGAAACATTTATTTACATAAATATAAAAAACAAAATTTAAAAAATTATTTTATCATAATAAACAATTCATAAATATTGAGATATGCATAAGTTCATAAGGTTTTTTTGACAAATTAAAACACTCATAAAGTATGTTTCAACAATACCATTTATTGAAAAAGTTTCCATTTTCAACAACTTTTTGCCAATGTTCTGGCAGCAAATGAATACTACTGTGGTAGAAGGTTGCTGGCTTTGAGCCAAAGAAGTCAGTAACCCATTTTTGCATATCTGTGAGACTGATAAAGTGCTCACCAGACAAACCATGTTGCATTGACCAGAAAAGATGATAGAACGGGCAGTATCTGGCGAGTATGTTGGGTGTAGTAACACTTCCCAGCCAGCTCTAGAAGTTGTTTGCTTTGTAGATGCTGTAACATGAGTCCATGCATTGTCATACTGGAGAATAAGTTGCCAATGGTTTGATGCATATTTTGGCAGCTTATGCAAAACTTGTGCTAATTTTGTAAGGTGTACACTGTACCAGTCAGCAGTAACTGTCTGACCTGGATGCGGCAACTCGTGATAGACTAAATCTTTTGGTCTCACCAAACCTAGAGACACATCTTTTTGCCATGAATGTTGGACTTTGCTTTTGATGAGATTGCTTGTCCTGGGTCTATCCAATGTTTTCTCTTTTTTGAGTCTTTGTACAAGATCCACTTTTCATCACCAGTGATGATTTGCCACAGGAAACTCTCATTTTTGTCTTGCCAACAATGAAAGACTAATGTTGACACAGTTTATTATGGCAGATTCTGACAACATGTATGACATCCATTTTCTACACTTTTGAATCTTACTCATTGCACTGAACCTGCAGCTTACAGTTGACTGGTTCACACCAAGTGCTTTTGCAAGTTCTTGTGTCATCACAGCTGAGTTTTCATCAAGTAGGGCTTGCAGGTCTCCATCAGCAGTTTCCTTGGTGTGGCCTGATCTTAGTCAAACATCAACATTGATATCCCCAATATAGAAGCATCTGTATCATTTTTCACAAATGCTTACTGACAATTTCCTCACCATAAGTGTAACATAAAATTATTTTGGCTTCAGCTGCTGTTTTTCTTTGGTTAAAAAAAAAACAAAAACATACAGTGGCAAACCACGTTTGCCACTGTATGTTTTTGTAGATATTCATCTCAAAATGAGAACTAAACAAAAATTGAATAACTAAAACTCAAAAAATTTTCCCGCAAGCCGACACTACATGACCACACATAAGAAAAAGGCAGAGCACATGCACAAATTTCAAGCTATCAGTGCACAAACTTGACCATACAAACTTACGCATACACCCAATAATTTCAAATAACAATACTGAACATTGTTTTATTATTATTATCATTATTATATTTTTTCTCAACTAATTGAATTTTTAATTTGTAGTGTGAAACAATTATGAATTTTAATTCAATTACTTGATTAAATCACAATAATAAATGATTAGCACCAAGTTAAATAACAAATTGAATTAATTAAAAAAAAAACTATATAAAAACTCAATGAATAGCTTTCTGAATGATACTGTACATGTTAAAATTAAGAAATAAAGTCAAAATATAATTTAATATACATCAAAAACTTAAAAAATTTCAAAATGTAATTCAATTCATACAAGTATGCTTGTGTTATATAAGATATACAGATTGCCCATAAATTATAAAACTTATTTTCCTGCATTATAACCTCAAAACCAGAAAGAATAGAAACAAATGGCTTTCAAATTTTGAAAATACAGTTCATGTGGACACCTTTGGTCACATGCAAGATATTGTATTTAGCTGATGTTTGATCTCTAAGTTTTCACTAGCATTTCTGTAAGGTTTTTAATGATGTTTTATGAAAAAAAATCTTATGTATCCCCACAGAAAACAGTCTAGGAATATAATATATGGTGAATACAGTGGCATGGAACTGACCCATCATGACCAACCCACCAATCTGAGAAATGATTATCCAAAATGTCTTGAAACAAGAAGTCAGTGTGCCATCTTGTTGGAATGTGATGTTGAGCTGCAGATGAGCTGGTTGAAGGATGAAATATATTAATCCAATGTAGTATGTCAAGATATATGAACCCAAACAATTTTAACCACAAAGGAGGATCAATGACCCATCATACAATACACCATACCAGGCATTCACTTTCAGGCTTTCTTTTCAAATTCTCTGTAGGCATTGTGGATTCTTACTCCTCCATGTTTATTTACTATCCAATACCTAAAAATTGGATTTGTTACTAAAATCCCAACTAATCTTCAGTATCTTCAATTTTTGATAAAATGTCTCAAGCAAATCAGATACATCAGCTTATCTTCTGGCTCAAAAGCCTGAACAACCTAAACAGTGTATGCATGTAGGCATAATCATAAAGGAACAACTTTCCAAACAGTTAATTTTGATATAACCAATTGCCTAGATACAAGCCAATATAATTTATGAGGACTGTGAAAAAATACTTCTTCACAGATGCATTCCACATACTCATCAGATGTGAGCAGTCTTCTTTAGGATTCCTTTTCAGGAAGCATGTAAGCAGATTTTCAAAAAAATGAATATTCTGGTAGATTTAATAGCTTCCAAGTTTCCATTCAGATGAAACTTTTTAACCAGTGCTTGATAGCCTTAATTGATGGTGGGTCTTTATTGTACTTCATTTTTACAGCAGTGTTGAGTTGTTTTAACTGATCTGTTCTGAAAAAACAATACCTACATCACTTTTTATTTAACACTTGCCATTTTGATTCATAATGTAGCTTCCTGCTCCTAGACAGCTACTGTTCATAAGTGTTGTCAATAAAACGTTTTGAACTGTAAATAGTTCCCTAATTTATGGACACTTCGATACAATACTTTTGAGTATTTATGTTTACATTTATCAAATCACTTAAATATCTCTTCACACAAAAATCATTAACCTGTCCTACATTGTTCACGAAAATATTCGTGTTGATCTCATTGACCTGCATGGGCGATCCCGAATATTTTCGTGTTTACATTGGAACATTTTTGATACTAGATGTCGATATGCATCACAATTTTTATATTAAAACAAACTTTTCTAATATAATTTTTTTTGTTTCTATATTATTTAATATATTTATTTTATTTGTGAAACATAAAAAAAATAATTTTTTACGATACAGTAAACACGATTATTATTTTAAAAAAAAATTTTAGGCTTAACATCAACAAAAATTCAACATGGCGTCACAGGTAACAAATAAAAATTTCAACATCGAATATGTTAAGCCTTCCAAGGGTAAAGTGATAACAGATATATATTATACAATCAATATTAATTATATAAGTTTTATTAATATTAACTTTATAATTTTTACTGTAATAAGATGTAAGCAGATTTTCAGAAAATGAATATTCTGTAGATTTAATAGCACATTTCATTAGTATCTTCAAACTCTAAAAAAAATAAATAAATCATAAATCATAACTATCAACTAATATAAAACTGTATTTCATTTCTCCATTACTATTCTACATTAATCACACAATATTAAATAAGTGTACACTAAGTACAGTAAGTAAAAAATTTAGTACACAAATACATATATACATACAAACACTGAAATGCAGTTTTCAAAATTACAAATAAGCAAACAAACACTTTTTGCTTAAAAACCTTTGAGATGTAACTGACACTGAACCAATAGTTATATTGGCTTATTGGAATGTTCCCAAGATATTAATATCATTTCACTTTACAAATCAATACTCCAATCTCTGCTTTTTTCTGAAAATGATTATTGGAAAAAAGGCAAAAGGAGATCAGAGCATTTTACAAACCGACTCTGATATCAGGAAGATTTTGATATGCCAATATATTAGTATCAGAGTGATACTCATCTTAAAAAAATAAAAATAAAAATGACTGATTCTTTAAAAACAAATCAAACTTTTATCCATAATCAGATAATAATGACTTATTTGTCATTATTATCCAATACAACCAAAAATAATAAACAAAGAAAATGAACAATTGCAGATGTTATTCACTCCTGTGGCATTTCTCTCCTAATAGAAGCTGTATTTAAATATAGTTATAAATATAAGTGAAGCAAAATAATTTTAAATTTTAAATTAGAAAATTTATGTTAAATGTAATTATTATTATATAAAGTGACTTACATTAGTTAGAAACTTCCAAGTAATAAAAGTATTTTCACTATTTTCTGAAGGATTTGCATACTTCCCAAGACTTTTCATTACTGTTGTAAATACTCTAAAAAAAATATACATGTATAAATTATATAAAAGAATATTCAATATATATATGATCTTATTGATTTATTTCATTCTCATTTATTAATTTAATACTTAAAATGATTTCCTGTTTGCATTTTTTTTTTTTTGAAGAATTTTTAATTTTTCCAACTCTATATTCTATTTTACTCGACAATATTATATGAATAAAGGTAAAATTGCTTACATAGGTTTACATGTTAATTTACAATGTATGAAATGCATTTTGTGAATTTTTTAAAGTTAAATTTTCAAAAAGTTATTTTTATAACTTCACCTACACTGAAGTGAAAAAAATGAAGTTATAGATAAGTAAATTTACATTATTTCTTACAAATAAAGTTTTGATTTCATATTATGGTTTGGAAATAATGCTTCTTTTATCTAATTATATTTTTAGATTTTCTGTATGATTTATTATTATTATTCTAAAAAAATCTGATAAAGTAGTTCAGAATGGTTTCAAATGGAAAAATTCTTGCATAAAATTATCATTAAAAAAATTTATCATATCCAGATTATTAGAAAACAATACCTTCAATAAATTTTGTTAATTATAATTACTCAATATTAAATCATGAATTATTGAAAATATGAATTAATCTTCATACTTTATTAATACAATCAACTAGCAATATAACAATGTGATTATATATACATTGTGTTGCAGAATACTTTATAAAAATCATGTAAGAAAATATCTAAATTAAAGTTTTTGAAACCATTTATCATTTAGAAGTATAGCTCTTAAAGATAAATGGCTTCAAAGAGATTAAGAAACAATGACAAAAATAAATATTTTAAATTATAGCTTTTAAATTTGCCTTGTCAAAATCATTTTTTCCAATTAGACACTTTTTTTCACTAGCTCTTTAAAGAAAATTAAACAATTTCATCAAAAATTGTTCTCTTTAATGGAATTACAAGGTGTAGTCAAAGTTGACTACTGGTGAAGTGGTACTATGGCAATGTGCTGTTCTTGTGCAAACCAGAATTCATAATAGACATTGTTATTTAGCTTCCTGGCAAATTTCAAGCCATTATATATGTAGCTTTTGTTCTTCCTATTTAGATTAGTTGATGTTCTCTTAATTCTTTTAAGGATAAGGAACAGTGTGAGAATGTATGTGTGTGTGAAATTTTGTTTCAAACTTCGCAAGACTGCAACAGAAAAGAAAGTGATTACAGGAGAAGACAAAACAAGGATTTATGGCTATGATCCTGAGATTAAATAGCAATTGATTCACAAATAAAAAAATTGTGGCTCGTCCAGAACTAAGAAAGCCAAGTGAGGTGCAATCTCAAGAGCATGCTCGTTTTTTTTTTTTTTGATAAGGAGAAAATTATTCTTTGTGAATTTGTTTCACAAGGTCAAAACTAAGTCAAAATTTTTATATGGATGTTTTGACGCATCTATATGAAAATGTCAGTTGAAAAAGACCAAATCTTTGGATAGCTCAGAAAACTGGTTGTTGCATCACAACACACCCTGCTCACACAGCTATCTCTATTCAACAGTTTCTTGCTGAAAATAAAATGGCCATGGCTTCCCACTCTCCTTATTCACCAGACTTGGGATCATGTGACTCTTTCCATGCTGAAAAAGTGCAGAAAGAATAGCAATTTGAGAATATTGATAACATTGAAACACAATTGCAGTGAGTCACAAAAAAAAAAAACAGTTCCAGAAATGTTTTGAAAACTGAAAGCACTGGAATCTATGTATAGCTTAAGAAGAAACTTATTTTGAAGGTGACTACTCTCGATAAATTAACATGTATGTCAGACATTTTTTATTGGACCAGTCTGGGAACATTTTGACTGCACCTTGTGTAAACCCAAATATATAACTTATTATCTTAGTGATTTGTACAGAAATTTTGAACATAGTATCTATTAATATATATTTTAATATTGAATTTATGGATTGTTATTGTTTCTATTACTAATAGAAACAACTTGCAACATAAAAAGCAGTCCAAAAAACTAGTAATTATCATTATCAAATAATCTGTTAAATGTTTCAACATTAATTTGCATGTTTTGCTTGGTAAACAATATCTAAAAAAGTGTCAAATGACTGCCAGATTAAATAAATTACCTTACTGCTATTATTTTACTTAAATTCTAAATAAATTGGTACTAGAGATAGACATTAAGTGCCATCTTTCATTAAATTTAATAATTATAATTAAAGTAATATTTAATAAATAATTCAGAATATTCTGAAAGAAAAGAATCAGTCCATAGCAGGACTCAAACCCACAACTCCCACTTTGTTTAGCTTATTACTAAAATATCATGCTTCAGATATATATAAACATTCCAAGAAAAACTACTAATATATATTAACATTATTAACAGCAAATGAATAACTAGTAGCAGCAAAAATAAAAATTAACTTGTGACATTCTAAGCAAACACTAAATGATCTGAATTTTAAGTACTGAACAATGGATAATATCCTGGGATATGCTATTCCTTTATAACCAGTTCTTAAATTGTTTTTCATAATATAAAACATAATATATTTCATATCTACCAGTGTTATATCAAATTTACTGTAATAAAGAATAAAAGAATATAGAACAATTACTGTCATCCAAGGTTAAGCATACATACTTTAACCTGTCCCGTGATTTTCCCGAAATATTTCAGGTCAAAACATAATGACCTTGACCAATGGACCCAAGATATCTCGTTTCTGCATCGGAATGTTTTTGACACTAGATGTCACTAGTTGTCATAATTTTTATATTAAAACTAATTTCCGAACTATAATTATTTTTGTTTTTACATTTTTTAACATGTTTATTTTGTTCGTGCAAAATAAAAAAATAATTTTGACAATACAATAGCCACAATTATTTTCTTCTTAAACATATAATTTTCATTAGGCTTAACATCAACAAAAATTCAACGTAAAGCGACACACATTGGAGAAAAATTTCAACCTGAAATAGGTTAAAAACAGCATATTTCTTGTTGTTTTTGATGTCTATACACTTAACCGTTGATAACATCAATTGTTCCGTATTCTTTCAATATGGTGGCACTGGCTAAAATATATGAAAAGACTATTCAAGTTCATTAAAGCCTCCTATAAATTGGACTTTCTTCTGGAGTGTAAACATAATGTTGTCTTTCCTATGTCAATTCATAGAATTAATTGTCAGCTGTTCAATTTTTTTATGTATTTCAAATGTTCTCATTTAAATTAGTTTATTCTTTTTTTTGATTTATCATGAAAATGGTCTATTAAGTAGATCAAAAAACATTATACTTTAAACTAGTTCTCACTGTTTTTTATATTTGTATGTATTAGATATAAAGATTTGTTTCCACNATTATAATATTTAATTCACTAAAGTTAACTAAAATTAAATTTATTTACAAAAATGAATTAATGATCTAAATCAGTGGTTCCCAATTAGTTTTTCCTGCGTACCACTTCAAGAAAGAGCTCAAACTCGCATACCCCTTATAGCAGAAATTCATATTAATCCATACTAATATTATAAATTCGAAGGTAATTCTGTCTGTCTGTCACCTTTTCACGTCTAAACCACTGAACGGGTTTTAATAAAATTTGGCACAGAGATAGCTTATATGTTCGAGATGGACATGGGCTACATTTTACTGCAAGAAAATATCTTACTCCCACGAGAAAATTCGATATAATGCGTGCGAAGCTGTGGGTAGACAGGTACATCTTCATCTCGATTATCACTGTCAACATTGGTTAAATCCTAAAAACATGAAAGTAAGATTATTGTTTTTCAGTTTCAAATTCTTTAAATAATAATAAATAATCAAATTATAAAGGTATAAGTATTCAACTTAAAATCATTTCAAACATTTGTAAAATTATATAAAATGTGGACAAAAAACTTATTACAATAAACTTTTAACTTTACATACCAGAAGAAGGAATAATCCAATCTGCAAAGTGTAATTTTCACACTTCACAGCAGTCCATTTTATCAATATTAAAAACTTATAGAAATTTTTTGATTATTTACCTCAGCATATGCTCCCATGTCCTCCAAAAACTGTCCAAGCAAATTTAATGTAAATTTCATATCAGCAATCCAAAACTGATGAAAACTAATTAATGCCTTTGAAATGTATTTAATAAAAGAATGAGACTGTGAATTATCAATATGCCATCCAACAATAATGTCAACCGTATCCTGTGTAATAAAATTTGAATCATTAAATTCAAATTTATAAGTATATATAAAATAATACTTTTATACAAAAATATTTCAATAAAAAAAACTATGTATTTTTTAACTTTTTTAATAGTAGTATATTTTTTAATAGTAAAAATTAATGAATTTTATATTGTACTAAAAATACATTAATTTTATGTTTATATTATGGCATAAGCATTGACTGACTTTAAGACAAAAGAATAAAAATTCTAGAACATTTTTTTTTGTATATATAATAAATTTGTAATAATTTTATAGTTTATGTCTGGTCCATATAATTTTCATAGTTTGCAATAGATGCAATATATAATAATAAGTTAGATTTCAGTATATGTAAAATTTATATTTATTTAGTTTATCAAAAATGATCATCATTTTCATTGGAATTATGGTTTTACATTCTAACTCACATTATAAACCAGTAAATTTCTGTGCAAAACAATATTAGGTGGTCAATCTATAATTTTAGCCAGCTACTGCAAACTTCCTTAAAAACAGCAATTACGACAATAAATTATCCTTGCACTATAACACTAAATTGCATACTATTCTATAGTATGGTTATCTTTAAAAAATAATAATTGTAAATAAAATAAATATTTTTAATTGATTAAAGGTTCTATAATCCCACTGGCTCCACTAAATTCCCAGACTTACTTCTTTTGAATTTCTAGCCTCTGTGAAACTAACATTTAAATTATTGACTTTTTATAATTTAAATAATTATTGACTTTTTATAATTTTTTATTATTTACATGTTCATTAAAAATAAACTGATCATTCTGTTTTTTAATGCAATCTGACTGTAGGATTACTACTTGAAGTTGGAAGTCATTATGTCAGGAAGGACAAAAGTACCATCTGTACAGTAAATGAACATAGTGCATGCACTCATGATAGGTTTTCTGCACAAAATGTGTTTTAAGAGGCTTCAGGTCTAACAGGTCATGCTAAAAAAATATTACAGATGAGAGCATTTTAAGTGTTTGATACCTTTCCATGGACAAAAGTATGCTTCATCATATAAACAAAATTTATCACTTTCATTAAATGAACTTGATGCATTATGATTGATTCCTCATTGGTTTCTAAATCAAATGCCAATGCCAAGGACATAATGTTAGCTCATTTTTGGCTATAACCTAACTTTACCATAAATTATAGTTAAGACAGAAATGACATTGTTATTTTCATACATACTTCCTTATTTCTTTATTTTAAAAATATTTTTATAAATATTTTTGATTGAAGTACATATTAAAAAGAATAAGAAATAAATGTTTAGATTAAGAATTAACTTTTCTTGTACATTTAATATAGACCAATAACTTACCCTAAAATTATTACTAAAAACAGATGGATATATAGAACATATCTGAAGTACAACATCAACAATCCCTGTTAATAGTTCTGGTAAATCAGCATTTTCTAAAGCTGACTGAATGTTGGTCATAATCAACTGAAAAATTTAGTAAATTTTAAATTTAAATAATACATTATTTGCTGATAAAGTTCAAATCACAAAACTAGTATAAATAAACTGATTTAATTAGTTAATGATCCAATGATCAGTATTTATATCATAACATTATATAATATATGCTTAATCAATTTAAATTAGCACTATAAAATAATTTTCTAGTCATTTAATTAAAAAAAACTATAACAACTTATTTAAATTATACAAAAAAAATTTTTTTAATTAATAATAAATATAAACTACATTATAGATGTCAAAAAATCCTTTAATATGTTCTTTCTTTATTCTAATATACTAGATGATTCCCAATAAAATGTGATGTTCAAAAATTTTTCTGCTTTACTGTAATGAATTTATTATTATTATTTTGTGAATGTCATGTTCAGCTGATACTGGTGCCAAGTGCTATGCCAGACTAAAATCAAAATATAGCTACACAAACAAGTGTAGCATTAAGCTGTGTTATTGGTATGTATATCAACATCTAGGAAAATCCTAACAATGTGACGTGTTCAATATTGCTGCTTTCTGTAGTGCCATTTATATGTTTTATTATGGTTTAATGTTTCTAGACTTTTGTGTAGTGTACATAGTATAACACTAGTAGAAAAGAGGCCAACAGGTACAATAAATACCTTATCCATCTTGCATACGTTTTACTTCTTGAGTGAGTAGAGTGTACTTAATTTTTTCAGTGTGAGCAATTATTATAAGTATTTGAAACAGAGATGTCTATTATATACGTGATCTTACCACATTTGTCAATGAGAGTGATATCAGGTCTATTGTAATGAATTGTTTTATCTGTGATTACATCTCCATTATAGTATATTTGTAGTATGATTAGCTGAATGAATGTTTAATACTCTATTTGTGTGCAAGCTCTTGGTGCATTATATTTGCTATTTGATTTTGTCTATGTAAACAGTCTGTGCTAAGAGGTTGCAACCAGAAATTATATGTTGTATTGTTTCTGGCAGAATATGGCATTTTCTGCAAGAGTCATTTGTTAGTCATCATCATCATCATTTGAAGAATAAAATTGCATTTTACAAATAAAAAATAATAATACAATCAACTTGTGTTAATATGAATCACTAGGAAAATAGCAGTTAGTTCACTTTATCAAAAAAATTCATATTAACAATTTTCAGGATCAATTTCACATAATTTATGGAGTTAAGGATTAACAGGCAGTTAAAATCTCTAAATTATAATATTTAATTCACTAAAGTTAACTAAAATTAAATTTATTTACAAAAATGAATTAATGATCTAAATCAGTGGTTCCCAATTAGTTTTTCCTGCGTACCACTTCAAGAAAGAGCTCAAACTCGCATACCCCTTATAGCAGAAATTCATATTAATCCATACTAATATTATAAATTCGAAGGTAATTCTGTCTGTCTGTCACCTTTTCACGTCTAAACCACTGAACGGGTTTTAATAAAATTTGGCACAGAGATAGCTTATATGTTCGAGATGGACATGGGCTACATTTTACTGCAAGAAAATATCTTACTCCCACGAGAAAATTCGATATAATGCGTGCGAAGCTGTGGGTAGACAGCTAGTGATAAATAGAATAAGTTTTTTTTACTTTAAAATACAATTCTAATAATAATGAAAATAACATAAGGTTATTTAATTTTAATGTGACAAATGTACATGATTTTCTTTGCACAACTTTGTAAAATCTGGTTGCTTTTTGGTCAGCTTCAGTCTCAAGTCATCTTCAAGTTGAAGTCTGCAACGATGTTTAGTTTTCATGTTTGTCATGGCCAAAAATCCACTCTCACAGAGGTATGTTGTGCAAAATGGTAGTAAATATTTTATTGCCACTTCACTAACATGATAATAATGTTAATTGTACAAGTTTTGTTTCTTGCATAAGAATTTCATTTAGGTATTGTCACAAATGCATTTCTTTGATGAACTTTCAAGAATATTTTTAGTTATAAAGAAACAAATTTGTGCATTCGACATCATGTAAATTGCCAAATTTTTGATAGTCCACCCATTATTTTTTTGATTGCTTCATCCCATGCATTTAAATTTTAAATTGACCGATTTTAGATTGCCACGCGTACCCCTTCACACAATTTTGCATACCCCCAGGGGTACGTGTACCACTAATTGGGAACCATTGATCTAAATGATTTTCAAATCAAAACAAAATGAAGAGGAGACTATTCGTCATTTAAGTGTGAATTATATAAGACTGGTTAAACAAAACAAGGCTAAAAGAAATCCTTGATTTTTTTCTGAAGATTATCTAAAAAAATAGAAAATGCTTTTTGATACCAAAAGAGTAAAAACAAGAAGCTAAATTTGGTTCAAAGTAGCCAAACCTCCCCAATATGCAAACTAGTATGTGTTTGCATGGAACTACATCCATTTAATGGGTGGATGTTCTTAAACTTTAACTCCTATTTTCTAAGTACAGTAGAATTATCCACTAAAATCAGATGTTTGAATTTCTCTACAATTGGAGGTTGAATCATCTTTACTTACTAGAAGAAAAGTTTGTGAAGGTAGTTTATAGTTTGGTTTAACAAATTCTGGTAAAATTTTTGTTCGCTTTATTGTATGTAAATTAACATTGATAATAGTGTTTTTCCAGGTGACAACAAATTTTGCTTTAGCATGAGAATTCACTTTACTGTGTTGATTTTAAAGTGAGTCAACTGTAATGTANTATATACATTTTAAACTATCATTTTTATATTTTAAATTTATAACAAAATCAATATACTAAGAGAAGTATAACCATAGTTGAGTCTCCATATTTGCATATTTGTGTTTTTACAATAGTATTTGTAGAATATACTGAATTTGGTTGCTGCTCACTGTATTTACTGAGTAATGGTGGGTTATATGAGTAGGTTAGTTTATGGCCTTTGTATATTGTGTATGTATTGTGAATTCTTTGGTGCATACCTTATTCTTAACCATATAATAAAATTTTTAATAGTATTTTCATAAACATGGATCTAAAATGTTACTCATTATTATAAGACACAAAACCTTTTAAATAAATTTAAACATTTCTGTTAATTGCAAATGGTTGCATAAGTTACTATAAATAAAAATCACCTTCTTAATCTCAGCAATGTATACTATAAAATATAAAATGTTTTTGCAGCTACCAAGCAGTTTCTCTTAAACAACAAACATTATTAAAATCTGATAGATATACATGGGTAGGCTGAAAAGTAATGCACACATGCTTGTAGAACACGAACGAAAACAAATAGCAAGATCGTACAAAAAGTACATTAAAGTACAATTTTTAAGTTTCAAAATCATATATTTATTTTTCAACATAGTCACCATTAAGACTAACACATTTCTCCCAATGTGTAACAAGTTTTTTCATTCCATCACTGAAAAATTCTTCCGACTTTTCTCTAATCCAGGACTTGACAGCTGCCTTCACCTCATCATCTGAGGTGTAATAATCACCCTTGAGGTCTCTCTTAAGTAGAGGAAAAAAACAAAAAACGCAAGGTGCAAGATAGGAAGAATAAGGAGGGTGTGAAATCAGTTCAAACTTCAAGTTTCACAGAGTCTCTCCAGTTGCACGCGAGGTGTGTGGACGAGCCTTGTCATGTTGCATGATTATTGGCGCCTGGCTGCCTCTAACATGACAAACTCAACGTTGGAGGTGTTTGATTCTGTATGTACTGACAAGAATTAAACATTACAACGAGAGACAACGGTAATCATCTGTGGCAGTGATCAAACATCTGCTGCATGTTTCATCAACAATTATGGCTTTTCCAGGCTCGCAACTATGAAATTTTATTATCCATCGATTTACAGTAGACCTATCAACAGCATTGTCACCATAAACAGCCTTTAAACGACAATGAATCTCAGTAGGAGTCACTTTTTCAGCAGTTAAAAATTTGATAACAGCACGCTGTTTAACTTGTGTTGACATTGCACTAGATCACGTCTCCATATTTCCACTTCTCAAAATATACTGAATGAATGCAACAACCTCAAACCGCATATACACATAGAGGAGGGAACGTTACTTCCATATGCCACCTGGCACACTTCTGAAAATCATTTTGTTTGTGCTCTACAAGCATGTGTGCATTACTTTTCAGCCTACCCTCATACATATCAAGCCCTAAAGATAGATTAAAATCTGATCTGCTTAACAAAGAATGGCATTTAACCCTTTGGTGAGTGGGTTTACCAGTGGCTCTCTCTCCTCCCAAAGTGAGTGAGTTTTTAAGAAATATAACATTTACAAAAAAAAAATTTATATCATGTCTTCAAATTCATATATTTTTTAAGAAACTAGGCAATATTTCCTTTTTCTGATTTGACTGTGTCAAGTAACTCCAGCAATTCAGGAGACAGCAATGTGAACAAGTATTAGATGTCTTGTTTGTCTTCATTCTAGAAAATCTATGCTAAATCTTGCAAAAGTTAAAAAAATATATTCTAGACCTGTCAATAAATGGCACTAGATGTTTGTAAAGTTTTGAGTTTGCCCATAAATTTAAGAGCATACTAAAATGAGACAAAATTGAAGAATGTATATGTATGTGCTTACTCTATAGCATCACCACATGTATCACATATATTTAGAGAGTACCCCTCAAAGGGTTAAATGCATCATCTACATTCACTAATTTTTTAAAATCATCTTTTGACTCATCTTCCTAGAATGATTACATCAGTTCCTCAATGTATTTTGTCTGTAATTCATCAAGTCCCTCTCATACAACTTTATGAGCTAATTGCTTTGTTTTCTATAACAACTTGTTACTGAATTCAAAATCTTTAATTACCATATTGCTTCACAATTACTTCCAGGACAAATTTATCATTAATGGTTTCAATTCAACAATGAAGGCTTTAATTAAATCTATACAATCAGCTGCATTAAAGTTCTTCAAACACTGCACCATGCTTAAATTTGGATTAATATCCACTATCCTTAAGATAAGATTTGTTTGACATAGTATAGCTTGAATGCTTGTTTTGCTCCCTGATCAGTCGCAACATAGAAGATGGATACTACTTACTTGCATTTTTTGCCTCCATTAGTGTAGACAGCACAAATTGCAGAACATATTCAAGATAAAAGAATTAAAAATTATTTAATCCATCTTTTTATTTGTTGTTTCATTGTTTTTGTTAATCAAATACAAAAATTTTACTTTCATGAATATGAAAAATTATTGCAATACCAAACCATAAATATGTGAAGTGTGCAAATAACATGCAAATATGAATTTTCTAATGTAATATGTTCAGATATAAATATATGTAGAAATATATAATTAAAAACAAAATTCTTTAAACTTAACATTCTTAACTGATGTGATTCAAATTTCAAAGTATTTCATAGAATATATTTTATAAAATATATGTATCAGATATCAAATTGTAAAAGTGAAATTTACACATTTCAATTTTTTCTAGAAACAGCTGAAAAAAACATATTCCAGAATGTTTGAGGTGGGTATTTTTTAGAGTTCAAATGGCATTTCACCACATATTTTATTGGAAGTAGGTACTTCAGCAATGTCTGACAACATGAAACTTTCATAAGAACTCATTTGCATGTTGTTGCTCTAATCACTCTAACTTACTCTCTTGTGTGCTCTATCACTTCAAGTGTGGCCACACACAACAAAGGGTCACAATATCATCTGCAAGGCATTTGGCAACAACATAGTCAGCAGCAGACCTGCTACAACTAGCTCAAGAAATTGAAAAATGGCAATTTCTCACTTTAAGGTGAACCCCAGCCGTGTAGCAATTTCACCATTGATATGATATGGAGAATATCATATCAATGGTGTCATATCATCACTGAAGTGATAACAATAATCTACAGTTTACCACCAGAGAATTAACACAACTTCAGTGTTCCCATACAACCATTGCCAATCACCTTCACACTCTTGGCAAGTTGAACAAACTAGGCAAGTGATTGCCCTATGAACTGACTGCTACAAACAAAATACGCCAATCATTTTCAATTCATTGCTCACCATGCACCGCACATTCAACTGTTCAAATCAACTGTGACAGGAGATGAGAAGTGTATCTTACATTACAATGTGATATGCAAACCTTTGTTCATGGCTGAACAAAGGTCAACCAGCTGTTGCAAATGTCAAAGGGCCAATAGTGCAGAAGAAGGCAATGATCAATCTGAATTTGTTTGACGTCGTCATGATGTAACTGCTTCCAATCAATGCCACTATAACAAAAGAACACTACTGAAAACAACTGGACCATTTGAACACAAGATCAAAAACTTTGTCCAAAATTTAACAGTCCAATACCACCTTGACAACATGCTAGTACATACAGCAAAGATGACCTTAAAGAAGCTGGTCAGTCTGGGCAGGGAGTTTCTTCCTCACCCACCTTAGTGCCCAAACTTGGCACCAATTTCTGTACTTCACACTCTGTAGAAGTACAGAAAACACTCATAGTTCATTGAAAATACCCATGTAAGAACAAACACTCAAGACTTTCTTCAAAGAAAACCACAATCATTCTTTGCTCACAGGATTGAAAGTTTGAGCAAAGGTGGCAAGATGTGATGGATATAGTGCATCCCATAAATATAGGTCCACCTAGTAAAATTAATGTTTAAAAAACCAGTTCAAAGAAATGAAGTAGTAACTAATTGTTATAATATTGATACTTATATTATAACAATTACATTCCAACAAATATTTATTATTTAAAATTTAATAAATAATTTATACAGTAAATTTTTCAAATTTTTAGTGTCCCATAAATATAGGTCCATTTTGAAAAAACAGTTACAAAACATGAATAAAAAATTTCTTAATGCCCAATGCAACATTCTTGAGCCAAAATTAAATTAAATACATGATTAGGCATTGATTTCATTAAAGTTTACAAGTGTTTTTCTTCCATTTCCTTCCATTTAGCTACTATTGCATTCTTCAATTCCTATACTGTGAAGTATTATTTGCCTCCTGTATACACTGCTCTAGCAAGCATTTCCCAAAGGTTCTTAATGGGATTGAGATCAGGACTGCAAGATAGTCACTCCAAAATCAGCATTCCATTACTCAAAAACAATTTATAAGTGGACTTATCATTGTGTATTGGGACATTGTCCTATTGGTAGATCCATCTTGGACCTCCTATTTTCCTTTCAAATGGAAAGAGATGTTTCTCCAGCATTTATTGATAGTCATTTATGCCAAGACTCCACTAGCATAAAAACGGGCTTAAAAACCTTTGTCGTAAAATCTTTTAATCACGTGATCTATTTGCGTTTGCCTCTGGATTGCAGTGGAGGTCTGGCTAGCAAAGTTTTTACGGCAATGGTACTATCAAAGTTTAAAAGACAATGATTATATTCTATGAGTTTTTTCTGTACTATAATTACAAATGTAGTAAAAATAATATCTTTACTTTCAAATATTAACTTTTATTATCGTATTATTAAGATAATATAAAGCACTTATAAGCTTAGCTTTTTTTATTATATATTCCTCTAAATTGAAGGATTTTACTTTGGCCGTCCATATCATGTGTTTTAGGCATCCATTATTATAATCGGGATACTTCTTGTCAAAGATATATGAATACTTTCGGATGTTTTTGATAAATCTTTTCAGATCTATTCTAGAGTAGCCATGAGGAAACGTACACAAAAGATCGTTTTCTGCCATTTTCGCACTGTGTCACAATGACCTAGATTTCACTGACTTCTGATTGATGGATGGTACCATTTTACGGCCGTATTCACATTGAAAGTTGAACACTGATCAACTCATTTTTACGACCTACTCAGGTGTAAAATATCATGGTCATGTGATTAAAAGCTTTTTTTACGCAAGGGGTTTTACGCCCATTTTTACGCTAATGTGAGATCCGAATAGCCCCCGGGTCTAAATTAATAATTTAAAAATAATGTTAAAGTTTTGTCCTAAAATATTCTTTCGTTTGGGATGGAAAAATAACGTTTTCTAGCGTGGGGAAAACAGCTAGGAAAGTCACTTCCTTTGATGGAAGTATGAGCATCCTCTGTTTTTCCCTTATCTGCTAAAAATCTCGCTTCGATGGAAACTGTTTACCCCTCATTTCTTCCCCCTTCCCATCCGTTCACGTGGATAAAGCCTCGACTGATAATTGGTCGTAAATCAGAAGATATATGCGAAGTTCAACCGTATTCGGGGAGTTCATCGGCAGACCTGAAAGAGTTAGGACTCCACACATTTGCTCTCTAAGGCCATTGCCTTTAGGAGTTTGTCAGAAAATCTCATAGAGGAGAGACGTCTCCCATATTGGCTCCACACCGCCCTTAAGAGTGAAAGGACTCCACACAGATATGCCAGCAGACCAACGCCTCGTCATCCCCTAACAAGTTACTCCTAAGTTATCAATGAAGTACCTTCACGAATAAGAAGACGACACTGCCAAGTAAACAGGTCGTATGTTTAAGAATAAATTGTGAGCTCTCTCTCTCGTAAATGTATAGTTTGAGAATACATTTCTCTCTCGACTTGGTATAGACTAAGAATAGATTTCCTCCTGTCGCGATTGATTTGATTATTCGTTCTTTGATTGACTGTTTTGAATTAATTGATTATTTCTTATTCTGTATTAATATTGTTTATTTGTTTATTAAATTCTATATACTTTGTTAAGAGATGTCTCTGTATTATTATTCTCAGAATCAGATCTACGGCATAAATTTCACGCGTGTTTATCCGCATTACGAAAAGTAGATAAACTGGTGTCTGGAACCTGACATTTGGACAGAGACTACACAGTCCTTAATCCTCATTAAGCCTGTATATTACAGCCCTCCTATGAATATTTAAGATCGGATCTCGAAATCCGAAACTTAGAGGACAGATTTCGGATAATCTGTGCCAGTAAGTGATATAGGATTAACCCTATACCCTTGGCTATTCTCACACTAATTGAGTCTTGACCTTATATTCATTCTTTCCTTATGAATGCCACATTAAACTTTCCACTCCATCTGAATGATGCCCATATCGTCACATAATTGCCATCTTGATGAAGTTTTGAACATATCTGTTCTTCCTGTCTTAAATTGTGCCAACAGTTCATCTGGGCCATCCAAATTAAACTCCATCACTTCATATAATTCTGTTTCCAATACATCATTTCTTTGGTCTATTTTAACCTCTGCTTGTGTGCATTTGTTAAGGCAGGGGTAGGTTTTCTTTGACTGTAAAGAAATTGGCCTGAATTTTTATTCTGGAAACTGTTGATCAGCTTGTCAGACCTTATGGAAACTTAATGTATTGATGATGAACTATTGCCAATTTCTTTAAAAAAAAAAACTCATTTTATTCGTGGGATTACTTTTCAAGAGAGTCCTTTGGAGCATTTTTAAACTGTATGTGTCTCCTAGACATATAAAATTAATTAAATTATGAGATCTTTTTGAGTTTTATTGCATTTTGTCTGTTTGATAGTCCAAATTCCTTCCAAGCCATAATTAGTATTTTTCTATGTCTGTAGCTCCCTTGGCATGTTCTGTGATTCAAAGGTCACACAAAATATCAATTAATGTTAGTTAATCAATTTCAAATTATGCTGCCATTTGCAATTGGATAAGTAGGTTTCTCTAATGGCAAAAATATGTATGTTAATTACATCAAATTTGATACTTTAAAAAAAAAAATTATTTTTTACACTGGACCTATATTTATGGGACACTAAAAAATCAAAAAGTTTACTGTATAAATTATTTATTGAATTTTAAATAATAAATATTTGTTGGAACGTAATTGATTTGAAATAAGTATGTTAACAATGAATTATTTCTTCATTTGTTTGAATAGTTTTTTAGAAACTTCATTTTACAAGGGAAACCTATATTTATGAAAACCTTATTAATGGTGATTACCTACAAGACTGAACTGTAATCATTGCCAGGTTAATTGTCAAAAGTTTTTTTTTTCAAATTGTCTAAATTTCACCTTTACAACCTGATAAAATATAACATAAAATAAAAAAATATGTGACTCAAAATAAAAAAAATGTATGAAACTTAAAAATTACACACCTTTTACTTTCTGTTCCTAATACTGCTGCCATTACTCCTAGACATGGAGACAATTCCTGTTTAACTTCTAAATGTAATCTAAAAAAACAAAATTTGATAAAATCATTTCATACAAGTGCACATTTATATGTCATACTGCAATTAATCTTAAGTAAATAACAAAAATTCAATTAATGTATATGTACCATATGCTTAAAAAAAATTGAAATAGCAAAGGAAATATTTTAATTTTTATTATGACTAATGTTAAATTTTAAAATAAATTATTTTACAATATACAAATTAAAAATAATGTCACATCTTAAACAATTCAAATAGAAAAAGCATAAATTTGTTGTTATTGAATTTATAAAATTTAATTACTCAGCTCTAAATCCCTAAATATGAAAAAAAAAAAAGCAAATCAGAAATAGTCATAACAGAAGTACATAGTATCAGATAGATATAAAATGAGCTTAAATAAAAAAAGTAAGTAATAAGTAAAGCCTGGACTCCACATTACCAGAATCCGCGACGTAATCATAAAACTGAAAGCCAAACTGACGAAACTTTCAGTTTTGTAATGTTCAGTTGGACAGAAACAAGACTGAAAGCAGAGTTAAAAATTATTTAATTTTTCCATTTTCGTTCTATGCTTCTGTTGTACTGCAGCCGATAAAAACGCAAGGATTTGTGATGCATAGACATGTGCATTAGTCACGTGTAGTTCGATTGTCGTAATGGCGGAAAGTGTAGCAAAAACAATGAGGAAACAAATAGATTTGGAATTCTTCACTGAAGAATTTAGAAAATACAGATGTCTGTACAATAAAGAATGTAAATAATTCAATTATTATTAACAATGAAATTGTTAATAATCTTTTATTTCTCTGTATTATTAACAATTTCATTGTTAATAAATGCAGAGAAAGCGTGGCAAAATACGTAGTGTCGTTTATATTTGACTCTATGACAATTACAGAACTGATCAACAGATGGCACATTTCTAGTGGAGTCAAGTTAAAATGAAAACATAACTGAAACGAAAACTCTATGTTTCAGTTTTGTTTCTGAGTTTTCATGTAATGTGGAGTCCAGGCTTAAAAGAGAAATAATTACCAATAAGAAAATACTTTAACAGATTAAGGGTCAAGTTATAAACTCCATAACGTAATCGTATCCATACCGTATCCGTATAGCATGGTTATAAAATCCGTATCGTATCCGTATGGTCGTACCGTATTCCGTAAGAAAAGTTTGGATCAATCAAACTTTTATGGTAGCGATACGGAAAATTGACCAACTGCACATGCGCTAATTGTAGTCGATGATGACAGTTGTTGCCAGATCAAGAAAAAAGTAACAAATTGATTGAAAAGTAACTTTTGACTGACAATGCTACTTCTAAATAATATAAAATTTTAAGATAAAAATTACTTTGGTCATAAAAAAATAGAAAAATAATAAAATGAATAAATAATTATAGTGTTAGATCTGGCAATAACTATAGATGATTTTGCACATGCTCACAATGGACTACTCCGTAAACCGTAAGAAAAGTTTGTTCCCTTACAGATACAGATAAGCTCTTACGGTACTTTATAACTATTGCTATAGATATCCAGTGTTGCAAACATTTACAAATACGGATACAGTTAAGTTACGGAGTTTATAACTCGATCCTAAACACACCAGATTAGTCTGCAATTTTCAAAAATTGTAGACCTAAAAATTCCTACAGGCATTTATTTGTTTGTCTATCTGTCCTTTCTTAATCTCGAGAAAGGAGTTGGATAAATGAAAGTCAAAACCAGATATAAAAAGCTTAGGGGCAGGAGAATCCAATTAACTATATATAAACTTCCAATTTAGATCAGAAGTCATGTTATTTCAATTCAAAAATTTTCTCCTGAAGATGACTTGCACAACTTCATTGTTAACAGGAAAAGTATGATGTAGAGGGACAAGATACTAATAAAATTGAGAGAACTGACAAAAAATTGCAGCCTGGCATTATGACAATAAATAACTGCTTGTTATCATTTAAGAATAACTGAAGAAACATGTAATTATTATTAAATGAAACTAAACAAATAATTTTTTTAAAAATGAGATAATTTAACAAATCTAAATATAATTAATATTTTAATTTCTGTAATCATTCAAATCAAAACTGCCTGCAAACCAGAAATTCTGTCAAAGCAAAACATAATGGAAAGTAAATGTTTTCAAATAATATTCCTAAATAGTTTAGTTAACTAAAGAATTTCTGAATGATTATGAGTTTAAAATTTATATATGTATCGCACTAACAATACAGACTAACACTTTGAAATATTACAATGATTATAAAAGAATGTTATTTGTAATATTTTAAATTAATAAGAATCATTTATTCTGGGTTTATTTACACTTATAATTTAAAGTAATTCAAATAATGTGTTTTACTATTTTAAAAAATGTTAAGATATTGCATGTACCTTTGATGCATGAAATCTTCTACAACAGATATGATATGGGATAGATTCATTGATATAACCTATTAAAATATAAATTAAAAAACTTTTTAATACATAGAATTCATACATTAATTTGTAAACTATAATATTCAAATTCTAAATTATATTCTTTGGAAAATATAAATAATATTTTATATAGCTCCATTTCATTATTAATGTTCTAGGTTAGCCACTTCCAACATTTATGCATTAAGTAGCCAAATTTTTTCAAAAGATACAAGAGCTAAAACAGAACATTACATAATATAATATTTATAAATAATAATTGTTCATATAATAGTCACAAAAAAATATAAAATTAATTATAAATATATTTAATAAAATGATTAAATGCACAAATACTAAGCAAGTTTTTTAAAGAACAAACATACAGTAAAACTTCTCTAACTCAAACTTCTGTAACTTGAATATTTCTTTAACTTGAGAAGAATGAAGCACTCAGTGGATCTCAATGAAATAGCATAGGGATTTAATGCCTGCAACTTGAATTTCCTTAACTTGAATTTTCTCTGAGTTGAAGGTTTTTATGGTTTCCTATACTGACTTATGTTACTTTCAACTTCCTTGATATGAATTTTAATACTTTGGATAGAATCCTAATTTCTATACTTTGGATAGAATCCTAATTATTAGATTTCCATGAAATTTTCAAACTGTTAATTGTATTTACTTTCAAACACCCATTTGCAGACAACATTCTAGTCCAAAGCGAGAGAACCTCTTGCTTTACCTCAACAAGATGTACCTACAAAACTGATCAATTCCATTAGTTACATCAAACATTTTGCTGAAAGGCATTACACAAACTGTTTAAACAAAAACTATCAAAGATTATTTATATAATGCAAGAGAGATAAAAATACAAATCTATTCAGAATCGGCATTTTTCACTATTGTTCTCTAGCTCAAATTGTCTGTAACGCAAAGTTTATCCTGCCGTTTGGAGCTTTGAATTAGAAAAGTTTTACTGTAAACAGAAACACTAACACATCATGAATTTTTGTGATCTGTTAATAATACTGTAAACTAATAATGCAACTCAGACTATTAGTTGGAAATTATGAAAATTAATAAACATGTTTTTATTTTTAAGTAATATTATAGTATATATTCAATAAAATTATACAGGTTTGATTAAAAATTATTTCAGAATGCTTTCTTTTAAATTTAATTTTTATTACAGAAATGACAGTTTGTATGACATTAAAATTTATAATTTGAGTATTCTTTGTTCTTTTTATGTAGATAAATTTGAATTTTTATTGTAAACAATGCTTCATGTTATTGGTATGTTTTAAAACCTAGATAACCATAGTCTCAAAGAACAGCATGTAATAACTATACTTTGTAGAAAAAGGTTGTCAAAATTAGCAACAAATTATTCTAAGCCAAAAGAGGGCAACCTTTTTAAGTGCATGCGTGCCAAAATTGCCAAATCTATTATGCAAAATTTTCACAAGCACCCAAGCAAACTTTTTGGGAAGCATATTATTTGGTGTCTTATTAGTTATTATTACTAAAACAGTTGATAGTATTTGTTTCTTTATTGCATTTTTATTTAGTATCACTTTACTTGATAAAAATTGTATTCTATTAAGTATACAACTCAGTGAAGATGTTGGATATTTACTTTTTAAAGTGATCCCTGGGTTGCTTGCCAGAAAAAAGTTAGCCTTCCATGTTTGGCAAGCATGCTAAAGATGCCCTGTTCTAAAACATTCATTTCTATTTAGTCAAAATATAGATCATCAATAAAAATTCTGTATATTTTAGCTTTTATGAATATTAATCTTGAACTGATGTATGTTATATATCTGTGAAACAAATTTTTTGAAATTTGTATAATGCAAATTACTTCTATAAGCTGTTCTATAATTGTATGTTTAATGCAAGATATACTTTATGCTATTCACTGATTAGACCAAATAAATGCTTAATCTTAAGTCTTCACTATTTTTTGTTTATTTATATATTTTATGTATCTGGACCAACACATTTAGATCTGATTGTCCATGAAAAATTTCTGAGGTTGCCTGTCTAGATTCAATCCCAAATCCTCCACAACAATAGTATAGTAAAAGATAAACCAGCTAGTGAAGGTGCTGAATTTTTATATACAGTAGAACTCATTTATCCAAAGTACTGTAGACCAATGGTACCTCTAATAATAAGAATAGCTACAATCATTTCATATTAAGAATTACAAATATAAAAGATTTATATGGTACATCATTTTAATCTTTTCTTACACCTTACTGAATTTAATCCTATAAAAGGATAACAAAATTTTACATCATTTATTATTCAGCTAATACATACAACAGTTTTAAAAAGTAAAATGCATATTATTATAGTTACATAGTAACATGAATAATATGTCTTGCATTGAAGTTAAACAAAAAAAGGTAACATAACATGTAATACAAAACAATTGTTTATCATTTTAAATTTTCTTTTATGAATTACAGTATTAAAAAATTAGTATTTTCACCAACAGGTTTGCTTCGGTTAATGTGCAACCTCAAATAATTGGGGTTCTACTGCTCTTTGAATTTATTTCTAATCAGCATTTTTATTGTTCTCAATATCTGGTTTTTCATTTTACTGAGTTAAATCTTTGTAATCTTTGTAGTTAGAGGTCTTATATACCTGGAGGCATTGTCTTTCTTTTACTGTGTAAAATAATACATAACTTAATTCTAGGCTATTGCTAAATGTAAAAAAGTAAATATTAGAAATTTAAATACATCCAATCCTACTTTATAATACTAACTTTATGATTTCCCACTTTTATGACTGCTATAAATTTTATATTATGTTTTATGAAATATTATATTTAAATGTAATATTTGTTTATTGCCATCTTCATTTATAATATTGAACTTAATCAATTATCATAATTTAATTTATGATGACTGATTTAATGACGGTTTTCCAAGAAGAAATAACATCTTTTCAGGATTTGGTTGCAAAAGTGGGTGTCTGAAGTGCTGATAAGTAAAATAAAAGTTATAAATAATATACACATAATCCGTATAAAAAATGTAAAAACATAAAAAGTTATCATTAAATTAAAATTACTTTTCAATCTTACACTTTTCTCTATTTCACAATTCAAATAATTTCAAATCAGAGAAAAGTATATAAAACAGAAAAAATATATATGAATGAAAAAAAAATTTAAATAAATAATCACTACAATTTAACAAAAATTTTCTGTTATTAAAAAACAAAAAAGTATTTTTAAAAATATACCTTTATATCATCTACTTGTAAAAAGAATTCCTTTAACTGTTTCAATGTTGTAAGCTGACGTTCTCGATCATCATCTCTTTCAAGTCTTTGTAGCAGCCTTAACATACGAGAATCATCGGAAAGAGATTGATGTCCGTCTATCCAATAAATGAATAATAATGAAAACATTCTTTTTGATATCTCATCACTATATATATTATATTATTCTAAATAAATTTAACCATTATTGATAAAAAAAGTTTCATTTTATATGAATTAAACATTTGACATTATATTAAATGAAAATGAATAATTTGTTAAATGAAATCTTTTAGCATTTTTAAAAATAATAGCTGAACATGTAATAACTACAGGAAAATATGATTTTTGACTACTATTATAATTGAGTATGGATCTTTCTTCTTTTTACAGACGAAACTAACAATTACAATTACAATTTTAATAATAGAGGTATTGAAATGTTTGTTGAACAGATTGTTTTCTGCTATATCATTTGTGCTTATCTAGTACTATTATGATGTTATAAAGACATCATTAACTCTTTCTAAGCTGTCCCACAACCAGAAATCAGGAGGAATGAGACCTTATGAATGTGAAATCCGAAATTTTTACGCCGATGTCAGAAAAAAAACCTTTGTAAACAACTCCGATGGAAAAAATACTCTTGGTGAGAATTATATCAAAGGTCACCGATTGTTTTCATACTTAGGTGGGAAAGTTGACACTTAATTGATCGGAATGCACTGTTAGTGTCAACAAAAGTCGATCACATGATTCCTTTTCCACGAAAAACGTATAAAAGCTCGAGTCCCCAAAAGCTCCGGGAGACCAAAGGAAGTTATACTTCTCAATGTGTGCATCTTGTCTCCATACAGCGGACATAGTGCCCGAAAGGACATCACCATACGACAGAAAGCTACTTTGAACTTCCATTGCTATTCTACCGTTCCTGTGCTGACTATGATTTATACAGCCCATTCAACGAACGCATTTTAGTCATATCCTCATAGAGATATTTGTATTTAGAGCTTTGTGAACTCTCTCTCTCTAGCCGATAGAGCTGTTAGAGTGGCCTTAGTTCTTTTGTTAGTTAACTTATATTTAACCGCATTTAGACTATGTATTGTTATAGCCTCCTGTATCCTAGCTTAATTATTCAAATAAATGCTTGTTTATTCGTTAAACTTGTGTCCTGTTGTTGAAAGGACGCCTGCTGGCTTACTGACGCACTCCCCACTCACTTTTTGCCCTCCTAGCCATCCTACAACCGCAAGATCGGGTTTTACCAACTCATTGCAGCTTAAGTGGTCAGAAGGGATTAACCCCTGACCCTCTGCTTATCTCACATGAAGATGGATGCTTTATATGACACAGATATTTAAAAAAGGAAATTGGCCAACTATTTATAGCATGGTCCAATTACTATTGTCATTTGCATTCTCAAAATAGCTAGTTCCTGAAAGAAAAATGGCCTAAATCTGAATGAAGATGTAAAGCCACACACCCTAAAATCTCAATTTTACATACAAATACTTTTTATTTGATTAGAAAAAGAAACAGTTTTATTTGGTATGTTATTAAGTTTAATTGTGATATTTGTGATAAATAAAACCAGGTGAAAGGCACAAAACAATGCTGTTTTATGCCTTTCACCTGGTTTTCTTTAATAAGAACTGATTGTACAATTTTTCTTCTTCCTTGTCCTAGCTTCCTATTCTAGCTTTCCTATAAACCAGGTGTTGCTGTCATTGGTGATAATGCTCTAAATGAATCCAAAAGACTGTTGCTATGTTTTGTTTTATAGATTAACCTGCCCTGTGTTATTCCCAACATATCTTGGGGTCATGACCTCAACCAGTTGACCCGAGATATCTTGTTTCAGCATCAGAATGTTTTTGAAACTAGATGTTGCTAGTCATTATAATTTTTACATTAAAACTAACTTTTGAAATATATTAATAAATGTAATAACCAAAAAAATTATATCTATTTTTTCTGCAAAATAAAATAATTTTGGATGATACAATAACCACAATTATTCTTTTTAAAAATGTGTAATTTTCATTAGGCTTAACATTGACAAAAATTCAACATGGTGTCACACGCAAAGGAGAGAATTTAAACATTGGATATGTTAAAAGTTAATACATAAAAAGATTAAGTTTTTAAAGATCTCTCAGGCAAATGCAAACAAATGAAATTATCAGATTTTATGGGAAAAGTACAGAAAAATCAATAAATAAATGAATTATACCTTAATAATAAAGAAAACTTTATAAAATAAAAAATAAATTCTTTCAATCACAAATACTGTAAATGCCAATTACTGTAATCACTTTAGAACTAGCCTATATGATAACATTAATGGAGTTAAGCAGTGTAAATGTAATTAGATCAACCCAATTAATAAAAACTGATATTTATAATGTTTTCAAAACTAAACATGTATGTACTATATAACATGACAAATTATTCATAAAGCTTTTTAAATATGAACATTTGTTGGAGATTCTAGACTATTTTCATGTTGATTTTCACAGATCAGATAATTCTCCAGAGCCTTCTTCAGTAATGAATTCTGGTTATTATTTTCATGTTTTTTTAATGACACATTGTTAATGTATGAATGTGCTGCACAATTGTGTCCTGTTGTGTACTATAATGTACTTTTGGCAAACTCCCTCCTGTGTATTATTGTACAAATAAATAAATGGGAGAATGTGGTAAACATATTCATGGACCTCCTTACATTGAAGAAATTACTTTAAAAACCTCTGCAAATATTTTCTGATAATTTATTCACATGATTAGTAAGAAGGTTTGTAAGAATCAATTTGTATGCAACTAAAACAGTCCATGTAGATAATGCTTCAACCTTCTCCCTCTCCATTGTGTACAATGATGTAATTTTTGCCCTTTCTCCTTCTCAAATTGTACATGTAAAAGACAATCCTGTAATGCCTGAACAATTAACCACATCTGATTTTATAAAACACAGACTTTACTACATGTACATAGTTTACGTAAATACAAAGAACAATTACAAAATGCCTGTAGATGTTTTCATACACAAAATTCAATCAGTAACTCCCAAAAAGCAAAAAAAATAAATGAAAAACAACTGCATTCATTTTCCATTAGCAAACAATCTGTCTAATACCTCTCGTCAGCAGAAAATAGATAAATAATATTTTAAGATATCAAATTACAGGCAGCAAAGTTGATAGTACTTTATCATAGCATTATAATATTTCAAGTTTATCTGCAAGAGACAAATCTTTGTATTTCTTATTTGCTTCTTTAATTATGCTAACAGGTACAGTATAATACTGTACTTTAATGAAATACAAATGAAGATCACAGTTTTCAACAGCAGACAATGGCTAGCCTATAAATGAAGTAATAAGTACCAGAAATCAAAATTTAAACTATGATACTGTATATAAGGTTTTCTCGCCTGACCTTTAACTTCTAAAATTAGATATATAAGTTTGAAATTTAACAAAATGAACTTGTTAACAATGAAATTTAACATTCACAAAAAACTATAATTATCAAATTTCCATTAAAGTTAAATTAACAGTAGCATGTTAAATGATACAACAATAAATGTAGGAAAAAAATTTTTAATTCTGAACAAATGCAACCTTTCTCAAACCAATCACATACTCATCACACTCTGTGCCCACTGGGAATTATGCCTTGATTCTGCTTTTGCAGTTCTTTTAAGTAATGAATGTGACATCACATTTCTAATGTCATTGCATACTCACCTACACACTTATTTGCTAATAATTTTTACAGACAATTTTCCACATAATATTTAACAAAATTTTACTAATAATATGTAGATTAAATTATCTTGCAACATAATAATTCAAAGAACATTTTCTTTTAATTCACTAAGTTGTAAATGCCTCTTTCAACTGAAATCTGCTGATGTAAGCAACAACAGGCATGGAGCAGATATCAGTTTTTAAAAATGAAGATTAATTTTGAATAGTTTTGTCTATTCAAAATTTGTTTTTCCATTCAATCTTTAAAAAAAAAAAAAAACAAATTCCCCAAATTAAGAAAAAACTAACATTTGGTTTCAATTCCTCACATGTATATAAATATTGAAATACAAGATTTAAAAAACATTCAAACATATTTAAACTAAACATTTCCTCTCTTATAAGATTGGATGTTTTAATTTAAATTGACTGTGCTAATGTTTTTATTAAAATAGCATGATTTATAACTATTATTTATCATCTGTTTTCTCAGTTGGCTGTTATTAATTGTAAGTAAATTCAAACTTATGATTAGTAACAATGATAGTTATAAGCAAATTTCAGATTACAATACACAAAAATTTTGTAATGTAATTTAATTTATATATTTTTTGGTACATTAATTCTGATAATGTTAGTAACCGATAATATCCACAGTCACAGTACGTGGCATCTACTGTACACTAATTATTCTAGCTCTTTATATTTAAATAAATTATTGAATAATGTTCATAACTTTTTTAAAATTTTAATCTCTATTATATAGATATATTGATTAACCAGAAACTAATTGAGGAGTCATTCACGAATAATATATAAAATAGATTGGCTATATAAAAAGAACTAAAAGAAATGAATATAACTATTTATACTTATTCATACCTTGAGAATTTCTTCCTCGAAAATATCTTGTATAACTGCTTGTATGCACATCTGTAAAAAATATAAATTTTGGTAAACATGTATTCAGTTTCATATTTATGAATATAATATTTTGAAATGATTTATAAAATAAATGTGTTTGCATTAGCAATGTATTTGATTTTTAACATAATCTTTAGACTAATTTATGTAGTAAAATAAGCTACGAAGAATTTTTCTAAAATTATGTTATGTATGTAACAGTCAATTTAAAAAATTATGTATTTTATTAAGTAATACATTATATACTAAGTAACACATTTAAAATTTAGTAAATTATATGTATTATTTTCTATTATTTAACACCATTCAATTTCAAAATACAATCTTAAACATGTTCTTTTGGGATGGTCACCATTGCCACATCAATGAAAGTTTATAATAAAGTAATAATAAATAATGTAAAAGTGTAATGGATTTGATTAAATAATAATTATTATTTTCACAGTATTATATCTACTGTACAGTCTAAATTCTACTCTATGCAATCAAATACTCAAGTAGATAGTCAAATAAATTCAAAATCAATCAATTTACAATTAAAACTGAGAATTTTAATCATACAAATACTTTTAGTAATGGCTGAAAAAATTGAATTTTCTAAGAAACAAATGTGAAAATATGTGAAGTAAAAGCAAATTAATCAGTGATAGAGTAAATAAAGAAAAATTCACTGTGAAAAAGAAATATATAGGACTTATTTCAGATGTATGTATGCATGCATCTATGTATTTTTGTATGTATGTATGTCCTTGTGAGGATTACACCTGATAACAGTTATCATATAATCAATTAATGCATCTATTTTAGAAGAATTTATGCTAAATCTTTTAAACCTGAAATATTTTTGAATATTTTTTCCTAAAACTAAACAAACACATTTTTTTATAATACTCTCAATATATTTATTAGAAACATAAATTAGATTTTATTGTGATTAATATTTTCTGTGCTGTTCATTAATACCAAAACCTATTGAAATAAAAAATACTTCCTTCATCTAAATAGCTTTTTTGTTTATGTAAAGAATTCAAATTTGGAATTGAATAATTATCAGTTTCAATTAGAATTATATAATTATGCATTATTAGCAACATCCATTTTATGTCTCAAGCACTCTTGCTTAACATTAAATGAGAGAAACTCATTTTTATGTCACACAGACACACACACTCTCTCTCTCACAGTCAGCTGCATTGCATATTATATATATATATAAATTAATCGAAACTCAGAAATTATTAATTGCCTCATCAACTAAAAGCTATTCCAAGTTATTTTTATACNATAACATGTAATACAAAACAATTGTTTATCATTTTAAATTTTCTTTTATGAATTACAGTATTAAAAAATTAGTATTTTCACCAACAGGTGTGCTTCGGTTCCCTTACAGATACAGATAAGCTCTTACGGTACTTTATAACTATTGCTATAGATATCCAGTGTTGCAAACATTTACAAATACGGATACAGTTAAGTTACGGAGTTTATAACTCGATCCTAAACACACCAGATTAGTCTGCAATTTTCAAAAATTGTAGACCTAAAAATTCCTACAGGCATTTATTTGTTTGTCTATCTGTCCTTTCTTAATCTCGAGAAAGGAGTTGGATAAATGAAAGTCAAAACCAGATATAAAAAGCTTAGGGGCAGGAGAATCCAATTAACTATATATAAACTTCCAATTTAGATCAGAAGTCATGTTATTTCAATTCAAAAATTTTCTCCTGAAGATGACTTGCACAACTTCATTGTTAACAGGAAAAGTATGATGTAGAGGGACAAGATACTAATAAAATTGAGAGAACTGACAAAAAATTGCAGCCTGGCATTATGACAATAAATAACTGCTTGTTATCATTTAAGAATAACTGAAGAAACATGTAATTATTATTAAATGAAACTAAACAAATAATTTTTTTAAAAATGAGATAATTTAACAAATCTAAATATAATTAATATTTTAATTTCTGTAATCATTCAAATCAAAACTGCCTGCAAACCAGAAATTCTGTCAAAGCAAAACATAATGGAAAGTAAATGTTTTCAAATAATATTCCTAAATAGTTTAGTTAACTAAAGAATTTCTGAATGATTATGAGTTTAAAATTTATATATGTATCGCACTAACAATACAGACTAACACTTTGAAATATTACAATGATTATAAAAGAATGTTATTTGTAATATTTTAAATTAATAAGAATCATTTATTCTGGGTTTATTTACACTTATAATTTAAAGTAATTCAAATAATGTGTTTTACTATTTTAAAAAATGTTAAGATATTGCATGTACCTTTGATGCATGAAATCTTCTACAACAGATATGATATGGGATAGATTCATTGATATAACCTATTAAAATATAAATTAAAAAACTTTTTAATACATAGAATTCATACATTAATTTGTAAACTATAATATTCAAATTCTAAATTATATTCTTTGGAAAATATAAATAATATTTTATATAGCTCCATTTCATTATTAATGTTCTAGGTTAGCCACTTCCAACATTTATGCATTAAGTAGCCAAATTTTTTCAAAAGATACAAGAGCTAAAACAGAACATTACATAATATAATATTTATAAATAATAATTGTTCATATAATAGTCACAAAAAAATATAAAATTAATTATAAATATATTTAATAAAATGATTAAATGCACAAATACTAAGCAAGTTTTTTAAAGAACAAACATACAGTAAAACTTCTCTAACTCAAACTTCTGTAACTTGAATATTTCTTTAACTTGAGAAGAATGAAGCACTCAGTGGATCTCAATGAAATAGCATAGGGATTTAATGCCTGCAACTTGAATTTCCTTAACTTGAATTTTCTCTGAGTTGAAGGTTTTTATGGTTTCCTATACTGACTTATGTTACTTTCAACTTCCTTGATATGAATTTTAATACTTTGGATAGAATCCTAATTTCTATACTTTGGATAGAATCCTAATTATTAGATTTCCATGAAATTTTCAAACTGTTAATTGTATTTACTTTCAAACACCCATTTGCAGACAACATTCTAGTCCAAAGCGAGAGAACCTCTTGCTTTACCTCAACAAGATGTACCTACAAAACTGATCAATTCCATTAGTTACATCAAACATTTTGCTGAAAGGCATTACACAAACTGTTTAAACAAAAACTATCAAAGATTATTTATATAATGCAAGAGAGATAAAAATACAAATCTATTCAGAATCGGCATTTTTCACTATTGTTCTCTAGCTCAAATTGTCTGTAACGCAAAGTTTATCCTGCCGTTTGGAGCTTTGAATTAGAAAAGTTTTACTGTAAACAGAAACACTAACACATCATGAATTTTTGTGATCTGTTAATAATACTGTAAACTAATAATGCAACTCAGACTATTAGTTGGAAATTATGAAAATTAATAAACATGTTTTTATTTTTAAGTAATATTATAGTATATATTCAATAAAATTATACAGGTTTGATTAAAAATGATTTCAGAATGCTTTCTTTTAAATTTAATTTTTATTACAGAAATGACAGTTTGTATGACATTAAAATTTATAATTTGAGTATTCTTTGTTCTTTTTATGTAGATAAATTTGAATTTTTATTGTAAACAATGCTTCATGTTATTGGTATGTTTTAAAACCTAGATAACCTTAGTCTCAAAGAACAGCATGTAATAACTATACTTTGTAGAAAAAGGTTGTCAAAATTAGCAACAAATTATTCTAAGCCAAAAGAGGGCAACCTTTTTAAGTGCATGCGTGCCAAAATTGCCAAATCTATTATGCAAAATTTTCACAAGCACCCAAGCAAACTTTTTGGGAAGCATATTATTTGGTGTCTTATTAGTTATTATTACTAAAACAGTTGATAGTATTTGTTTCTTTATTGCATTTTTATTTAGTATCACTTTACTTGATAAAAATTGTATTCTATTAAATATACAACTCAGTGAAGATGTTGGATATTTACTTTTTAAAGTGATCCCTGGGTTGCTTGCCAGAAAAAAGTTAGACTGCCATGTTTGGCAAGCATGCCAAAGATGCCTTGTTCTAAAACATTCATTTCTATTTAGTCAAAATATAGATCATCAATAAAAATTCTGTATATTTTAGCTTTTATGAATATTAATCTTGAACTGATGTATGTTATACATCTGTGAACAAATTTTTTGAAATTTGTATAATGCAAATTACTTTTATAAGCTGTTCTATAATTGTATATTTAATGCAAGATATACTTTATGCTATTCACTGATTAGACCAAATAAATGCTTAATCTTAAGTCTTCACTATTTTTTGTTTATTTATATATTTTATGTATCTGGACCAACACATTTAGATCTGATTGTCCATGAAAAATTTCTGAGGCTGCCTGTCTAGATTCAATCCCAAATCCTCCACAACAATAGTATAGTAAAAGATAAACCAGCTAGTAAAGGTGCTGAATTTTTATATACAGTAGAACTCATTTATCCAAAGTACTGTAGACCAATGGTACCTCTAATAATAAGAATAGCCACAATCATTTCATATTAAGAATTACAAATATAAAAGATTTATATGGTACATCATTTTAATCATTTCTTACACCTTACTGAATTTAATCCTATAAAAGGATAACAAAATTTTACATCATTTATTATTCAGCTAATACATACAACAGTTTTAAAAAGTAAAATGCATATTATTATAGTTACATAGTAACATGAATAATATGTCGTGCATTGAAGTTAAACAAAAAAAGGTAACATAACACATAATACAAAACAATTGTTTATCATTTTAAATTTTCTTCTATGAATTACAGTATTAAAAAAATAGTATTTTCACCAACAGGTTTGCTTAAGTTAATGTGCAACCTCAAATAATTGGGGTTCTACTGCTCTTTGAATTTATTTCTAATCAGCATTTTTATTGTTCTCAATATCTGGTTTTTCATTTTACTGAGTTAAATCTTTGTAATCTTTGTAGTTAGAGGTCTTATATACCTGGAGGCATTGTCTTTCTTTTACTGTGTAAAATAATACATAACTTAATTCTAGGCTATTGCTAAATGTAAAAAAGTAAATATTAGAAATTTAAATACATCCAATCCTACTTTATAATACTAACTTTATGATTTCCCACTTTTATGACTGCTATAAATTTTATATTATGTTTTATGAAATATTATATTTAAATGTAATATTTGTTTATTGCCATCTTCATTTATAATATTGAACTTAATCAATTATCATAATTTAATTTATGATGACTGATTTAATGACGGTTTTCCAAGAAGAAATAACATCTTTTCAGGATTTGGTTGCAAAAGTGGGTGTCTGAAGTGCTGATAAGTAAAATAAAAGTTATAAATAATATACACATAATCCGTATAAAAAATGTAAAAACATAAAAAGTTATCATTAAATTAAAATTACTTTTCAATCTTACACTTTTCTCTATTTCACAATTCAAATAATTTCAAATCAGAGAAAAGTATATAAAACAGAAAAAATATATATGAATGAAAAAAAAATTTAAATAAATAATCACTACAATTTAACAAAAATTTTCTGTTATTAAAAAACAAAAAAGTATTTTTAAAAATATACCTTTATATCATCTACTTGTAAAAAGAATTCCTTTAACTGTTTCAATGTTGTAAGCTGACGTTCTCGATCATCATCTCTTTCAAGTCTTTGTAGCAGCCTTAACATACGAGAATCATCGGAAAGAGATTGATGTCCGTCTATCCAATAAATGAATAATAATGAAAACATTCTTTTTGATATCTCATCACTATATATATTATATTATTCTAAATAAATTTAACCATTATTGATAAAAAAAGTTTAATTTTATATGAATTAAACATTTGACATTATATTAAATGAAAATGAATAATTTGTTAAATGAAATCTTTTAGCATTTTTAAAAATAATAGCTGAACATGTAATAACTACAGGAAAATATGATTTTTGACTACTATTATAATTGAGTATGGATCTTTCTTCTTTTTACAGACGAAACTAACAATTACAATTACAATTTTAATAATAGAGGTATTGAAATGTTTGTTGAACAGATTGTTTTCTGCTATATCATTTGTGCTTATCTAGTACTATTATGATGTTATAAAGACATCATTAACTCTTTCTAAGCTGTCCCACAACCAGAAATCAGGAGGAATGAGACCTTATGAATGTGAAATCCGAAATTTTTACGCCGATGTCAGAAAAAAAACCTTTGTAAACAACTCCGATGGAAAAAATACTCTTGGTGAGAATTATATCAAAGGTCACCGATTGTTTTCATACTTAGGTGGGAAAGTTGACACTTAATTGATCGGAATGCACTGTTAGTGTCAACAAAAGTCGATCACATGATTCCTTTTCCACGAAAAACGTATAAAAGCTCGAGTCCCCAAAAGCTCCGGGAGACCAAAGGAAGTTATACTTCTCAATGTGTGCATCTTGTCTCCATACAGCGGACATAGTGCCCGAAAGGACATCACCATACGACAGAAAGCTACTTTGAACTTCCATTGCTATTCTACCGTTCCTGTGCTGACTATGATTTATACAGCCCATTCAACGAACGCATTTTAGTCATATCCTCATAGAGGTATTTGTATTTAGAGCTTTGTGAACTCTCTCTCTCTAGCCGATAGAGCTGTTAGAGTGGCCTTAGTTCTTTTGTTAGTTAACTTATATTTAACCGCATTTAGACTATGTATTGTTATAGCCTCCTGTATCCTAGCTTAATTATTCAAATAAATGCTTGTTTATTCGTTAAACTTGTGTCCTGTTGTTGAAAGGACGCCTGCTGGCTTACTGACGCACTCCCCACTCACTTTTTGCCCTCCTAGCCATCCTACAACCGCAAGATCGGGTTTTACCAACTCATTGCAGCTTAAGTGGTCAGAAGGGATTAACCCCTGACCCTCTGCTTATCTCACATGAAGATGGATGCTTTATATGACACAGATATTTAAAAAAGGAAATTGGCCAACTATTTATAGCAAGGTCCAATTACTATTGTCATTTGCATTCTCAAAATAGCTAGTTCCTGAAAGAAAAATGGCCTAAATCTGAATGAAGATGTAAAGCCACACACCCTAAAATCTCAATTTTACATACAAATACTTTTTATTTGATTAGAAAAAGAAACAGTTTTATTTGGTATGTTATTAAGTTTAATTGTGATATTTGTGATAAATAAAACCAGGTGAAAGGCACAAAACAATGCTGTTTTATGCCTTTCACCTGGTTTTCTTTAATAAGAACTGATTGTACAATTTTTCTTCTTCCTTGTCCTAGCTTCCTATTCTAGCTTTCCTATAAACCAGGTGTTGCTGTCATTGGTGATAATGCTCTAAATGAATCCAAAAGACTGTTGCTATGTTTTGTTTTATAGATTAACCTGCCCTGTGTTATTCCCAACATATCTTGGGGTCATGACCTCAACCAGTTGACCCGAGATATCTTGTTTCAGCATCAGAATGTTTTTGAAACTAGATGTTGCTAGTCATTATAATTTTTACATTAAAACTAACTTTTGAAATATATTAATAAATGTAATAACCAAAAAAATTATATCTATTTTTTCTGCAAAATAAAATAATTTTGGATGATACAATAACCACAATTATTCTTTTTAAAAATGTGTAATTTTCATTAGGCTTAACATTGACAAAAATTCAACATGGTGTCACACGCAAAGGAGAGAATTTAAACATTGGATATGTTAAAAGTTAATACATAAAAAGATTAAGTTTTTAAAGATCTCTCAGGCAAATGCAAACAAATGAAATTATCAGATTTTATGGGAAAAGTACAGAAAAATCAATAAATAAATGAATTATACCTTAATAATAAAGAAAACTTTATAAAATAAAAAATAAATTCTTTCAATCACAAATACTGTAAATGCCAATTACTGTAATCACTTTAGAACTAGCCTATATGATAACATTAATGGAGTTAAGCAGTGTAAATGTAATTAGATCAACCCAATTAATAAAAACTGATATTTATAATGTTTTCAAAACTAAACATGTATGTACTATATAACATGACAAATTATTCATAAAGCTTTTTAAATATGAACATTTGTTGGAGATTCTAGACTATTTTCATGTTGATTTTCACAGATCAGATAATTCTCCAGAGCCTTCTTCAGTAATGAATTCTGGTTATTATTTTCATGTTTTTTTAATGACACATTGTTAATGTATGAATGTGCTGCACAATTGTGTCCTGTTGTGTACTATAATGTACTTTTGGCAAACTCCCTCCTGTGTATTATTGTACAAATAAATAAATGGGAGAATGTGGTAAACATATTCATGGACCTCCTTACATTGAAGAAATTACTTTAAAAACCTCTGCAAATATTTTCTGATAATTTATTCACATGATTAGTAAGAAGGTTTGTAAGAATCAATTTGTATGCAACTAAAACAGTCCATGTAGATAATGCTTCAACCTTCTCCCTCTCCATTGTGTACAATGATGTAATTTTTGCCCTTTCTCCTTCTCAAATTGTACATGTAAAAGACAATCCTGTAATGCCTGAACAATTAACCACATCTGATTTTATAAAACACAGACTTTACTACATGTACATAGTTTACGTAAATACAAAGAACAATTACAAAATGCCTGTAGATGTTTTCATACACAAAATTCAATCAGTAACTCCCAAAAAGCAAAAAAAATAAATGAAAAACAACTGCATTCATTTTCCATTAGCAAACAATCTGTCTAATACCTCTCGTCAGCAGAAAATAGATAAATAATATTTTAAGATATCAAATTACAGGCAGCAAAGTTGATAGTACTTTATCATAGCATTATAATATTTCAAGTTTATCTGCAAGAGACAAATCTTTGTATTTCTTATTTGCTTCTTTAATTATGCTAACAGGTACAGTATAATACTGTACTTTAATGAAATACAAATGAAGATCACAGTTTTCAACAGCAGACAATGGCTAGCCTATAAATGAAGTAATAAGTACCAGAAATCAAAATTTAAACTATGATACTGTATATAAGGTTTTCTCGCCTGACCTTTAACTTCTAAAATTAGATATATAAGTTTGAAATTTAACAAAATGAACTTGTTAACAATGAAATTTAACATTCACAAAAAACTATAATTATCAAATTTCCATTAAAGTTAAATTAACAGTAGCATGTTAAATGATACAACAATAAATGTAGGAAAAAAATTTTTAATTCTGAACAAATGCAACCTTTCTCAAACCAATCACATACTCATCACACTCTGTGCCCACTGGGAATTATGCCTTGATTCTGCTTTTGCAGTTCTTTTAAGTAATGAATGTGACATCACATTTCTAATGTCATTGCATACTCACCTACACACTTATTTGCTAATAATTTTTACAGACAATTTTCCACATAATATTTAACAAAATTTTACTAATAATATGTAGATTAAATTATCTTGCAACATAATAATTCAAAGAACATTTTCTTTTAATTCACTAAGTTGTAAATGCCTCTTTCAACTGAAATCTGCTGATGTAAGCAACAACAGGCATGGAGCAGATATCAGTTTTTAAAAATGAAGATTAATTTTGAATAGTTTTGTCTATTCAAAATTTGTTTTTCCATTCAATCTTTAAAAAAAAAAAAAAACAAATTCCCCAAATTAAGAAAAAACTAACATTTGGTTTCAATTCCTCACATGTATATAAATATTGAAATACAAGATTTAAAAAACATTCAAACATATTTAAACTAAACATTTCCTCTCTTATAAGATTGGATGTTTTAATTTAAATTGACTGTGCTAATGTTTTTATTAAAATAGCATGATTTATAACTATTATTTATCATCTGTTTTCTCAGTTGGCTGTTATTAATTGTAAGTAAATTCAAACTTATGATTAGTAACAATGATAGTTATAAGCAAATTTCAGATTACAATACACAAAAATTTTGTAATGTAATTTAATTTATATATTTTTTGGTACATTAATTCTGATAATGTTAGTAACCGATAATATCCACAGTCACAGTACGTGGCATCTACTGTACACTAATTATTCTAGCTCTTTATATTTAAATAAATTATTGAATAATGTTCATAACTTTTTTAAAATTTTAATCTCTATTATATAGATATATTGATTAACCAGAAACTAATTGAGGAGTCATTCACGAATAATATATAAAATAGATTGGCTATATAAAAAGAACTAAAAGAAATGAATATAACTATTTATACTTATTCATACCTTGAGAATTTCTTCCTCGAAAATATCTTGTATAACTGCTTGTATGCACATCTGTAAAAAATATAAATTTTGGTAAACATGTATTCAGTTTCATATATCAAAAACAATTAAATTAATATTTATGAATATAATATTTTGAAATGATTTATAAAATAAATGTGTTTGCATTAGCAATATATTTGATTTTTAACATAATCTTTAGACTAATTTATGTAGTAAAATAAGCTACGAAGAATTTTTCTAAAATTATGTTATGTATGTAACAGTCAATTTAAAAAATTATGTATTTTATTAAGTAATACATTATATACTAAGTAACACATTTAAAATTTAGTAAATTATATGTATTATTTTCTATTATTTAACACCATTCAATTTCAAAATACAATCTTAAACATGTTCTTTTGGGATGGTCACCATTGCCACATCAATGAAAGTTTATAATAAAGTAATAATAAATAATGTAAAAGTGTAATGGATTTGATTAAATAATAATTATTATTTTCACAGTATTATATCTACTGTACAGTCTAAATTCTACTCTATGCAATCAAATACTCAAGTAGATAGTCAAATAAATTCAAAATCAATCAATTTACAATTAAAACTGAGAATTTTAATCATACAAATACTTTTAGTAATGGCTGAAAAAATTGAATTTTCTAAGAAACAAATGTGAAAATATGTGAAGTAAAAGCAAATTAATCAGTGATAGAGTAAATAAAGAAAAATTCACTGTGAAAAAGAAATATATAGGACTTATTTCAGATGTATGTATGCATGCATCTATGTATTTTTGTATGTATGTATGTCCTTGTGAGGATTACACCTGATAACAGTTATCATATAATCAATTAATGCATCTATTTTAGAAGAATTTATGCTAAATCTTTTAAACCTGAAATATTTTTGAATATTTTTTCCTAAAACTAAACAAACACATTTTTTTATAATACTCTCAATATATTTATTAGAAACATAAATTAGATTTTATTGTGATTAATATTTTCTGTGCTGTTCATTAATACCAAAACCTATTGAAATAAAAAATACTTCCTTCATCTATATAGCTTTTTTGTTTATGTAAAGAATTCAAATTTGGAATTGAATAATTATCAGTTTCAATTAGAATTATATAATTATGCATTATTAGCAACATCCATTTTATGTCTCAAGCACTCTTGCTTAACATTAAATGAGAGAAACTCATTTTTATGTCACACAGACACACACACTCTCTCTCTCACAGTCAGCTGCATTGCATATTATATATATATATAAATTAATCGAAACTCAGAAATTATTAATTGCCTCATCAACTAAAAGCTATTCCAAGTTATTTTTATACTGATATTATCAATACTTTAACAAATAATTTGGCCTAAAACAGACAATATCAACAAGGGTTGTAAAGTTAGATATTTTAGAGTGGATTCAAAGCTGATGAAAATCCAACTTTTTTACCATATTTAAAATAAAAAAGAATTAATTAAAATGACTGATTATAATGTAAAAAATATCATGACTTTTCACCAATTTTATTTTTTACTTTTAATTGATTTTCTTTTTTACATTTTCAGGATAATTTCAGGAATTTTATTAATTTTATCAAAATTTTTTTCATAAAATCAATAAAATTATAAACTAGTCAAATGGTGTATAAAGTGAAGAAAAATTCATTGTTCTCAAATACAGTAAAACTTCTCTAACGTGAAGTTCCAGTGGGTAGGAAAAATCTTCCAAGTTATGTACGATTCAAGTTAGAGAACAATAGAATAAAAAATGCCAATTCTGAATAGATTTGTATTTTTATAATATATAAAGAATTTCTCTCTCACATTATATAAAGAATCTTTAAATTAAAAAAAAAAAACTATCAAACAGCCTGTGTAACACCTTTCTGCAAAATGTTCAATGTAACTAATGGAATCAAATAGTTTTGCAGGTACTGTACATCTTGTTGAGATAAAGCAAGAGGACCTCTTTCTTTGGACTGGAATGTTATCTGAAAATTGGTGTTGGAGAGTAGATACAACTAATAGTCTGAAAATTTCATGAAAATCCAATAATTAGGATCACTTTGGATAAAATAAATATTAAAATTCAAGACGGAGAAGTTGAAAGTAACATAAATTGGTGTCGGAAACCGTGAAAAACTTTAACTTGGAAAAAATTAGAGTTCAGGTTGGAGACTTTAAATCCCTATGCTATTCTATTTAGACCTACCAAGTGCTTCATTTTCTTTGAGTTAAATAAATATTTGAGTTATACACATTTGAGTTAGAGAAGTTTTATTGTATTTTTCATTTTCTAAAAAGGTAAAAATTATTGTGTGCCAACATTTAGTTCTTGATAGAAATGAAAAGGAGCAAATCTGTAATGAAAGGATTACAAGTTTTGTTGGTGGAAAAATCACATTTTCCAACAAGAACATCAAATTTCAAGCACCATTTACAATGACATCGTCACGAGATACTGGAAATTGTCATAAAAAACTTGAGAGTAAGAATAAAAAGAATATTCAAACCAGCCACATCAAGTGCATCAACAAGTCAACTTCTAGTTACATCCTTCTTACCTGTAACCATATCAATGACTTTCTGATTACATTTAAAAGTTACATCATTGAAATGGTAGCAAAAAACTTCATACCAAGATTCTTTTCAACACCAGCTTTTATTGGGTTTAATGGAAAAATGGCCTGCAAACTTTGAGTCTTCCTTTAAATAAACAATACACCATATTTTGACAAGTATAAGTCGCACTTTTTTTACTACCTTTTGGGGCTCAAAATCATGGTGCGTCTTATACTCGACAGGTAACCATTTTTACAGTGAAATTACCTACAGTAGTTTCACTGTGCAACCAACCTGTGCAGTGGTCCGTTAAGCAGATGGCCCCTCAACCAAATGGCTAGAGTATCTAGATTATCAGAGTAGCAACACACGAGTCATCACCGCCATGTTCTGTCGATTGTCATCACGTGACCTCGTGAGTTTACATTAAGAAATGACAATTATTTCAGTTTAATAAAGGTATCGATTCATCCATCCGTCATATTCTTGAATAAAAAAAAACAAATAAAATGCATCTTTAGACAATCCCATTAAAACAGTTTTTTTCTAAATAGGGGTCTCAAAATAGGGGTGTGTCTTATACTTGACACGACTTATACTCATCAAAATACGGTAAGTAAGAGACTTTATACTAAAGAATCAAAAGAAACAAAAGTAGTTACTCAAATGTTTTCTTTGTGAAAAGTTTATTTTTTTGAAAAAAATATTTGTTTGTATGCATTTAAAACAAATTACTTTGTAATAAATACTCAATATGTTGATGCTAAAGGAAAAACTGTAATCTTTACTTTGGCTGTTGAAGACACTAAAACAGTATTCAAATTATTTAATCAAAGAGCTTGAGCTTTAAGTTCTAAAACATTACAACTTACAGTATTGTAGTTTGATAAAATTTGCTTCTTGTCCTTCTTTTGAATTTTAATAGTTATTAAGCTTCTATTCTATAAAAGTCTCTTGGTTTCTAAGTGAAAATGTTTTGCAAAAAGGGGTGTTAAGTCCACAAATTAGAACCTGATATAGGAGTATTTGTAGTATCTGTGCTAAAAGAATAGATACTACACATGTACTGGTACACTATGACAGAGAATGTAGTTAAGTACAGTGGGTGATTGGTTAATGAACATAATCCGTTTCAAGACTTTTTTGCTATTTGAATTGTTTGTTAACCAATTATCGATTTATCATAGATTTTTATGGGAATTTGATTAATTCATTCTGGAAACCCCAAAAAATAAATAAAAATTATATATTTTCTTACTATGTTTATTTACATGTAATAAGAAACTAAAAGCAATCTATCGCTTCATTTTTTCATAGATGGCACAACTTTGTTTCTCAGATGTGACTTTCGTTACTCCTTTAGCTGCTCGAGTCTTCTTGATTATATCTTTCTTAGCTAAGATTGTGCCTACAGTAGACCTGTTCAAGCCATACTGCTTAGCACCATCAGACATCTGCCCACTCTCTATCCTGGCTATTATCTCATGCTTGGTTTCTAAGGTGAGCACAGTTCTTGACACTCCACTCTTTTTAGTCTTCATAATAATATCAAATGTCTTTTTGAAATAAAAAGTTCAGAAAAGCACTCACAAAAATTCAGTTAACAGAAATCAACTAGTGTACGAAAGAATTATGTAAATGTGAGGCCCAAATGAAATTTGAAGTTTTGGTGTTAAACCATTAACGAATATCCGATAGGACAAACTCTCACCTTTAGAAAATAGAAACCGATGCAAAACTTAACGAGTGCCCAATAGTCTCGCAAAGAAAAAATTGTATGTCAGAAAGGTAAACAATAAGCTGAAATTACAATGGAGAATTTCAAAGTTTGGAGGAATAATATCTGATTGATATCGGGTTGAGCATCTCCTGCACTCTGAAAGGTTTCGAATTGTTACCTGAAGTCAGGGAAAACCAACCATTATTCATTATTTTATGTCACTTCTTTTGTGTTTGTTCTTTGCTCGTGCAAACATAAAAATCTTTCACAAAAGTATTCATTATCCAATTTGTTTGCTGTCCGAACTGTTTGTTAAATGATCACTCACTGTATATCAAACACCAAAGACTGACGCAATTCTTAAGAAAACACCTGAAAAACATGAAATAATTGGCCTAGCAAAAAGATGAGGTAGCATGTGTTTGATGGTAAATTGTATCCTTATTAACTATTCCTTACTGACATGATAAATCCCAGAAGCCACAATGTCTGAAATGTAACTGGAACAAGTAAAAAACTTTTATCTCTTTTTCATTACCCTTATGTGATGACAAAAAACATGCAAAGAACTAACCTATCTGAAGATGAGAGTTTTTCACAAAAAGTGAAAAACTGTCATCTTCAGATTGCCACAAACCAAAATATTAACCAATGATATTAAAAACTACGCTCTGGAGAGAAATTTCCTTGCTTCATAACAGCATCCTCCTTGCTGGAATATATGATCCTATGTACAAGGTCAGAAGAGCAGCAAG